CCTCACCCGGAGCCCGAACCGCACACTGTACGCGGTGCCTCCGCGCTGACCAGCGCTTACCCAAGCCCCGCTAGGGCTGGTACTATGCCCAGTACGCGGGCTACACGGAATGCCAACACATTATCTGCCGTGGCATCGTAAGCCTGGCACCACACAATGACAATCACAGTCCCTACACGTGTGACAAAATTGCAAACAAGTATTCCATTGCAAGGGATTATCTAGGTCAAATATTTTTTAATGTACATTTAAAATGCGAAGTTGCAGCACATGTGCACTGGATTGAGGAAAGCGAGACTTGGGGCGCGTGCCACGTGCGAGGTCATGGGGACGCGTGCAAGGTCGTGAGGATGCATGCGAGGTCGTGGGGGGTGCATGCGAGGTCGTGGGGGTGCACGCGAGGTGGTGTGGGAGGACCAGGGAACCGCTCGCCCAGTAGCACGTACCCCGCACCACTCTCCTTGAACCGCTTCGCCACGTGCCTCTGCTCCAGCTGACTCAGTTCTTCCGCCTCTTCTCTGTCCTCCCTGCCGATGGCTCGTAACACTAGCGCCACACAGCACCCACGCACACATACTACATTGACAACCCTCTCACAGGGAACAGTGGAATAGATGCAACACCTTCTCTCATCACACTTACCACACAAATATCCAAGGAAAATTGCAGGAGTGTGCAGTTTAGCTCTATGGATCCAGATAAATCACCTTTATTTAACCAATTAACAGCCCCTTGAGACTAAATGTCTCTCTTCAATGGACACCAGGGTCAAATAATGTAGATCTAGTCAAGTGCCACCATCTTAAGTGGCCTCATTATTATCATTTATACAAACATCAATACAACCAACCACATCAACACTATCCACATGATTATTCCCATCATTAATATTATTCCACCATCATTAGATCGAACTCCATCGTATGTGATTTATTGACATCATGGACAGGATAATAACATTGGCGTTGAGCGGCTCACAACCACCTTGATGAGAGTAAATCAGTCTCAGCGTTGGCTCAAGTGAAGCATGACACTTGAGTCAGAGCCAAGGTGCAACTAAGATCCCAGCACCCACCATTTTCCACCTGTATGCGAAATGCTGTCCGTTTCCGTCTCCCATAGTCGTTCCTAGAGCACCGAGATGACATCATTTGCACAAGGTAAGATTTAACAACTTAAGAAACACCTTTTTACAAAAACACTCAAACTAATTTTGCTACCACTGCATTCCAGATCAAGTTGTAAAGTTAACTGATTATATTATAACATGATTACTGAAATTATTTAAAATAATAGGTTTTAACCTTTCTAGCAATAAAACAGGTGTTAAGATATTCAAACACCAAATACATAGATACCTTTTTGAAAGCATCAAGTCTGCATTAACCACACATGCTCGTGGAAAAACACGCAATCAAACACGCTCTGATAATTAAGTAAATACGCAATGTCTCTGAAACTGATTGGCCTACACCAGAGACAGCCTTCTTTATCGCCTTGTCTCACCACCAGTGTAGGACCAGAGAACGCCAAAAGGGAACAGTACAAAGCCAATGCAAGTGTAATGACAGGATGACACCTGCCGGCATGTAGGGGTAATTACGGTCATGGCTGCATTACATAATGCCTTATTATAAGGGGGGCGTATCTGTGGTAAAGGTGAAGGGCAGAGTCAGTCGAGAAGCTCTGGGAACCAGTTCTGGAAAGGGGGCGTGGCCAGAGGAGGCGCTTGGCCGCGCCGGGCAGATATCAGGGGGACCGAGCCAGAGGTTCGGGACTGTTCTGCGGGTCCTGGCTGCGTCGCTGCTCGCCGTCATCTCTTTGTCTTTGACCATGTGGCTGTTCTTCTGCAAGACATTCTCGGTCGCCGCCGCTACACTCGTCGAACAGCTAGCGTGGTGTATGACGGAGATGGGCTGCGTGTTAGGATCAACATGTGTAGCTGCGTTACGAAGTGTATCGCCCCGTGTGCTCTTACTAAATAAGAAGCCTTCTACTCGACGTGTCTCGGAAGTCGCTCACTACACAAGTATCAGAACACTTATAGCTCGGGTTGAGCAGTCATATCTATGGGACCTTTTTGCCAATATCCAAAATTATGACAAATAAGGGTTTTACCCTTTCTGGCAATAAAACAGCTGTTAAGATGTTCATACACAAAACAGATACCCTTTCAATGCATCGCGTCTGCATTGGGTGAATTTCTACATTACTATATAAGACAAGCGTACCCGTGGCAGGAATCGTGACTCAAACTCGCGATCAAATGTGGATGGCCGTCACAGGGGGGACCACGCTCACAGCTACCACAGGGACCGAGACTCACCGGTACTGCGTCTGCAGATCTGTGGCGATCACCTCCGGGCTCACGTGGTGACTTGTCTGAGTGAGGTACTGGGGGAGACCGACAACAACCACCATTCGCAACGAGGTGGCGGTGATGCTACCACGGTGATTGTGCCAGGCTAGGTGCACCTTGATGTGTTTCCGAAAGGATGTTTGTTTGATATTCCAGAATGGTTTAAGACGTATTTATGTTGTTAATCGTGTGTAGTAGTTAGCGTAGTAGTGTGTAGTACTATATAGTGTATTAGTGTGGAGCATATCGTGAGTCGTGTGTAGTAGTGTATAGTATAGTAGTGAGTAGTATAACTCATACTCTTTGGTTCTTTCGGTAAAGTCACGTAGGTAGAAAAATAATAGATCACAACGTTTCGATCGCAACACAAGCAATCGTCATCAGGTGGGAAAACCGCAGCAAGAAAAAAACTGCTGAAGTAGGCGAGAGATCTGTCGTGGCATGAGGTTATATAGTAGTGTATAGTGTAGTGTATAGTGTAGTGTATAGTAGGCCTCGGCAGTAGGGGGGGAGAGAGAAGGGGGGGAGGGGGCGGGGCAGAAAGTGGACCCCGCAGCAGCACCCGGGTCACTGGAGTAGAGATCGGAGAAAGATGCACAGAGAGAGAGAGAGAAAGACACACAGAGTCGGAAATAACAGCTGACATAGGCAGGTAGGATGGAAACAGTCAGTTAAGATTTTACCTGGTTAATAACGTCCTTCCAATGATTGCTTAGTTTGTACCCATCTTCTCGGTTGAAGTTGTGTCTGTGTTTATATATCTGGATGGCTTCATGAACAAATCTCTGATAATAGCCGGTAGGTTTGCAGAGTACCTTCGTATTGAAAAGTCAATTTCCTGTGTGCCCACTGCGTTAACACAATGATCAGCCACGGCAGAGGTATTGGTCCTACCGTGTTTCAGATCTGCATTGTGTTCGTGAACGCGGTCCGAGACGTCGCTTCGTTTCCCCAATGTAACTGCTGCCGCAGCCACAACTCAGTTTGTAGACACCCGGGTATTGCATATCAGGAATCACATCCTTTACAGATGGGATTAAATCACGGATTTTGTGTACTGTGTTGAAATGAACCTGGATCTTGTGTTTGTTTTGATTTTGGAAATCTTTTTGGCAACCCCTGCTATGTATGGCAAAGTGAGGGTATTGGTTGGAGCCTCAGATGGTTGTCTCCCCGTGGCTGGGGAGACAGCTTTGCGGATTGTACGGTCAGAATATCCGTTCATCCTGAGGGCTTGGTGTACGTGCTCCAGCTCACTGGCTAGGTGATGCTGGTCAGAGATGCAACGGGCCCCATGGTGTAGTGTTTTGATGAGATAATTTTTCTGGCCTGGATGGTGGTGGGAGACAGGCTTTAGATAGGCATCCGTGTGGGTGGCTTTCCTATAGACAGTGTCCCAACGAGCCATCAGGTCTCTCCTCGGTCAAAACATCCAGGAATGGTAGCTTGCCATCCTTTTCCACTTCCATGGTGCATTTGATAGATGGGTGTATGGAATTGATGTGGTTGAGAAATTGGTTCAGTGCTGGCAGGCCATGTGGCCAGATGACGAACGTGTCATCTACGTACCTCTTCCACAAGGAAGGACGTAGGGTGGATGTCTGGATGGCATCCGTCTCAAATTTCTCCACGAAAACATTTGCTACCACTGGCGATAAGGGAGAACCCATTGGGGTACCCTCATTTTGTTTGTAGAATGTACAATTCCAGGTGAAGTGTTGGTAAGGCAGTGCCTTACCAAAGTTGGTACATCTGTATTCAGTCCCTGTTGGACCAAGTCTTCAATGATTGCAATGGTATCAGGTACACCTAGCTGAACAGGGAGACTACATCGAAACTGACTGTAAATCATCTTGAGGCAGTGAGATGTCCTAGAGAAACCAAGTGAGCTGAGTTGAGTGCAGCTGAGGTGGTCTTGCCCGTGAAAGGAAGCAGGCTCTCAGACAGAAACCGGGCCAGTTTGTAGGTGGGTGAGTTAATGGTGGATAACTCATTTCTTTGGAAATGATTTTGTTTAGCTTATCCTTCCTCCGCTTAGCACTGTTGGCTACGTACGGTGCGAAAGAAGTTCAACAAACTGTACATCGTGCAGTAGTGAGCATAATACATTGTAGCAGTGTATAGTACTGTCTAGTGTACAGTAGTTGTGTCGTGCAGAAGTGTGTTGTGCTGTTGAGCAGTGGGAGTCTCACGGCGCGTACGCGGTGCGCGAGGCCGCGCTCCACCCCCGATCCGCGTGCCCCGCGCATCCCCTCCTCCTCGTCTCCCTGCTCCTCGTCTCCCTCCTCCTCGTCTCCCTCCTCCTCGTCTCCCTCCTCCTCCTCGTCTCCCTCCTCCTCCTCCTCGTCTCCCTCCTCCTCCTCCTCGTCTCCCTCCTCCTCCTGGCCTCCTCCTGGACGCCTCGTCTCCCTCCTCCTGGACGCCTCGTCTCCGCTCCACGTGCGGCTCACAGCTCCAAGTCGCGACCCAATCCCGAGCCTCGCTCCGCTCACGTGAACGAGGTTAACCAATCGGCGTAGGCGAATGGAAACGCGCTGACCAATCACGGGCGAGGATCTGACGTCACCTTGGGTCAGGGGTCGCGAGTCGGAGTCTCCGCGCTGATTGGTCCGCGCATTGGGCGTCTCGCTGCGTCCTCGCCTCGGCTTCCGGGTGGGGCCCGAGCCGGGAAGACGTCGCCACCTCCACCACCTCTTCCACCTCCTCCATCACCTCCACCACCACCTCCTCCATCACCTCCTCCATCACCTCCACCACCACCTCCTCCACCACCTCCTCCACCACCTCCACTCCTCCATCACCTCCACCACCACCTCCTCCACCACCTCCTCCACCACCTCCTCCACCACCACCTCTTCCACCTCCTCCACCACCACCTTCACCACCACCACCACCTCTTCCACCTCCTCCATCACCTCCACCACCACCTCCTCCATCACCTCCTCCATCACCTCCACCACCACCTCCTCCACCACCTCCTCCACCACCTCCACCACCACCTCCACCTCCTCCTCCACCTCCTCCACCACCACCTCGTCTCTCTCCTCATGGCCGCGTCACCTGCCGACGCCGCGGGCGAGCAGGGCGCGGCGAGGCGGCGCGCCGCCCACGGGATGCTGCAGCGCTACTACGGCATGGGCGGCCCAGAGGCCCCGGGCGTGGCGGGCACCCAGACCCCCGAGAGCCGCGGGCCCTGCGACATCGACGGCGCTGACTTCGACCCCGAGATCTACCTGGGGCAGGTGGGAGACACACGGGGATAGCTAGCCATGGGGCAGGTGAGAGACACACGGGGATAGCTAGCCATGGGGCAGGTGGGAGACACACGGGGATAGCTAGCCATGGGGCAGGTGGGAGACACACGGGGATAGCTAGCCATGGGGCAGGTGGGAGACACACGGGGATAGCTAGCCATGGGGTAGGTGGGAGACACACGGGGATAACTAGCCATGGAGCAGGTGTGAGACACACGGGGATAACTAGCCATGGGGCAGGAGGGAGACACACGGGGATAACTAGCCACGGGGTAGGTGTGAGACACACGGGGATAGCTAGCCACGGGGTAGGTGTGAGACACACGGGGATAGCTAGCCATGGGGCAGGAGGGAGACATACGGGGATAGCTAGCCATGGGGCAGGAGGGAGACACACGGGGATAACTAGCCACGGGGTAGGTGTGAGACACACGGGGATAGCTAGCCACGGGGTAGGTGTGAGACACACGGGGATAGCTAGCCATGGGGCAGGAGGGAGACATACGGGGATAGCTAGCCATGGGGTAGGTGAGACACATGGGGATAGCTAGCCATGGGGCAGGAGGGAGACACACGGGGATAACTAGCCACGGGGTAGGTGTGAGACACACAGGGATAGCTAGCCACGGGGTAGGTGTGAGACACACGGGGATAGCTAGCCATGGGGCAGGAGGGAGACATACGGGGATAGCTAGCCATGGGGTAGGTGAGACACACGGGGATAGCTAGCCATGGGGCAGGTGAGACACACGGGGATAGCTAGCCATGGGGTAGGTGAGACACACGGGGATAGCTAGCCATGGGGCAGGAGGGAGACACACGGGGATAACTAGCCACGGGGTAGGTGTGAGACACACGGGGATAGCTAGCCACGGGGTAGGTGTGAGACACACGGGGATAGCTAGCCATGGGGCAGGAGGGAGACATACGGGGATAGCTAGCCATGGGGTAGGTGAGACACGGGGATAGCTATCCATGGGGCAGGTGAGACACACGGGGATAGCTAGCCATGGGGTAGGTGAGACACACGGGGATAGCTAGCCATGGGGCAGGTGTGAGACACACGGGGATAGCTAGCCATGGGGCAGGTGTGAGACACACGGGGATAGCTAGCCATGGGGCAGGTGTGAGACACACGGGGATAGCTAGCCATGGGGCAGGAGGGAGACATACGGGGATAGCTAGCCATGGGGTAGGTGAGACACACGGGGATAGCTAGCCATGGGGCAGGTGAGACACACGGGGATAGCTAGCCATGGGGTAGGTGAGACACACGGGGATAGCTAGCCATGGGGCAGGTGAGACACACGGGGATAGCTAGCCATGGGGCAGGAGGGAGACATACGGGGATAGCTAGCCATGGGGCAGGTGAGACACACGGGGATAGCTAGCCATGGGGCAGGAGGGAGACATACGGGGATAGCTAGCCATGGGGCAGGTGAGACACACGGGGATAGCTAGCCATGGGGCAGGTGTGAGACACACGGGGATAGCTAGCCATGGGGCAGGAGGGAGACATACGGGGATAGCTAGCCATGGGGCAGGTGAGACACACGGGGATAGCTAGCCATGGGGCAGGTGGGAGACACACGGGGATAGCTAGCCATGGGGCAGGTGGGAGACACACGGGGATAGCTAGCCATGGGGGAGGTGGGAGACACACGGGGATAGCTAGCCATGGGGGAAGTGAGAGACACGGGATAGCTAGCCATGGGGTAGGTGAGACACACGGGGATAGCTAGCCACGGGGTAGGTGTGAGACACACGGGGATAGCTAGCCATGGGGGAGGTGAGAGACACGGGGATAGCTAGCCATGGGGCAGGTGAGACACACGGGGATAGCTAGCCATGGGGGAGGTGAGAGACACGGGGATAGCTAGCCATGGGGGAGGTGAGAGACACGGGGATAGCTAGCCATGGGGCAGGTGAGACACACGGGGATAGCTAGCCATGGGGTAGGTGAGACACACGGGGATAACTAGCCATGGGGGAGGTGTGAGACACACGGGGATAGCTAGCCATGGGGGAGGTGAGAGACACGGGGATAGCTAACCATGGGGTAGGTGTGAGACACACGGGGATAGCTAGCCATGGGGCAGGTGAGAGACACACGGGGATAGCTAGCCATGGGGCAGGTGTGAGACACACGGGGATAGCTAGCCATGGGGCAGGAGGGAGACACACGGGGCAGATAAACGGGAGACGAGAACCGATGGGGGCAGTTGTCTTCGAGACCCCGGACTGGAACCCAGGGTCCTAGCGGTTACTGGGGTAGTGTCTCTTGACAACCATTAGAGACTCCCAGGGAGAGACTTACGGTTTCGCATTGACAGTTTTGAAGCTCTTTGTTGTGGAGGAACAAACAAACCTCGCATTTATCTTGAAAATCAAAACATCGGCAACCTTTCAAGGCCAGAGGAGATACCCCGCTCGCCTCTGTTCAACATGGCCCGAAACGTCACATTATATACATTGTTTTAAGGCAGTCTTATTAACGAATGTTTCGTGATATGTTTTGTCCTTGTGCATCACTGCAAACGCGGCATCACCAGATATTGTATTGAATGTTGGTGTGGAGTCGGGATCTGCGTGCAGTCCTAATCACCAGGGCGTCTGTGCAGCTGCGGAAAGATTGCAGCCTCCCCGATCTGATGAGCCGGGAGGCCGACATGGTGCGGCAGATCCGAGCCCTGGACAGCGACATGCAGACGCTCGTCTACGAAAACTACAACAAGTTCATCTCTGCCACAGGTGCGACGAACTCGGCCGGTTAGACGCGGGCAGCATTTACCAGGGCTCTTGCTATCACCCTGCAGTGTGCATTGACCTCAATCCATCAATTCCTGGAGCTCGTAACTCAAAACAATTTAAACACGGTGCTGCATGCACACGTATCACGGGGCGAGGAGTTGATTGTGAAGCTGCATTGTAACGAGTTCACCGCGACCCACATCGTCTGCAGCACGGTGTGTGGAACAGAGCGTCCCCTTCGTGTACGTATCAAGGGTCGCTTACATTTGTTTTTAAAAGCAGTTCTATGAACTCTCCTTCCACAGGCCGTTTACTAACATGGGATTTGGAATGAACACTTAATTAGAAATTTAGCAAAATTTATTTCACATGGAATAAATCGTATCTGTGGAAAGTAATTATCTCCGAGATTAACGAGTGCAAGCATGTGTAAGTACACGTGCATATATAATACAAGTGCTGTCAGGTATCACAACTCGGATGATTTGACGCTGTACATGTGGCTATCAGACGAAAAAAACCGAAACATGTTATCAAGGCAGAAATTAAACTCCGTCATTACTCGGTTGCTTTTCATCGGCAGCCATGGGGTGAATCCACTCCTGGAGCAAGGTCTCCGTGTCATTGCCGTCCGCCAGTCTTGCGATTCCATATTGCTTATGTAAATTATCTAATCTCATCATCGCTTCATCTCCATGGTGGTTATATCAGGATTCCCTCCTATGCAATTTACTGACGCATGTTCCAGGTAAAAAAAAGCAATCATTAAGCGCTATTATGGAAAATGTAAAACGAATGTCATTGAGAATGTGTGATTTGTGTCAAGGGAGTCTTGGCAAAGTCTGCCCCAGTAGTGATGAACTCCGCTTTTGAAAACAAAAATGTGCGCGCATCTCCTTGCAGACACAATTCGCAAAATGAAGAACGATTTTAAGAAGATGGAGGATGAGATGGAGTGCCTCACCTCCAACATGGCTGCCATCACGGAGTTCAGTGGTAAAATAAGCGGCACCCTGCAGGACCGTCGGCAGCACATCACCAAGCTGTCAGGTGCGGGCTTGCCCAACAAGCGCTTTCAGACAGTGCGTTGCGTGTATTCCGTCACCCCAAGTCTTCACACAGCCGCAGGATGCGATGTTCTCGCAAGTCCCAAATCGGGTGTAGGCTGCCGCCAGCTGGGCCTGGGTTTTGCTCCTCGCACGTGCCGTTAAATTGCTCAGCTCCAAGAGCTGCCCTGGAACCAACACTGTGTGGTAGCAACTGTGCGAGAGCTACGGGAGCTGTGTGGTCCAGCCAGGAAGATCGATCATAATTGCCGTGATTAAGAAGTGAACTTCGACCTCATTACAGCAGCTTTACGTGCCTTCGCCTTCCTACGTGCATGCTGGCGATGCGTTACATGCAATGCATTTGGGTGAACGTGACGTTTATCATGCCACTGTGCCGGTGTCTAAACACGTGCCTCGTGTTGTTCTCTATTTGCGCTAGTCACCCGCAACTCCGATTAGCACAATGTACGGTGCGAAAGAAGTTCAACATACATTTGTTTCATTTCAGCGTTTCTGTAGCTTAGTGTTGTAATTTGTGCTGTGTTCAATCTGCAGGTTATTTTCCAGAGCCGAATTGCACTGCAGGGAATTACTTTTCCAATATTTTCAGTTCTTCATGTGATGCAGTTGTTTTTGGTTTTGTTATGATTATTTGCTTTGCTTTTGTCATATTGGTAACCCGGGTCACTCTTGCAAATAGACTGTCCTGGCCTCTGGAGTTCTCACATGGTTAATCAAAATAGACTTGCAACCTGCCCCCCGCAGGTGTGCACGTGCTGCTTCGCAAGCTGCAGTTCCTGTTTGAGCTTCCCGCACGCCTGCACAAGTGCATCGAGCTGGCGGCGTGGGGTCAGGCAGTACGCTACTACAGCAAAGCGCGGGCGGTGCTCCATCAGTACCAGCACATGCCTTCCTTTCGTGGCATCCAAGACGACTGCTCCAGCATCATGACCGCGCTCGCGCATACTCTGCATGAGCGTTTCCGGTGCGTGCAGCAGATATTGCACTGCCGCTCTACTAGCGATACAGACGATGCACGAAACTCACTCAAATTATTACTCAATTGGGATTGCCCACGCCAACTTTTAGAACACAGATATCAAAAGGGCCATGGGCCTTTGGATCAAAATGTTGTGTGTGGAAAAGCCCCTTGCATGTTTATTACTGCGGTGATATTTGCTTTTAATACGGCCGCCATGCAACCCGGTCTCTGTGGATACCCCACGTGGGTTGCAGGGACAGGGAGGCGAGCGCCAAGGAGCTGGCGGAGTGTGTGGACCTGCTGCTGCAGCTCGGGGAGCCGCCAGCGCACCTGTGGGATGAGTTCCTGTCCCATGCTCGTGCGCGGCTCTGCTGCGACCTGGAGACATTGCAGTCCGTGCCCGGAGACGCAGGGAGGATGCAGCTCGACGCGGGAAACTTTGGGGGCAGCCTTGAGGAAAGTGGCAATGTCCAATCTCCACCCACCGACATCCTGGAGTTTATTGACCGGGGCTGCAACGGCTTCATCAGCAACATGTGCCTGTCAATCGCCTCCTTCCAGCAACTGTTCATCAGCCAGTGTAGCGACGGGGACTCGGCACAAGCCCTTGAAAAGCTGCAAGCGTTTGTGAACGAGCTGATGGAGCGATACTTTGAGCTGGTGGAGGCACGCGTCAAGGAGGAAAAGAGCCTGGGAGACAATTCACTGCTGGTGCGTACCGCTTCCTTGACTTCCAGTTCCCCTGCGTGTGTAAGGAGCACTGCGGTTCTCGGAGAGTGGTGGCCATGATGTCCACACCAAAGCCACCCCTGCCTGCCACGTATAACTGCTGACCGTCGACGCCGTGTTGCAGGTGCGGGCGTTGGACCGATTCCATCGCCGCCTGCAGGCGCTGTCGCGGTTGCTCCCGGGGCTGGGCGTTGTGGCCGTGGGGATGGGCATCGTGGAGAGGTCTGCCCGCGCGCGCCTGCAGCAGTATGCCCGCGCTCTGGAGGTAGCGTGCGCCGGCCGCATCACGTTGCACGCGGCCGCTTGCACACAGATCGCATTTCACACGTACAACCGCAGGAACGGCGGGGTGCCCGCATCACCATCTAACTCTCCCGCAATAATAGTCCTAGCCATTGTAACACAATTTCTCTGCTTGGCACAACAGTCTCATCTGAGCTCTCATAGAAGAACTGTGTTACCATTCTGGCTAAGGAGGCATCGAAGAATCCTGATTTTATTCTCCGAGCCAAAGCCTCTCATTCTGAGCAATTATTGCTGCTGTTATACAAAGCACAACTTGACTCAAGTTGGAATCCTGCTGTCACATCTGGGTTGAGTACCCAGTTCCTACCTCACTTCATCTGATAAACAATGTAAAGCAGTCGGTGATTGACGATTCGGCGCTCATCGATTCAATCCAGTCACTCGTTCACCCGTAGTCAGTTACCATCCTTACTCTTCCCACTCATTGATTCGTCCACCCACGTTGAGGATGCTCTACCTGACACCGTTTCATCTCATTACTGTTCAACCACAAGTCACACCACACTGCAAGTCACACTTCTCTTTGTGGTTTTTCTCCCAGGCTGCTTGACTGAAATTCCCCCTCATCTCTTTTCTCAAAGCTCTTAAAACTCAGCTCACTTCAAGAAAGTTTTGCACGTTTTTCGTCTATTACAACTGTAATAGTACTATGTGTTGCTGGCTGCTTGAAAATTTTGGCTATTGGCCTGGTGTTCAGCAACTGAGCTGAAAAAATGTAATGTGATGAAAGGAGATTTCAAGCCTTGTGCTATCCCATCAACTTGCAGTTGAGGTTAACATCTTCACGGTTTGTTAATATTTTGTGGCACATTCTAGTTTTAGGAGTTGTCGTCTCCCACTACACAACCGCACCGGGCACGCATTGCCAGAAGGGGAGCGGTGGGAGCGCTGCTGTGACACTGCTATGACCCTGTGGCACCGACGAGCAGGAGTTCCTGGCGGACTGTTTGACGGATGCACGGCAAGCGCTGGCTGCCCCACGCCTCGTGGGAAAGGACAGCCCCAGCCTGCCCGAGCTGCTGGCCCAGCTCTCCTGTGCCACTCTCAACAAGATTAAGGCCGTGCTGGCTGAGGTGCAGCTGTTCTGTGCCAAGGACATCACGTTCTCGGTCAAACCGTACTTCAAGGTGAGCTCACGTGAACCGCATTGCAGAGACGCTCTTTGTTCATCTCCTGAACCGAATGAGATTACCGCTCGCTCAGTCTTGATGTGATTTGAAGATTATTTTTTATATGTCGACATTGTGTAACGAGCACAAAAAGACCATCGTCAGGCAAAATTCGATTTTAGTTTTTTCCCTGTTATCCTGATTATTTGATCATCTGATGACTCCGCTGTGTGCTGTGCTAGGGCGAGTTCTGCAGCCAGGGAGTGCGGGAGGGGTTGGTCGTGGGCTTCATACAGCACGTCTGTGCCCTGGGGAAGCACTACAGCGAGGGGAGCCCTGGGGGCCCCGGGGAGCGTGGGGCCACCCCTCCAGCTCTCCTGTTGCTGCTGTCGCGCCTCTGCCTTGACTACGAGACGTCCACCATCAGTTACATCCTCACACTGACGGACGAGCAGTTCCTCGTGCAGGTACCACCCGGGCTTCTCTCGCATAGCCGAAGCGACGACTCGCATGCTGTGCCCAACCTGCATCATTTGCTCGGTCCTTCGGTGTCGTTAGCCTGAAATCCGCGATGAGACGTCGGAGACCTTGCTGCCGTGTGATAAACAGGGACTTGTGTCGGGCTGTCCGCAGTGCGGCGCGGGAGTGGGGGCACTGCCCGCTCGACCCTCTGCAAGGGGAGGTGCGACGGAGTCAACACGCCATGGCTTCTTTAGTCACGGACGCAACTCGTTGCTGTAATCTGCTAATAGATGTAATTCAAATCTATAATTGACTAGAGAACAACACAAAAGTTAATGGACAGAAACAAATAGATTAAACAGGGTTTGCAGCATGTATCAAAGCTTTCGCCCTTATCCCGATCACCAATGCAAAGAACGGAACATGTGGCCAATTTATTTTGAGCTGGTGGTCTGGATAAGGCCAAGAGCTTTTGTATGCGCAATGCTGCAAACCCTCTTGTGTTCTAACATGGAATAAGCGTAAAGAGGAAACGTCTCCACTGCTGCTAACAGCTGTGCGATAGCTGTTCCAGTCGGGGCGCCCAGGACCCCGGCAGCACTGTGTGCAGAGTGCCGCCAAGCTCAAGTGATTTTGAATGCGGCCGTCCACGGTGTCATGGTTGTGGTGGTGCAGGACGAGTCCCCGATGACGTCGGTGTCGGCGCTGTGCGTGCGGGCGCGCGAAGCGGCCACGCGGCTGCTCACGCACTACGTGCGCGTGCAAGGCCTCACGCTGTCCCAGATGCTGCGCAAGAGCGTGGAGACACGCGACTGGGTCCACTCCATCGAGCCGCGGAACGTGCGTGCCGTCATGAAGCGCGTGGTTGAGGACATCACGGCCATCGATGTGCAGGTCGGAGTCAGGATGATGGTGCAGTGGTGACATTTGTGCCTCGCAGAAAGGAGGCCTGGGTTCAATTCCTGACTCGGGTGCCTGTCTGTGAAGAGTTTATATGTTCTTCCCCTATTCTGCATTGGTTTCCTCTGGGTTCTCAAAATTCTTCCCAAAGCTAAAATCATATTATGAAACTGGTGTTGGCCAAATATCCCACTGCTAACAAATTACCTGCAAATCACTCAATTGGGATTACGTCAGCAACCCCCTACTGCAAAAAATTTGGCAGGATCCTCCTAAAAAAGTGTTTTGAGACTTTGCTGGGTAAACACGCTGAATAATAGAGAACTAACGTCAGAGGGTCCATTGAGAGACCCATAGGATAAATGTCATTAGCGTTGAGGTTGAAGGGAGCCGTGCCGTGGGTCTAGGTCGGGTTGCTGTTTGAAGAGGGCGTGCGCAAGGCTCACAGCAGCGACTCCAGCAAGCGCGCATTCTCCGCTCACAGCAGCTCCCGGCAACTACAGCAACCACCCCCTCGCTACGCGCCCAGCTATACACCAAGGTATGCACACACACTCCCCGATACCCACACACTACGATCTCGGTTTGGATCTTTGCCTACTGTATTTTGATTACATGGAGAGATAAAGGTGTACCTGCTTGTCTCTCTGCCCTATCTGTCTCCCTGTCTGTCTCAGTGCACCCATGGACACAAGCCTCCTAAGCAACATTCAGAAGTTGTTTTCTGAACGTGTGGACATCTTCAGTCCTGTAGAGTTCTCAAAGGTGAGATTTGCAGCATTGTACTTATTTCTCTGAAATTTCTACGGCATGAGAGACACGTGTCCAAGCGAAATACAAGGGGGTTTAAAGAGGGTTTCTATAGCCTGCAACATGTCAGCATTAGCTTAGTGAATGGGGGCACGACCTAGGCACTCATGTGCAATCTTATTTTCAAGATTTTACTGCAAGATGGCAGATATATCTCTGTAAATGGTGGCACCCGCGCACATCTGTCCTGAGGGTGGAAAGATGATTGAGATGTATTGAACAAGGGTGGGATATGGCAACAGCTCTGAACGACAGCAACAGCCGAATGGTAGTACATTCGCCATTTGTTGCAGAGGGTCGCAGTTCATGCCTAGTGGCTGCGCTGGTTAATATTTATTGGTCATAACCAATTAATAATAATACATGCTGTCTGCGTCAGAGTGGACGTTAAAGATCCCTTGATATCTTTGAAACAGCCCATTGTGTGCTGGCATCGGGGTCTAATTGGCCTTGATTACTCAAATGGCATTACACAGCAATCATTACTCCTAACGAGCAGACTAATGCACACTTGCAGGCCAGGTGCCGAGTCCCCTTTTAACCACAGGGGCTGCTGCCATTGGGGGTGCCTTTGAAACGTTTGTTAATCTCTGATCACATGTAACGTCCTCTTCAGATGCCTCTGCATAAATTGCACTTATCAAATACGTCATAATTTCCAAATTAGTGCACTCGCTACAATCGGAATATAAAACGTGTTTGTGATGAAGTGGCAGATCAGTTGATGGTTCAACTTCTGGCAATGTTGCTCCGAGGTAGATTTGTTTGAGTCTTAAAATTCGTGGGAAACTGTAAACTGTTGAGGGAGTGGCGCTGTCAGCCACACTCTGCACGTGCGACAATTGGATCGTTAAGAACGCTCAGAGGGCATCCACGGCTCCAGCTCCTCTCGGAAGGGGGTGGGGGGTGCAGTGGTGCTGTTGGGTGGTGGGCCACCATGACAGTGGAGCACCTCAAAGGAGTGACCTTGAATGGTCCCTAGCGCAGGCCCTACTGGATGGGAAGTTCTGGCTTAGCCCAGACTCTGCTCTACAGGGAGGGAGGTTCGCCAGTTCCGAGGCTGTGATAGCCGTGAGGCAGCCACAGATTAAGGACCAACCAAGCCAAGTCCGTGCTGCTGCTATTTTGTGAAGCTCGCAGAGCAATGAGATGTGTTTTCATCGAGTGACTAAGTGGAGAGTCATGTTGATGCTCACGGGTGCCCTGTGAAAAAGTATTTTTTTCAATAAGTGTAGAGACAAAGCTCGTGTCGTAATTATATCGACAATCAGGATCGTATTCTGCAAACTGTATACGGACGCACGGTGTTTCAACAAAGCATGGTTTAATGGCACTTTGTCTGCTGTACCTAGGTTTCAGTGCTGACAGGCATCATCAAAATCAGCCTGAAGACCTTTCTGGAATGCGTGCGTCTGCGCACGTTTGGCCGGTTTGGGCTGCAGCAGATCCAGGTGGATTGCCACTACCTGCAGCTCTACTTGTGGCGCTTCGTGAGCGAGGAGGCACTGGTTCATGCCCTTCTCGACGAGGTGCTGGCCAGCACTCTGCAGCGCTGCATCCAGCCCATCCCCATGGAGACCAGCGTCATCGAAGTCATCTGTGAAAGGGGCTGAGGCATGGCCAAAACTATTAAGCTCCTTTATCCAGGAAAGTCTCCAACTCTATTCAGGAGGGTCCAGTCAAGTTTTTGCAGCAGGGAGCAACATTGCTCTGTGTCACCCAATTCCAGTGACAGTGTGCTTTTTAGATATTTGGGAGAAAACCCATGCAGACCAAGGGGAGAACATACAAACTCTACACAGGAGGGTGCCTGAGTCGGGAATTGAACCCAGGCCCTTCTTGCTGTGAGGTGCGAGTGTTACCAATGCGCCACAACCCTGTTGCTCTATTGACTGTTGAACTTCTTTCGCACCGTACATAGCCAACCGTGCTAATTGGAGGTGTGATTGGCACGTTTGATTATGAACCGCATCACTGAGGTTTGCTTGCAGTCTTCTGCAAATGACGTTAATATTTCTAGAGAATCAAAGTTTGGCTGGACAATGCAGAGTGTCCCCAAGAAGCCAACTGTAAATGTACAAAATCATTGGTGGTTTGAGCTTCGGTGGGTTCACAAGAGGCTGCTCAGTCTACTGTAAGAGCCACTTTACACAAGTGCCCCCATGTGCATCTTTGTAGTTACATCTCTTTGTAGGACTGCCACATGGATTACCAGTTACTAATCTGTCACCTGAAAAATATAAATGCTTTGGAATTAAACTGACTTCCACAATGTAACTTTTTCCATTTTATTCAATTAAGCTTCATGGCTAAATAACTAAACATCCAGAGCAGTCAGGGATGCACAACACCAAAAAATAATGTTACATTAGACCACATGTAAGTCCTGCATGTTAGTGTGGTTTCAACAATGTTAACGAGCAAAATTCTGCTGCCAAATCGTGCAAGCAATATGTATCAGTGGTAACCAGTGCAGCGCTGCGACGGATAGTTGGAGACACGAATGATGAGAACCGCATCATTACCTTCCAGTGGTTATATTCCATGGAGAGGAACGATTCTGACCAAGGCACACTCATTTGCCTGCTAATGATCATCTCACCAAAACAGCACAGATAAAAGGGAAGAAACTGCCGATTGAGCACTCCTGTAATCCACGTTTATCAGTGGGTGTCCTTGCACACGAGTTACTTTCACGAATTGAATCGAGTTACACTGTATCCCCATGGATAAGTTTCACTAATATATAGATGTTATAGAAATAACGTGTAGAGTATGCAGGATAGGTTAATACGATTCTTAATATAGGTTATGTATAATTAAAGGATGGATTGTAATAATGTCTGGCCTGTGGCTCTCATGCGAGACAATGTGACCTTAAATAGACATGTTTTCTCAAAATTCAATATTTGCTGCTCCAGAGTATCATTTAACAGGTGTGGTGCTCTGATATATTCTCATTTTCCGTTTGTGTTTTAAAGCGCACTCACAAAGATGGTAAACATTGATACTAAACAAAATACATTATTTTGATTGGCAGCCTTAATTAATTAGTGTGTGCAGACGAAAGTCAATTGAATTATACCATTTCCACCAAGGCACTATGCGGGTCTCGTGGCACTGCCAGAGGGTGGGGGCCATCGTGCGGCTCTGCCTTCCCATGCCACTCACAGCGGCACGGCAAGCTCCTCCACCTTCTTGACAAAGCTCCGCACGTCCTCCGCCAGCAGCAGCGGCTGCTCGAAGGCGGCAAAGTGGCCGCCGCGCGGCATGTACTCGTAGGAGACGATGCTGCGGTACTTGGAGGCCAGCCATGCGCGCGGGGCATGCAAGAGCTCGTTGGGGAAGGCGGCCACCCCCGTGGGAACCCACACGGGCATCCTGTCGGGCACAACCACCACGTCATCACCGCAAAGCGCTTCCCCGAAACTCGAATTCTACGAGCCATTGATATGGACCGTAGTGACTCCTGCAATTGTCAATGCAATCAACATTGGAGTTATCCAATGTGATAAAATATCATGGTATTTATAACAAAACCATAGCATCTAATATGCAGTTAACACCATAGCAAGATTTATTAATTAGCACGGATGGCTACGTATATTGCGAAAGCTTTGTATAATAAAGCACGTATGCAATTGAGAAACGTTATTTAGCATTAAATGTGTCCAAAACCATTTATTTATACAGGAAAACCTCAAGTCAACTCTTTTCAGGAGGATCCTGCAAAAAAATGCCTGCAGTAGATGGTGATGCTATGTGTAATCCCAAGTGAGTATAATTTGCAGGTAATTTTCCAGCTTTATGATGTTTGGTCAATCCCAGCTAGATTGTGTGTTTTTTTTTAGTAAAGGCAGAAACCCGAAGAACCAAGAGGAAGCCCATGTGGAGTAAGAGAAAAAACTTCACACTTGAACACCACAAAAACCTGTGCCATTAGGAACCCTCCACCTGACAGCTGACCAAATTGTGTACCAGCGTTATGCCAATTACACTCACCAGTAAGCTTAAGAAGAATCCTTACCACCAAATGTAATAATTAGACGAGAATTGTTATGGCACACATTTGATTAGATCATTCAGTGGCCTAATACAAAAGCAATTATGAATCAATACTAGTTGCGAAAACCTACGCGTTAACTTACTGTGTGTCTTTACTTTTGAAGATGTTGCGGCTAAAGTTCTCCTTGTAGAAGCGCATGGATGATGTGATGCAGCCACTCGCCCAGTAGATCATCACCATGCACAAGGAGCTCATCCAGCTCAAACAAACTGTGCCGCAACAGACGTACCCCATCAACGCCCACACCCCATCAACGCCCACATGGACAGTGGCTTCTGAATTTCAACTCAAACTTGCTTAAGTTGAATCCATATGAAGCATCAATGTTAAATAATTTAATTCGATCCATAGCAGCTGTTCGGGATTTGATTCTGCCCTCAAATGATAACATCTGTAGTCAGATTCCAAGAACAATGCCGAACATGGTGAATGGTCTCGCGTCCTGTGTCTGCACGTACGTTTCAAGGCCCCCGTCCTCCTGATCCATGTTTTCTCTTTTGGTCCAGGTGCTGAACTTCTCCAGCATATAAGCAGCCAGACCAGCAGGGGAATCGCTGAGCGCAACCCCTCAAATCAAACACCGAGACGATAAATAGAAATGGCACAGAAAACGAATGACAATAATATGGTAACAATACCCATGACATTTGGTTAGACACTTGGATATGAAAATTCACGACAGCACAACCATTATAGTTTACATCAAACTGCCAAGCATTGCTTATAGCACACATTTCAAGTCTTAAGGATTACCCTTGATACAGTTTTTCACAATGTTGAGTGTCTCATGGTCATGCAATGCATTCTCAAGTTATTGTTTACCTGAAATAAATACGTACTTTAAATCCTATGCGAAACAAGTAGAAAACTCCTAACTATCCACAATTATTCTTTTATTAAGTTGCGACATTGTGGTGACAACTATTGCTGATGCACAATATTAAGTTTCTTGATTTTCTTGGGTTTTTTCCCAAGCCTTCCATTATGAATCTCACCGATTTGAATCCTTTGGGTTTGACATGTTATAGTGATTAGCCATCCTGTATCTCCATGCCATACAGCCTAAGGCATGTTGCACTATTGTATTCAGGGCTTGATAAGGCCTCCCTCTAACAACCAAATATTGATCGCAAACCTCTTCCAAAACCATTCAACACGACTGCCAAAGTGGTAGTTGATTCATACTCTTTGTTTTTTTCGGTAAAGTCACGTAGTTAATAAAATAAATGAAAACTAAATTAAATCACGACGTTTCGGGCGCAACACAAGAGTTATTGCGCCCGAAACGTGATTTAATTTAGTTTTCATTTATTTTAATTTTTCTACCTACGTGACTTTACCGAAAAAACCAAAGAGTATGAATCCTTGCAGTCACGAAAACTTCAAATCTGGTAGTTGGATGTTTAATTACTCAACAAATGCATGGCTAATGGTGTTTGTCTTGCAATCACCGATTAAGCAACATAAGATCTAGACTCTGCAGAGTAAGAATTTTTTTTTTATAGAAACTGGGATGCCATTCAACAAATTAACGTGCACAATTACAGAAACTATGAAAGTAAAAACAAGAGGCAACCCACCAACGGTGTCCGGTTTAGTGCCCTGGATGTGCATGTATCCGCTTTCAAGGAGGACGTTTTTCAACAACTGCGTGCAAGGAAACACTCTCTTGATGTCAGTAGGGGTGAGGCCAAAAAGCCCAGGCATCCAAGGCCCCAGCACAGCAGATGGCAGCAAACGTCCCAAGCCTCCTGTGACTGTCACGAAGTTCAGGTGGAGACCTTTCACGCACCTGTATCCGTACACCCCACAAGAATGAAGGAACGGCACTATTACATGCCGCAAGCACACTCGCTCATTCCACGATTTAAGACCAGGTAAAAGCTCATTGAGACGAGGGGGCCTGAGTACACAAAATGGTCAAAATGTTGGATGCTCACCAAGGTCGCATGATTGCCATGTTGGTGCCAATTAAGGAGCCCCAATCTCCACCCTGGACATAGTACTTGTCATGTCCCAATCTCTCCATCAGCTTACAGAACAACCGTGCTGCACACAACGCGTTAAACCCTGCACATCCACACCAAACGACACAAATAGTTCACAATCACAAGATACAGCAACAGTTTCAATCCTGGCAATATGGGATAGCATTGCACATCACCACCACCACCACCGCCGCCACATTAATAGCCAAAGCAGGCTCGTACATCCCCCCCCCCCTGACTTTCAAAAGCAGTCCAATCTGCTCTTGTCCACCTCTATCCATTTGATGCCCGGCTGCCTTCAGTAGCGGTCTCAGATACATGTGTAGTGTGATAGCACCGTCTGTTGTCCAGCAACGACAACTGCGGTGGACATATACGCGGGTGTGGCGGCAGGGCGAAGGAACTGGGGCAAGGGTCATGGGAGACCATCTGGAAGCCCCTGGAACCTGCGAGTGGGTTCGACAAGGGAGGCACGGCCAGGGCGGAGCCAGGCCGCGCCGGGTAGCTGAGCGGGAGCTCGTGGCTGCCGTCTTCGCTAAATAGTTGTTGGCCGTCTCGGTCGGCGCCGTCGGTGTTACACAGTCAGGGTTATGTTAAGGCTAGGCTAGACGACTAAGGAGAGCGCGAGGGTGGACCTGTGAACCTGAAGGTGTTGATAAATAAGGTACTCCTGAAAAACCTTGTCTCCCGCTCCGCTGACACTACACATGCACTGCAGTGTTTTGCAGTTGCATCCCTCTGAAATATCTCCAATTGTTTTAACGAACCCGTTGTGTTTTGCTAATTTATTTTACAATCTACCAGTTGTAAATTGTTCATACATGGAATGGGTTGGCCAAGCAAACGGCATAATGGGACACGAGAGAATTGTAAAAATGCAGGATGAAAGGTGGGAACGGCCCCACGAGTGACACTGACACCAACAGAGTGAATGACAGTGAAATAAACAACAATCAAGTGTCACATGCAGCACTGATGTAAGTACGTTTATAAACACACAACTCTTATAACCTAAGTTATCACAAGTGAGCATTATTCATACATTGTAAGCTCTATTAAACAATTCTGGAACAGAACCAAGAGCAATAAAGTTCCATGCACACTGGGGAGAGTGTTTACAATGCAGCTGAAACAGAAGAACACTCAAGTGCCTTATAACATTTAACACAGATAATCTAACAATGGTCAGTGAGAGTTGAGTTATAGGAGTTTTAAACATAAATTAAAAGCAACTGGTAGTGTTAACAGCCGAAGAATACTATTACATCTTTAATTTGAACAGCAATATAAAAAACACAAGTTACCTTGTTCTTAGGTTTTTTAGGTTTCACCTGAAGACGAAAGCTTGTGTTGCCTCCGAAACGTCGTGATTTTTATTTTTTTATTTTACTTTTATTAATTTTTATTTTTTACCTACGTGACTTTACCGAAAAAACCTAAAAATATGAATCCTTGCAGTCACGAAAGCTTCAAATCTACAAGTTACCTTGTTTATGAGGGGCCTCTGAGAAGCTGTAGCCAGGGATGGAAGGGCAGATGACCTCAAATGCCTCGGTGGCACCAGGGCCCTGCGGCTCAACCAGCAGTGGCATGATCTTGTAGAATTCATAGAAGGAGCCGGGCCAGCCATGTGCCATGAGGAGCACTTTGGGTTTTGTACTTTCAGGGACTCCCAACGGACGTACGTGTACAAAATGCACGTCAATCCCTGGGTATGCATGCAAAAAAATCACATCTCTTGTTAAGACATTCTGCCATGGAGAATAGTGTTTCTTGCAAGCAATCATTATCTTAACAGGATAAAACGGTGGCTGAGTTAACCTTGATGACTATAGATCCCCTCTAAACCCATCTGCTGCATCTGAGACACTCGTTATGCATTAAATAATGCAAGGCACCTTGGCCTCTCAGAAATTGTCAAGCAGCCTCTTCCTCAGAAGCCAAGTCCTGACACTGCCAGCAATGCTTGTTTTTTGTGCAATCAATACCTATTTGTGAGGCTCCTTTCAAATAAAATGCTCAGTTAAAAAAAAAAGATAAATTATTCAACCTAACATTCGCATGAAACACTATCACAATGAAGCATTCATACAAATGAAATGAAGCATCATAATGAAGGCCAACAATGTCTTCTTGTATGCTGCATATGATTGTATTAAGAGCCAAGCCAGAAGAATGTCACTCTTATTTTAAGAGCACTGGCAATTCTACAGACGGTTGGAAATGCCAAACCTAATTACAACCATGATAACACATCTGATATGTCTCGGAGCTCTGTGCATTTGACCATGTGCACCACACAGACGAGTCATGGGTCATCACAGTCAAACGTTGAAATAGGCAGAACTGACTACATGGGCTTGGGTGATCCCAGTCAAGTAGAGCGTGCTAATTAAATGTATCACTAAAATATAGCACCGAGCGCTGAATCATCCACATCTCTTCACAATTGGAATTATGCTGTATTTGCATTTACCAATGTGACTCATGTTGCAAACCTGTAGCACGGACAATGCAACTACTGGAGACTGCAAATGGGCTTGGGAGATTGTGGGGCATGTCTCTGTTATTTCAGGGCCACCCAAGGATAAGTTGATTCATACTGTGGAGGCTTTTCTGGCCAAAAAACCTGAAAGCAACTTTATTCTCAATAAAAATAAAATTTTGCATTGACAAGGCATGCTCCTGTGAACCAAAAAATATTCCTTTTGGTAATAACCAAACCGACCCCTCTACCAATAGCGAGTGGTCCTTTGGAAACACTGGCCTCCACTATAAGAATGTACGATTTCCACAATTAGATGTCACCAGAGGAGATGACTAATGTCCAACAACCATTAAAGCATGGAGGCACTTTTACTTTTGATTGTAAACACATACAAGTGCTTGAAAGCTTTAATAACATAAATCTACTTTTTCTTTCGTGTAGCTGATGTAAGTGCATAGCAACAACTACAATTTCACATTCGGGTGGTCAAGCCAGATAACCGTGGCAGGAGCAGTGGAGTGTATCGCTGTGATGTCTCCTACGTATTTGTGGATCGGGCATTGCGTCGTTTTTTTGTATGGTCTGTTCTGGGTGACCACAGTTGTATGTTAGAGTTTTTAATTTTCCATTTGTGCATCAGGTATCTGCCATAGTTTGTGCAAATGCGGTTTAGAGTGAACCATATTTGTGGAAGATCAAAACCGAAGATCTTGCGCAATAAGGTGTTTGTCCACGAGTTATTTTGAACTCCAATCAGTTCTCCAAGCTTCATCGGGGTTGAACTCGCATTGTTTAAGCACATGGGTGCAAATGTGCTTGCGTGACTTCAAGTGATGGCGAGGGACACCATTGAGGTCCTGATGAATAGGAAGGCGACGGTTTTCCTCGATTCGCAAGACTAAAATAAATGGCAAGCACTCACAATAATCACCCCTCACAATTCAATCAGTGCCTCCAAGGCCGGAATTACCACAATTACACTGTACCTTCAATATTGGTGATATACTGGGGGTACTTGTTCAGCACTGCTACCGTGCGCTCCCAGTCAAACTCTTCAGCCCAGTACTTAAGCACTCGCTGCAGGTACGTGGAGTTAAAGCCATAGTGGAAGCGACTCCCCTCCAGAGGCTCAGCCAGACGGACCGATGCCAGGCGACGACGAACATCCTGCAGGTTACTCAGAGCTCACACATTCACCTAAACACAAGCTGTTGGGCAAACTAGCATAACAGATAATCACTGAATACCTGTCATTCAAGTGTTCACATTTACATTCCCCACTGCCATGGTGTTGGCAAGGGCAGTGTATACTCCCTTTGCAAATTGTTGATTTTGCATTATTTAGAAAATTCCTGATTTTAAACAATCTCACCATCACATTATGATTCACCAACACCTCTGCGGATAACTTATTTTGTAATAAAAAAAACCATTTAAAATCATAACTGCTGAATTCAGTTGAATAAAGTATTGTACAAAGTGTCTTATCAAACCAGAACTAATCAACAACCCGAATCAGCAAAATATACCACGAATGCATTACCTGCATGGTCTCAGGTGAGTATGGGACCTTGAAGGGCCTGATTGTCTCGTCAGCAGGAGTCTGAGATGGCTCGCCCTTACCCCACCATCCATCTCCCTCTGGGAGGAAGTCTTTGTCTTCCTTAGCATCTCCCAGCAACTTCCACAACCCAATGAACACCAGTGAAACCAGCACGACCGCCACCACAACGCCAGCCGCCATGTCTTTCACCTGCACACCGCAAGGTGCAATGCAGCTGCTCAAATACATCGCGGGTGGAACCCAGAGCCGGTTCAGGACATTAACTTGCCACTTATCTTAGCCGTGGCCAGGGATAGAACTTAGATCGCCGCGTCCATAGTACAGTGCTTATTAAATATATATACTGCCAGCGACCCTGTTGTAATTACATTTCGCAAGTTAAACTTTCCCTTGAACTTTGCCTCAGGACAGTGCGAAAAGTGGGGGTCATAGTTCAACTCCCGTCAATGCGCGGATTGTGGTGAGCTCATCTCCGGGTGCCCGCACCACGGCGCCCGGAGACCCACAGGTCACTAAAGTAACGTTAATAATCCACTCCATTAATTACACTGCGTAACAAATGTGTTATTTTTTTGGTTCCTGGGTAGTGTTATTTCCTAATTGCTTATGCCTCAAAAGTGCAGAAAATTTATATTATTCCCCACAAACTTTGCTTTGTGACCAGGACAGTGATATTTTGAAATTGACCTATTTTCAATGAGAATACGCGGTGTGCATTTGTGTCATTCCTTCACATGTCCCAGTAGTTGGTGTGTAATGTGTAGTTGTTGTTTTATGGTTGTTGTTGTTGTGTAGCTGTTGTTTCATGCTTGTTGTTGTGTAGTTCTAGTTGTTGGTGTGTAATGTGTAGTTGTTGTTTTATGGTTGTTGTTGTTGGTGGTGGTGCGCGCCATGATTACCTTGCAACGCGACGCGAGCGCCGTCTGCAGCTCTCAGCCCCACGTGACCCACCGATCCGCGCCCACGTGACGAGCAGGCAGCCCACGTGACGAGCAGCCAGCCCACGTGACGAGCAGGCAGCCCACGTGACGAGCAGCCAGCCCACGTGACGAGCAGCCAGCCCACGTGACGAGCAGCCAGCCCACGTGACGAGCAGCCAGCCCACGTGACGAGCAGGCAGCCCACGTGACGAGCAGCCAGCCCACGTGATAGGCGTGTGCCGAGTGACGCCATCTTAGGTGGGGAGAGCGCCCACGCGGATCTTCCTCGCACCAAGGAGCCTCCCTGCCTCTTTCTAGATTTGAAGTTTTCGTGCCTCTGTCCGCCCAGCACTGTCAATGGGCGCACCGGGAGGGGTAAAGTGTGGCCGGGCCCGCTTCCAAGACGTCTGTGCAGTGTGCAAGTCGACCAGATACCCGCAGAGCGCTCTCGTGGAGGCTGTGGCAGAGGGTGAGCGAGCGACTGGAGGAGGAATCCCACCTTTCCCGTTTAACATGAATATTTACTATGCTGGTAGGAACCTCCTGCTTACACCAGCCCACAGGGGATTATTGTGTCCGTCCGTCGTGCACCCAAAAATGGGTGGGGTGGGCTGGGTGGGGAGGGTGGGGAGGGGCTGGTCACCCCGTGGTGCCCTTATAAAACTCAACGTTTCACCTACTCACGTCGGCTTGTGCCCGCCCCCACAGTCGGGCATATTTGCGGAATACACCACGCCGCCGTTGACCCTGCAGGCCATTGACCGAGCAACCCAACGTTCCTACCAGCTCCCTCCGCAGGACAATGTGTTTAAGGCAAACGCACTTGAATTGAGGCAAATGAGCCAATAGGTGAGCGCCCCAAGCGACAGCTCAATGGTCAGCGAGGACCTTTATTTAACCCGCAAGGTGTTGGGTGTTGCTCGCTAGGTGACATGTTTATCATTTATTTAGTCGGGTTCGCCTCCCGACGTCACTGACTGTGACTCTGATGTGAGCCCCAGGGGTCGGCAACCACTCCTGATGTCATTAGGGGTGAGGCCAAAAAGCCCAGGCATCCAAGGGCCCGGCACGATCGATGGCACCAAGCGTACCAAGCTTCCTGTGACTCTAGATTTGAAGCTTTCGTGACTGCAAGGATTCATATTCTTAGGTTTTTTCGGTAAAGTCACGTAGGTAAAAACAAATTATTAATAAAATAAAAATCACGACGTTTCGGAGGCAACACAAGCTTCCGACTTCAGGTGGAACCGTCACAGCACGACAGCTGTATCAAGTGACTTCCTGTGACTGCCAATAAGTTTAGGTGGAGACCTTTCACGCACCTCTACCCGTACACACCGCAAAAACACGCCGGTAGCACACTCGCTCATTCTTTCCTTTATTTAAGACTGGGTAAGGGCTCATTGAGACCAGGGGACCGAGTACCCAAAATGTTTGTGAAGATACAATTCATGAAATCAGTAATTCTCAGATTGACCCAGCTCTCAGATGAGTGATTATTTGGTTCTTTCGGTTAAGTCACGTCTAAAGATAAAGTAATAAATTAAATTAAATAATAGCATACGACGTTTCGATTGCAACACAAGCAATCATCATCAGGTATAATGAAATAGCGACATAAAATCTAACCAGAAAACTATAGACAGACATATTAGCAGACAGATATTGATGAGTTTATGTGAAAGGAGTGATATGGAACCGTAATGTACAAGAAGTGGATGCTGACCGAGGCCGCAAGATTTCCATGTTGGTGCCTATGCGAGAACCCCAGTCTCCACCCTGTGTCCCAATCTCTCCATCAGCTTGCAGAACAACAGTGCTGCACGCAGCGAGTCAAAGCCTGCACATCCACGCCACACAAAAACACAAATACTTCACACAATCACAAGATGCAGCAACAGGCTCAATCCTAGAAATTACAGGATAGCAGAGTGCAGCATAATCACCTCATATTCATTACCAAAGCATCTCCTTTGCTATAAACATTATTTTATAATAATAATAGCATTTTCAATACAAATGTAAAATATGTATTAACATTAATTGTTTACCCTTTTAAAGTGTACATTTTAACTTGCTGCACCAACATTTTTACTGAACTTTAAATTTAGTTTCTTTGCACTTAACTAAGTTTGAATGCAGTGGTTGTGCCGAGCCAGGTAACATCGTCACCATTTGCAGACGGCAGCAGAGCCCCGAGACTGCCGCTCGAGTTGGATAGCGGGCACGCTGTATTCTTCACCTTGACGCCCGTCTTAGTAATAGTTATACCCAAGCCCACTTATGTTTTTAAGAGTTTGAATGTCATTATCCTCTGTGTTCTCTGGTCTACATGTCCCTCTTCCTTTCTCTTAATGCAATTCCATGTTTCTTTGCGTACTTTTTCGTTTTTGTCAATATTTTTCTTAAATGATGGTGTTTCTGAACCATGTCATAGCAAGCAGTACGCATTAATAAAAAAAACCTGTGTTCTTCAAACACATTGCTATGTGACGTTTCACGTCCAAGTTCAGCTTTCAAAAGCAGTTCAATCTGCTCGCGTCCACATCTCTTTGAGTCCCGGCAAACATCTCCAATTGTTTAACGAACCTGTTGTATTTTGCTCATATTTATTTTTAAATTGTAACAGTTGTGAATTGTTCATGAAGGGAATGGGTTGGCCAAGCACACGGCATAGTGGGACACGAGAGTATTATACAAATACAGAATGAAAGAAAGGTGGGAACGGCCGCACGGGCGACGTGGACACCAACAGAGCGAATGACGGTGAAATAAACAACAGAATCAAGTGTCATAGGCAGCACTGATGTAAGTACGTTTATAAACACACAACTCTTATAACCTAGGTTATCACAAGTAAGCATTATTCATGCATTGTAAGCTCTATTAAACAATTCTGATGTAGAACAGAACCAGGAGCAACAAAGTGCCATTAACACGGGGGAGAGTGTTTACAATGCAAAGTTCAATGCAGATAGCTGAAACAGAAAAACACACTCAAGTGCCTTGGGACATTTAAGACAGATAATGTAATAATGGTCAGTTAGAGTTGAGGTATGGGTTCTAAACATACATTAAAAGCAACAGGTAGTGTTAGCAGCCGGGGAATACTATTACACATTTAATTTGAACAGCAATATAAAAAACACAAGTTACCTTGTTTATGAGGGGCCTCTGAGAAGCTGTAGCCAGGGATGGAAGGGCAGATGACCTCAAATGCCTCGGTGGCACCGGGGCCCTGCGGTTCCACCAGCAGTGGCATGATCTTGTAGGATTCATAGAAGGAGCCGGGCCAGCCATGTGCCATGAGGAGCACTTTGGGTTTTGTACTTTCAGGGACTCCCTGGGTATGCATGCAAAAAAACTAATCTTCTCTTGTTAGATATTCTGCCATGGAGAATGGTGTTTCTTGCAAGCACCTATCATGCTCTTGACAGGATAAAACGGTGGCCGAGATAACCTTGATGACTATAGATCCCCTCTAAACCCATCTGCTGCATCCGAGCCACTCGTTTTGCACTTATTAATGCAAGGCACATTGGCCTCTTGGAATTTCTGGCCAGCAGCTTCTTCCTCAGAAGCCGGTCCTGACAATGTGAGTGGAAATGCAAAACGATTGGAAATGCAAAATCTAATTACAATCACGATGTGTGCCATGTAGATAAGGCGTGGGTCAACTGAGTAATCCATGGAAACAGGTAGGGGTGATGACATGGCTCTCGGTCACGTCAGTCAAGTACAGGGGCGCTATTTAAACCTATAAATAAAATATAAAACTGAGTAATGAATTCTCTAAATGATGACATCTTCTAGATTTGAAGTTTTCGTGACTGCAAGGGTCCATACTCTTTGGTTTATTCGGTAAAGTCACGTAGGTAAAACAGAAAATAAATTAAATCACGACGTTTCGGAAGCAACACAAGCTTCCGTCATCACGAGCAAGCAACCGTTTGCTTGTGTTGCTTCCGAAACGTCGTGATTGAATTTATTTTCTCTTTTTTACCTACGTGACTTTACCGAAAAAAACAAAGAGTATTATGAAATCTTCATAATGGTAAATGTGTTGTACTTGCATCAAACAAAAAATATCGTGTATGGGAACCAAAAAATGTGCAAAGCTGTAGCACAGATGACACGGTGGAGACTGCATCAGGGCTTGAGAGATTTTGAGGCATGTCTCCTTGTTATCTCAGGGCCACCCAAGGATAGGTTGATGGATGATTAAAAAATGTGGAGGCCTGCTCGGCCACAAGACCTGAAAGCAACAATATATTCAATATTTGTAGCACCGTTTGAACAGAAGTAGTTGTGCAAGCTGACATGGAAAGCGCCCGATGGTAAAGATTGACACTGATTACATTGTTACCAGGGAGCAGCAAAGGGCTGCAGAAATTGCTAGTCATTCCACCATGATAATGGTTTATTAAAAAATGCAGAATGATGCCCATTAATGCCCACGTGATAGTGTATTGCGGTTCTTTAAAAGGCAGTATTGGCGTATTCACAAATGTAAACAGTGCCTCACGATAGCTGCATGACCGAGCGAGGACTGAAATGTGAGCTGTAGAGCAGGAACATTCACACGAACATGTTTGTGAATTTTAAGATGAAGTTTAAATGTGTATATGTACATGGGCAGTCAACAGGGAGGCAAGGAGCCTCTTCGAGCAGGTAATGACGATCAACTAATCAAGAGTTAAGTGCCCCTACTGCTGGGGTACACGTTGGAACACACCGAGTACCGAAAAGGTGTTGTTTACATGAAGCTCAGGAACAACTTGCATTCAATAATTTGGCGTGCGTGGGGTTCTCGACCACATTTAATGTAATTGCTCCTCACGGTCAAAGGTCTGTAAACATTTTTTGGGCCAGAGTCCCATGCGACAGGGTACCACCCCCTGCCCGGACACCCCCATCCCCTCCCTCACCGCCTCTTGTGGCCCCCATACCTCCTACCGCTCGTATCTCTGAACTCACCCGCATCCCCTCAAGCCGCTCCACGCGCAAGAACCCTGGAGAAATCTTGTCCGGAGCAATGGCCGAGAGTCTCTCCTCCACGACCTTTGTGGTTTTCATCAACGGCAAAAAGGTAGAGGCTGTTTCACGTGTCCAGGCTGAGCGCTGGGTCGTAGCTACAGCCGATTGTGGCTCTGGTCACGGGCGCAGGTGCAGAGTGAGAGACGCAGCAAGGATTTAAATATCGCACAGACGAGATTGCAAGACTGGCTCCGTTTGAGGAATGGTGCGTCTAGGGAAGGTGCTAATCGTCTTTTGAAGGAGATCGTTCCTACCGGCTTCGTCAGGGCTATGCTAGGGGAGGTGAAGAGCTTCTGTAAATTAACTGAGTATTTTGTTCGCATTACTCTGCTCAAAGTAAAAATGGCTCTGGGATTAGAGTCCTAATCAATGTTAGCAGCATTAGTAAGACATGCTTTCACACAAAACTCACCTGCCACCTACTAAAGTTTAGTGTAATTATGCATTTGAATATCAGATAACATTTTCATGACGTGTTGTTGTAGTTTTTATGCCTTTTTATCTCGAGAACTTTGAGCATGATCATATTTATTGTAAACACTAAGAAACAAATATCTTGGATAGATTTACCTAACTTAATTTCAAAGCATTGAATACATAAGCCATGATCTATCCACTGCTGGATGATGGCTGCTTCACATTGTCGCGATTCCTGAGGGCCCCGCAAGGCGACAATCCATCTCGCGCAAATAAGCTCATTCCATCGCTCCATCTCTGCGGTGGATGATTTTTATGGTCACGTTTCCTCCTTTGGCTGATATTCCGTTACCAGTCTCCTCCATCAGCCAACATCTCTTTTGGAGACGTGTCTTACCAAAACCCACTTTTCTTAATATGCAAGATTACGTGTAATTCTAAGCGTGCAGCTCTGCATACTTTTCTCTCCATTCTCTCTCTCTCTCTTCAACTCTTGTTCCATGTTCTGTGTTTCTCATCCACATGCCGTGGCAGGTAAAAATGTTCATCTAAACGCATGGCCATGCTCATTTTTATGATCACATTTAATTTTCCCAAAGCACTGCACGCTGTTGTCACCCCCCTCTAATTAATATCTGTGATCCCGGGCTGCTGTCAAACATTGACCTTGGTATACAAATTCTGCTGCGGTTTTTATTTGTGTCCCTCCAATTATTTACTTTTTTTCAGCAAACTTGCGTTTTTCGAAATTCAGCCATGCTGAATTTTATTCCTACTTTGCAACGTTCATCGCCAAGTTCTTCAACAATTTCCCGGAGCTCAGTGTGTTTCATTGTGATAGTGACTTTGTCATCAGTGCATCTGAAATTGTCATCTCTTCATTTACCTTCGTGCCTTTATTGCTCCAACACAAATTTAGCAAAGTAACCCCTGCATCGTATGCTACTGGTGAGAGCCTATGCCATTGTTTAACTCTTCTTAATGTGTTTTATTTAAGTGCGCAATCTCAGGGGAGCTCTCCCGTGGTATGCAGGGTGTTGGTCATTTCTATACATCTCTATGAAGGCCTTGGCTTGTGAGAGTTTAAATTATGGCATCAGCCTTCACTGAATCAATGATTTTGCATTATTTTTATATTTTACAAATTAAAGGCTTGATCATGTTTCATGTCCGTTTGTCTTTTCTGAAATATGCTCGATCGTCCAGCATTTGTGACAAACGCCAGAAATCACTTTCTAAAACGAGTGTGCATTCGTGGTTGGTTGATCGCTAAATTGACCCTGACTCAGTTCCCTATTCCTTAATGTATTGGGAGAATGCTTTGCTTGCCGAGCTTATCAGATGTATTGGTCAATAACACTGTCTTAAAAGGAAACATACACTAGACCTTTGAAGGCAGTGTTACTGCTGAATGCCTGAGTTTTTTTGTTATTTGTACAAGTGTACCACGTAGGTATAAAATAAAATAAATCACGACGTTTCGGGCAGACCATGCTTTCCCACCTGATTTGTTTGTGTTGCGCCTGAAACGACGTGATTTATTTTATTTTCTACCTACGTGACTTTACTGAAAGAACCAAAGATTATGGATTCCTGCAGTCACGAAAGCTTCAAATCAAGATTGAATAAATACTGTAGTTTAACTTTATTTGTTACTAGTTCATAAAGCCTGTCTTCGCCGGGAAAAAGTTTTCAATAAATATAATAATTAACCTGATATGATTTTTACATTTTTTGTCTACCATCAGAAACTAACTACTCCAAAAAAATCATATTCTTCCGCAAAAAAAATGTGTTGACTTGATTCAACTTCTTGGTTCTTTCGGTAAAGTCACGTAGAAGGGAAGTAATAAAATAATTACATTAAAACAATTACATTCTCACGAAGTTTCGATTGCAACACAAGCAATCATCATCATCACCTGATAATGAAGCTTTAAATCGAAATTTGATTCAACTTCTTATACTTAAAGATGTACCTATCGGAAATCGCTCAATTCTAAAGATTCCGTTCTGTTTTAATTAGAAAAAAATTATTATTAACGTGAGGGAATCTCCTATCTTTTACAGTTTTCGAATTATTCCGTTTTGGACGTCATAAAAGGCGTATTTTTTCGTTAAAAACCGCTTGAATCCGAAATATCTCAAAAAGATAGAATGGTTCTCGCTTTAACTTTATTTGCTGTTTGATACTCCATCAAACGAAAACTACCGCAATATTATACTTTGAACGGTTTCTGAATGACACCAGAAACAAACATGTTTATGTGGCACTTAAACATCGAGATTTGGGGCCTTGAAACGAAGAATCTCGAATGCTCCGATTGCCCCTGCTGTTTGTGTCCTAGAAGCTACCCACGTCCCAAATGTCAGCTTTCTACCTTGTCGGGAAGTACGCTAGAGACATAGTAAGATAAAGGTCTTTATTTATATAGACATGTTATCGGTTTAAAGTGATTAATGGTGCAGATGCAGTCGTTCTTGTTCTTGATTCGTTCAGCCACGGAGGTGTGGTTACTTCCAACCTCAGCGAAAGCCACACAATATAGTACACAATTTGGCACACAATATACCACACTATATACCACACAATATACCCCACTATATACCACACTATATACCACACTATATACCACACTATATACCGCACTATATACCACACTATATAAAGCACTATATACCACACTATATACCGCACTATATACCGCACTATATACCGCACTATATACCGCACTATATACCGCACTATATACCACACTATATACCACACTATATACCGCAATATATACCACACTATATACCACACTATATACCACACTATATACCACACAATATAGCACACAATATACCGCACTATATACCGCACTATATACCACACTATATACCACACTATATACCACACTATATACCACACTATATACCACACTATATACCACACTATATACCACACTATATACCACACAATATAGCACACAATATAGCACACTATATACCACACTATATACCACACTATATACCACACTATATACCGCACTATATACCGCACTATATACCGCACTATATACCGCACTATATACCGCACTATATACCACACTATATACCACACTATATACCACACTATATACCACACTATATACCGCACTATATACCACACTATATACCACACTATATACCGCACTATATACCACACTATATACCACACAGCTGACGCCTGCCGACCTTCGCGTCGCCACAGGTTACACGGTGGCCACTGAAAATTGTCGGGTAAAAAATTGGAAATATCGAGCAGTTATGTATTGCGTGGCTTCACTGTCTACGTTAAGCAGCTATGGTGCACAACAATTGCTGTTACTTTTCATCACGGGCCACAAGCCTCCTCTTCACCATTTGAGTCACTGAAGAGAGAGGCCAGTAAGATTAAAAGGAACCACAGTCTCATAAGCCAGATACCAACACGATATGATAAGAGGGCATATGCGACATGCATAAGCTATGCCTTTCGGGCATGAGAGAATGACGGAAAGCAGGTGGAGATCACATTTTAGACTGTAATTCTTTAACGAACAAAGGGGACATAGTAAAAAATTAGCTTGAGTTGTTCATTATCGTGACAGTTCGGAATTGATACATGAATAGTTATGAATTGCCACGTCAATGTTTTGAATCGACGTGTAAATAATTTAGATTTGACATGGGAGTACTTTTTAATTAGCACCTTTTTTTCGGATAAAAGAGTGAAAATTTGCATATTCAGCCAAACTCGTTCCGGAAAACCGGCACATATCCCAAGTGAACACGATTGTGTTCGTAGATGGGTTAGTAATGGAGTTAGCGGAGACGCGGGTTGACACCTTGTGACTGGTTGGCTTTACCGTTATTCTCCCCGCGTACGGCCAAATGTAAAAGTCAAGAAGCAGTCATTTAGGTGCAGATTATTTAGCCGATGGCTGTGATTTATGGAGGCCGTGCATAGTTACTGCGCACCACTGTGGAGCGACCTTGTGGGGCGGTTGAGGACGCGGTCCAAAGTTTGTGGCGTCAAGCCACGGTCACATTCGGTGGGTTTTTTTTGTCAGATCGAAGCCAGAGGGTTCCGCTGTGGGGTTGGAGACGATGTCTGCTGTAGGTACTCATTCACCTCCATTCTGTCAGGCAGCGTTCCACAGGGTCGAACCCAGAGGTTTCGAGAGTGAATGAACACGTGGCTATCATTAAGCCAGATAAATGATTTATGATCTATCTTGTATTGCACTCTTATCATTTCATGGCATCATCAATTTAGACCAACTTTTTCCTTTAGGTAACCTATTCTTGTCCTGTTTTGTACGAACCTCCCCGGGATAACAAACTATATCTTTCGAATCACGATTAAAGATAGTCTATATGTCTTGCGATTGCAATGACGTCCAAGCCTTTTGTATCAACAGCCAGTTTAATTACAATGCTCAGACCCGTTGGCTACATACATTTAATACAAGTGAGATATGTTTTAGAAGAGATGGGAACAATATGTATTTCACAAGTTGCTTCAGAGATATGTACTGACTGGCAGGAATTGCTCCTACATTTCAATGCACATACATTTGTAGTGACATAAGATCGGTCACTTATCAGCATAGCGCTTGTTTCTGGCAGGGCAGGGGATCTGCAGTTACAGCAGCCCTGACTGACAGCAGGTCACGTGATAGACCAGAGAGAGGGATGTAGGGAAAGGTTCCAGAAGGGGCACGTGAGGGAAGCCCGGGAACCCGCTAGTAGGTTCGAGAAAGGGGGCGTGGTCGGGGCGGAGCGAGGCCACGCTGGGAGGATAAAAGGGGGCCCCGAGCAGGAGCTCGGGGCTGTCGTTTGGAGTGAAATCCCGTCGTGCTACTGGAGTCTTCGTCGCTGTCTTCGTTTTCACCATCTCGGCGTCGTCAGTCAGGCAGTCTGCTAGCTGTCCTGACTGGGTGCTGTAGTTACTAAATGTGAACTGTTAAGGCTGTTAATAAACAGAGTGCCTCCTACTCTTAATGTCTCTGAGTCAGTCACTACACATTTCTAAACACGATCAAAGGTCTTGCCTGCTGTAAAGTATTTTCACGAGGTTCTTGTGAAGAGGTTGTACACAAGTGCACGCCGTGTAAAATAGTGCTGGAGCTATGTGAATAGTATGTCCATAAAGACCGTCATGGGCTCTAGAACTTTGAACTGTCTTGTGCTAAACACTTGGGTTATTTTGTCTACAACAACTCTGGTGAAAGTTGGGATTATCTGCAGTTATGCAACTCTCGTATTGCTTTGGCGCTCTGCTACGGATGCAAAGTCAACTACACCGTTGCTTCTACATGCGAACCCACAATTGTGAAGAAAACGTGGCAACACCTCCCACCTGTTTGCCCATTCCATTGGCTCTCACTTCACTTTACCTTCTGTTCTAAAATTCGGGGCATTATGACCGCATCCAAATGAATCAGCTGATGCCATAACACATCAATAAACGAACCACTCGGAGAAAAACTGAACAATATTGACAAGTTAATCTACAAAAATAGCAAAATTGTGGCATTAGATGCGTTCATTGTGTTCATCATTGGCTAGCAGGTGGTGTAATTTTAATTCTATCACAATGTGTATGCCGATGTTTGTGTGTGTGTTTTGAAGCCTTGGGTTATTATCATTAAGGATCCTCAGTTGTAACCTGTAGCTTTACATATATATCGCCAACGAAAGAAATCAGTTCTTGCTCAAAGTACAACAATCGCAACAGCACGGCTGTTGACTTGGTGGCCGATGCCGCCCTGTCCGTGACCTTGCGCGAAGCCCACGCAGACCCGCGCTCTGGGGCGGTGACGTGGCCGGCGCTCGCTCTTTGTTGCAGAGGTGCAAGGTTCCTATTCAGCTGCCGCCCGCCCCCATTGTCACTGCGGCTGTAATGACGGCAATGATGCTCCACAGATCACGTTAAAGATCCCGTCAAGCCATTCGCAAATTACTTCTACTGGCAGACTAATGCCCCAGGTCACTCTTGCTAATAACGCATCCGGGTCTCCTGCGTCATCACTCGGTTAAACAAAATGAACAAACATGAACTTGATTTCTCAGCGGACCATGGTGCCCTCGCAATGCCTGCTTCGCGCGCAATAAAGTGGAGACATGTCCGCGCCGTTGTCGAACTACGACTGCTGCATACCACCATCCTCATAGCAACGATGCCACGTGCTGTCTCACGCTTCATAGCAGTTCACGCGAGGACGCTTCGTGCACGTGTCTTCACAGTCTGAACGTACTGTGTGACAAAGGTTTACAATTATTAACAGGAGAGAGCAAATAGACCGTGTGGGTGGAGGCGCCATGCTCAAACTTGGAGAACCGTTCCCATGATGATTTACCTCTCAGAGATGGTTTCCCTGAGAAGTCGACAGCAGTGAAGCTGTTCCCATGCACCTTTAGCTTTATTTGGAGAGTTCACAGCAAGATTAATTTATTATTTGTAGATGAATGTGTTGACCACAACGCTAAATGTTAAATTATTCTATACTCTCTCTATACAGTACTGTGTTCACTCGATGCAAGGTTTGTTATTGCCGTGTCACTGACTTGCGTTGACACGAATAATGTCTGATGCCCCCTCGTGACAGGTGGTGGACGACCATGTGGATCCTGAGATGACTCTGCTCACCTACATCAGGAACAAGTGTATCCTTGTTGCTGAACGAGAATGTTTATTCTTTGGGATTTTAGTTAATTGCTTCAATATGAGAGGAACAGGGATCTACGCCCTCCATTGAGTTGTGATGCTCAAATTGCATGTGCGAGCGGCTGATAACAGAGTTTTACACCTATGTGGATATTGTTAATTATGATAGATATATAGTAATACAAGTAGAATATATATTATCTTATCTAGGATGTTATATAGCGCTTTAGTCAACGCGCTTTACAAGGATTAGAAATTGTACATTAATATTGGCTAATGGGGGAAAAGGGATGGAGTTAGAGTGTTGGGGAGGGCGGTGATAGGGAAAGGGAGGGCTGGCGAGGTTAGGAAGGGGGAGGATGGTTAGGGTTTTTAGGATGCGGACAGGAAGCAGTAGAGGGATACGCTATTGAAAGAAGATGAGTGTTAAGGGAGGAAGAAAAAGTGGCGAGTGAAGTTGCTTGTTTGATGTGAAGTGGGAGTTTATTCTAATGGAGGGGAATCCGGAGGGAAACGGAGTGGACACGTGACTGAGCACAGGGAAGGGGGGGGGGCAATAGCGATTCTGTTGGCTCGGGATGTGATCGAGTTTTTGCGCATTTTTTTCTTCTGAAAAATGTGTCCGTGTACCAATGCTTCTGATTCAATGCCAGCAGGATGGTTTAAACTGACAGCATTGGTGCCCAATGGCATCAGTCACTGGTGGCGTGGATTGCGTGCAGAGCGCTGAAAGGCCATGGTGATGTTTCCATATAATGCAAATGTAAATAAAATAAACTTATGTTATCTGCAGTTCACATTAAGTCAGCCCATCCGAACGGGTCAATCATCCCTTCCACTTGGGCATCGATGATAGAGCTTTCCACAAGTGCACTGATGTTGTGCATTGTTTTTTTCTGATTGTCAGTAACCACTCTCTCCTGCCAAGATGATCTCTGATATTTTGTTTCCGACCGGTAATTTAAGATAGACATAACAATATTATAGTAATGAGTCTTGTGTTTAATCGCTTGGTCCAGATGTCAGGTTTAGTCACCACGTGTTCCTTAACACAGCGAACCAGTGCTGCTCAAGGGGACCAAGCTGGGCTGTGCGGAGGGAGGCTGTGGCGCCTGCACAGTTATGGTCTCACGATATGACCACGACACTCGTGAAATTTCGTATCCTTATTTACGTGGCATTTGCTCATACACACAAGCACAACATAACATGCCACAAACATACTTTGACAATTGTATGATGATAGCATTAAGGTTAAAACTGTAACGAGTCAAAAGGTGGCATAAGTAACGTTTATTTTAATAAGTGAGATCAAATCTCAACACAAACGAGGCAACTTGACCTTGACGGACAATGCAGCCACCTTGCTGTGAACGCGTGTCTGACCCCCGTGTGCTCCGTGTACGGCTGCGCCGTCACCACCGTCGAGGGCATCGGCAGCAGCCGCACCAAGCTGCACCAAGTGCAGGTATTGACGGCACCCGATAGTCCACGGCGACCACTTCTCTCAATTCCACCCCTAGGAGGGGCAGGGGCCCTGGCGAGTACCAATGTTGGGTCTGGTCCGAGCAGTGCGTGCGCCGTGCTCTTACTGTCCACGCCAGCACCGACCGCGTGCTATCGAGAACCCGCGCGACGAGGCCCAGCGTGCCGTTGCCCACGTGGCAGCGTGCTGCAGTGCCGTGATGCGGCACAGCGATTCTTCAATGTGGATCTCTGTGGATGAATGTGCACACGGCAGGAGCGGCTGGCCAATGCCCATGGCTCACAATGTGGATTTTGCACACCTGGGATGGTGATGAGCATGTACGCGTTGCTGCGTACCCATCCCCAGCCCAACGCCAAGCAGCTGCAGGACACCTTCCAGGGTAGGTTGAGAGCGCACACACACGCACAGAGCCCTGATTCAGTAAAAGCCGAACGTGTAAGGAATGTGTGCAGTCCAGCGACATTTCCTCTACAAAACCAGTTTCATACAGCAACTGACCTTCATCACAAACATGCAATTTCGTGCAGTTGGTCATACTTTGTGTCTCGAGTAAAGTAATTTATGAATGTTTTGGCGTTTTGTAAACGCAACGTGTGTTCTCCCATGACGTTTGCCCTCTGGAGTAAATGGGGCACTCGGTTTCACTGCTCCAGCGCCGACAATTCCCCAATGATGGGAAGGGCGACGGGCTCCGTAAAGTCGCGGTGCTCAGTAACGGAGATATGCCCAGTCTGGCCCTGATTCACCTGACACACGTCTACACGTATGTGCACACACGGTGTACCTGTGTTTGCTAACCTGTCTAACAACGGTCTGTCTAACATCAAACGGGCTCCTTGATGCAGAAGGCATTATAACTGGTCATTATTTTCGTGGTGAGGTAATGAAATTAAGCATTTGGGTTCGATTTCCGACCCGGGTACCTTTTTATATAGAGTGTTCATGTTTCCCCCAGTTCTGTATGGGTTTCCTCCATAGAGTGATTAGTGTCTCGGCCTCGCTGTGTGCTGCGTTGCACCACTATCCGAGTAGTTAACCTCGCATTCAATACACCTTCAGAACCAGGGTGAACATCCGACTCCAAACGTATTTAATGCATTGAACGAGGTAAAACTGATGGAAAAACACAGCACAAAATACAGCATCTGTTAATACTTAGAATATCAATACAATTGTAGTGCCATTGTTCGGCGGTATGATTATCACCATTGAGTCTTACCTGCAGTAGTGGACATGTGCCAACAGAGGGTGGTAGACAGAATAGGTGGGATGAGTCGGTCCGTTGGGCCACCAGGGACCCCAGACCCCAAGAGGGGGGGCTGGGGGGGATGCCGTTACATTCCAGGGCCCCCTAGAGAGTTCGAGAAGGAAGATGTGGCGAGGAGCGGAGAGACTCTGGAAGGGGTATAAAAGCCGGACCTTTGAACAGGTCCGGCAGTCATCGTCCACCTGAAGACCTGAAGCGAAGAGCCCAAAGGGCAGAACCCGAACCCCTGGCTAGGGTCGGGTTCAGAGCTCACCAGTCTAGGGTAGAGCTATAACCAGTGAGGGAACATTAGTCTGGAGGGGCTACCTCCTTAGGGTATCGGGTGTAAGGGGCGTTACCCCTTTGTGGCATGTACCCTTAGTTATAATAAACGTGTTGCCTCCAGCAAGTCTTGCTCTCCCTGCTTACCCACTACACAATGAATGAACACTGCATCATCATAACATTGTTTTAGATAACATGCAACTCAACAATAGGTCCTGGATGGACCAGGCACCTACATTAGCACTGAATAGCTATACAAGAGAATAAGCTACTGTGTTAAATAAGGTCACTTCGTGTAATCACCATATACTGCAACCTAAATGTACAGCGCTGCACATAACACTGAACTGTGGATGAGATACTTCTTCATCCTTGCTCTCAAGATCGCATTAAAGTTACATGGGTACAAATCTGACTCGATTTATTCAATTACAAGTAACATTCACAATCATGCAAGTGGCAGGCTTCATTGTTAACTAGGCCTCATTTATCATAACAATTTAACAGCATTATAAAGGCTTTTACAGCATTATAACGGCAAATCCTAACATTATAACAGCATTTCCAGTATTATAAGAACATAGACGAACTTACAGACAATGCTTCTTAAAGCCCCACAACGAACAGATGCACCTGTCTTCACTGAGACACTATTTGTGCCTCCATTGTGTACTCTGTGTAATGGCTGACACTCTGCCTCATGGCTTAGAGAATCTTAAATTGTCACTTCCTGGTCACGTGACCAAACTCAACACCATATCAGGAAATCCCTGTGTACGCACACCCCCATATCTGCCACGAGGCAGAACAATTAGTGTTGGCCAAACATGCAGTGTGGCGTTCCTGGGTAAATAAGTAAAGTAAAATTATGTTGTACCACCTAATCATTTCTCATGCACATTCCTTTCAGGGAATCTCTGCAGATGCACAGGATACCGTGCTATTATTGAGGGATACAAGCCATTCATTAAGGTACAGGATGCATATCAGTTGGTCACTGTGTTACCTGGATTATCCATCGTGGTGAAACTTGGGAAGAAATCCCGACACCTGCAGCGGTGTAGCTGCCTGCTGTTGTTGCTGCTGCAGCACTCGGCACCCCCGCCTGGCTCGTTCCCTTATGTTTACAGGTCGTAGAGATGATGCACGCGTGTCCCACAACCAGCTCAGGTTTCTACATCATTTTTGATTTAAAGCTTTCGTGACTGCAGGGATTCATCTTCTTGGTTCTTTCGGTAAAGTCACGTAGACAGAGTCTACTTGACGAACCTGTTCTCCACCTGAGGACGGCTGCTTGCGTTGTGGCCGAAACGTCGTGAGAATTATTTTATTATGTTTTATTTTTATTATTTTATTACTTCCCTTCTACGTTACTTTACCGAAAGAACCAAGAAGATTTCTACATCATATTGAACTCTGGGTGGCTACAGTTTCTCACACATTACGTTCTTTTGAGCTGGTGGTCTTGATAAGGCTGCGACCTGTACAGACAGTGCTGCACACCTCTGTATATTTTCAAATCTTTCATATTGAGAACGCATTAGCGAAATAAAATGAGAGTGCACATCTAATTGCAGCATCAGCAAGAGGTCTTATAAGTTTCGATTTAAAGCTTTCGTGACTGCAGGGATTCATCTTCTTGGTTCTTTCTATAAAGTCACGTAGAAGGGAAGTAATAAAATAAAAACATAATAAAATAATTCTCACGACGTTTCGGACACAACGCAAGTAGCCGTCTTCAGGTGAAAACCAGGTCTGTCGAGACCACAGCGTCTGAATGAAACAGCACCATGCTTGGAGCATATATTTAAGCTGGGTTGGAAGGGGGGGGGGGGGGAAAGGGCGCCTTGACAAAATAATTTGCATATCAAGAGGAATTTAGCATATTTATGGGAAATGCAGGTATGTGATTAGTACTACTTATGCCCGTGCATTATGCAGGATTAGCAGCATCAAAGGGAGGGGATATGGGAAATGCAGGTATGTGATTAGTACTACTTATATAAGTAGTATATATATAAGTAGTATATATACTAATCAAATTGTGACGCTGATTCACGACGATTCATAAAGCACCTAAAACCCAACTTGCTTCATTGCTCGGAGATCTGTGCACAGTTTGTCGCACAATCCGTGAGCCTCACGGAGAGACGCCTCTGCTGCCGAACGCAGGCCTCAGGTTGCTGTGGAAATGCATCTCGAGTTGGAGGCTGCTGCAAGGAAGAACAAAACTCGGCCGTGGTGAGGTCTCCACTTGGCACGCACCCCCGGGTGGCACACGGCGTGGACACTCGAGCAGCGCTGCCGAGAGCCCCCCCGTCACACCCCCTCTCCCCAGGGGCAGAACGGCAGGAGCGCAGTGCTCGTCACCCTTAGCACGCCATCGCTGGCTCGTACTCCAACTGGGATGTCGACGTCAGCCACTCGGCTTGCTGGGAATTATCACGTTTGTCCCGCCTGTCACGGTTGTACCCGATTATAAATCTGCCATCCATTATAACCCCTTCCCTTAATTCCTTTTGCTTTTATCATATTTATCCTGAACCCAAATTTGAAGCCCCCCAGTTAAGCAAACGGGCTTGGGTAGGACACGTCTCAAGAAGGAGCCGATGGAGTGGAACGATCGTCAGGGAGAGTGACAGAGTGGCAGCCGTGGAACGGAACGTGCCCAAGTGTACGTCCACCGAGTATAGGTGCTACGTGGATTATTACAGCACAGGATAGTGAGAGGTGGCCACAGCCTGGGCGGCCTTCGACCAGCAGTGGATTGATCATGGCTGGTGATCTAGACGAGCTGTTTGATGAGCTGCCATGCTGCCTTTGAGGCCCCTGGTGTCGTGCGTATGGTATTCACGCTGGGCTCTGACGAATGTGCCGCAGGGCTCGAACGAGGAGCCGCCCCAAGCTGAGTCTCCCGGGGCCCTGCCGCTGGACCCCACGCAGGATCTCATCTTCCCTGCAGAGTTGCAGGTGAGTCCCTTGTCGCAGCAGCGAACGGGATGCGTCAAGACGACGATGTCGTCAGTAACTCTTGAGATCCTTACTCACTTTTCCATTCAATGTATGTCTTGGTTTCATCAGTTTGGTGGCAGTGTGGTGGCGCAGTGGTAATACTTGTGCCTCACAGCAAAAAGCCTCGAGGTTCGATTCCAGTATTGGGCTCCTTGCTTTGTGGAGTTTGTATGCTCTTCCCTTGTTCTGCTTGGATTTTCTCTGATTTCTGTTTCCTCCCATACCTAAAAAAACACGATGCAACCGGTATTGGCCAAACATCACAATTGCTGAAGAACTACCTGCAAACTTGGCAGGATCCTCCTGAAATAGTCTTGAGACTCAGTGAGGCTTTCCTGTTCAAATACGCATACCATTTAAATAACAATGAACATAATCTGTTATGAGGCAATGTTATCACGCAGCAGCTTCCCACTCCTGAAGATACATGTAAGTTCCAGTGATACAGACAGATTGTCTGTGGTTCCTCAGCGACCAATAAATAGCAACGTGAACTCAGCCACGAGTGTGGGGTTGTGGATCCCCTTCAGAGCAGCCCCAGCGCTGCCAGCGGTCGCACCGCTTGTGGAGGCAGCCCTGGCAGTCGTCGGCTCAAACGTCTCTCGGTTGCCTCCTCGCATTTGCCTCCATGTCCTCAGCGCCTCCACTTCCAGCGAAATTTACCCATCGAGTGTCTGTCTAGGCCAGTTCTCTTGCGGTGGGTCTGCTTGTCCTTTTGGTTTTTGCCTTCGAGTTGTACGAGTTTGGTAAGGAGAATGTGGTCACGATTTGTTTTTTAGAGAACGCGCTATACACTGGGGCGTCTCACACTGCTTTACATCGCATCTGATGCATTTCAAAGAGAACCCCAAAGGCTGTTCCTATGACTCAGCGCCTGGCCTGAAAATGAGTTTAAGTTTGTCCATCACGAGGTGTTGATTGCTATATGTAATCCCTATTTATTAATTTCGGGTCATTTTCAAACTGTCAAATTTGGACCCTGACACCGGAACACAATGACCTACTCGTTTCAAATAATGTCACGAGATCTTTAACATCCACTGTGAAGTGGATGGCGCGTAGCGTTTTTCCCAGTTGTTGCAAATGTAGTAATTAACCAGGGCAGCCTGTTGGGCTCGAACCGCAAGCCTCTGCAACGAGCGGCGAACGCGTGGCGCCACCGCGGGGCACACCGGGGGGCATGTCTGGGCTCAGGCATACGTCAGAGACTCATCACTGAGACTCCCACGTCGGTGCGCAGGATGCGTACAACCCCGACGGGACTTGGGAGTGGAGATGACAACCCGAGTTCCCGCACTGTTAAACGAGCAGAGCTGGTGCCGCCGCGTGTGCTCCTGTGGTTCCTCTGCCCGCAGCTGAGCACGGACCTCGAGCAGGGGATGCGAGTCTTCCGGGGGGAGCGCGTCGCGTGGCACGAGCCGAGCAACCTCCACGAGCTGCTGGAGCTGCGCTCGCGATTCCCGGACGCGCGCATCGTCGTGGGGAACACAGAAGTCGGTACGCGCACGTTCACCGCTCTAGGCAGAGGTTCACCTTTCAAATCCGGTAGACCACCCCGGTTATTAGTGCGGGTGTAGGAACTGTAAAGATGCTTCGCACCATCTAATTACAGCGGATATTCAAGATCTTTTTAACGGAAACCTGGCAGGACCCTCCTGAAAGGAAATCTTAAGACTCAGTGAGGCTTTCCTGGGTAAAAAATCGGAACAATGCGAAAACAAAACAAGCCTCATACAATAAAACCTTTAAATAAACCACACGTTCTGTAGGTATGACAGCAGTGGTCACATTTCCCCCATGAGATGTATGACAGGTGTTACTGCATGTACGTCTCCTACGATGACAATGGGGAGGTAACGAGTGCTGTGCTTGCAGGTGTGGAAGTGAAGTTCAAGAACAAGCACTATCCCTGCCTGCTGGCTCCTGCTCGTGTAGCTGAACTCAACCAAGTTCTCTTCTCTGACACTGGTTCGTCCTACATCACATTCTCTGTGTATTGCTGATTGCATTCGAATGGCATAAAAACAGTGGTAAAGGCGTAGCCTCGCTAGCCAAGGCGATGACACCATTATGCGTGACGCTGTCTCGCGACGTCACGCATCGAGAGATGACCGCATCTCGTCCATAAATAAATACTTCTGGAGTAAACGCACATTGGAAAGCATTTGCAATGCCATGCATATGGATGATTTCTCTCGTTTGATATGAAATATCTGAATTTGTATGACTGCTGTGATAATATCACTGCACAACCCTACTCCACAAAATGCCAAACAAATCTATTTTAAAATATAGATCTGGGTGGTGCTAGGGTGGCGCAGTGATTATACTTGTGCCTCAAAGCTAAAAGCACCTGGGTTCGATTCCTGTGTTGGATGGGCGGCTTTCTACATGGAGTTTGCATGTTCTCCCCTTGCTCAATATGGGTTTTCTCCGGGTTCTCCAATTTCCTCCTTGAGTTGAAGTGCAAACAACATGATTGATATTGGCCAAAATATCCCAATACTGAACAAGTATTATAGCTGCAAATTATTGCGAAAAGCTGGCAAGACCCTCCTAAAATAGTCTTTGCGACTCATCGAAGCTTTTCTGGGTGAACAAGCGTAGTAATAATACAAATAATGAAATGATGAACACACTGAAAATTCAATATATTCGTCCAAAACTACAGCGGCAATATTTATAAAAGCGAGGAGGTGTCTGGCCGTGACTGTGGGTGGTTCTGTGAGCAGGGCTCTGGCTGGGCGCCGCGTGCACGCTGAGCCGGGTGGGGGCCGCGCTGGGCGCCGCGCTTGACAAGGGGCCCGCGGCCAGCGGCGAGACGTTCCGCGCGCTGCTCGACGTGCTGCACTCTTTCGCGGGCACCCAGATCCGCAACGTGGCGGTGAGTCGCCTCCCAGATCCGCAACGTGGCGGTGAGTCGCCTCCCAGGGCTCCTTGCCGCTGTCACCGCGCGCCCCGCCAGGAGTCCGTGACGAGGCAGCCCGTTGGTGGGACAACCCAAAAGCACCAAATATAATAAATGACTCACAAAGGTGTGCCTTGCATGTGTAGCCAATCTCAGCCTGGTCCAGACCTCCGGGTTCTCGAGGTTCTCCTGTTTCCTTACATTGTCAAATCACTCCATTGGGACGACATACGGCAATATTGTCCTCGACTTGAAAACTTGGCAGGATCATCCTGACAATGGGTATTGAGACTCTCCCGGCTGTGGCTGACTGGGTAAGGAGACATGATCCTGTTATCACTGTTGTTGTTGCTGTTATGCAATTCCCATAGATGGGAGGTTAAACAAAGAGTCCATGATTTCACCGACTGCCAGAGACGCGCACACACGGGGTGCGTACACGTTGTTCTGCGCAATCTGTTTGTTACACTGTTTCATTAGGGTCATGGTCCACATTGCAAAGTGCATTGCCCATAAATGCTATGGCGGTGTGGTGTTGGGCACTTTTGTCGCGATTGTGCCGGAAGCATTCATGTTGTGGCTGATGGCAGATTAGATGAGCGAAAACTATCGTTCATCTGCTACTCTGGCTGTTGTCAATGTGACCTTAATTGACTCTGAGACACTTTCACTGAATCCTAGGAATACGCACTCTTTGCATCACCGTACACAGTCGCTTCTCGAGGCTGGACACGGGCAAGCCGAGATTGGGGTCACCCAGAATGGCAACCGAAAGGAAAGACATATTTTGCTTGAATCTTGTACTCACATTTATCTGGAGCCCAATTTTGTAGTCTTCTTAATTACACCCTTTCATGTCCTGCCGTTCATTCCCCTGAATTTCCATAATGACCAAAGTCCTCCGCAAATCTGAGATGACAACATGAATGCTCATGCCTTCATTCCTTCAATTAAATTTTCAGAAATATGTTCTTCACGGAATAACTTTGTTGAGGGCGTAACTCCACGCCGAACTCCCAATGATTAGTATTTTGTGAATTAAATAACAACATTATTTGGAATGCCGCTCACAGTTGTATTTAAAGTCAGAGGCACAAGAAACCCCAGACAAGTGGGAAGGCAGCCAGGAGCGGTGCCAATAACTGCCCAAGCTCTGGGGTCCTTGATTGGGATACTTGGCCAACGCCAAGGATACATTTGTATACATGTGGGAGAAACCAGAGTACCCAGAGAAAACCCACACGTACAGATGGGAATTAACCCACTTGCTGTACTGCCATTACACCCTGGCAAGCCAAGAGATGGCGACGTCACAGCCCAGCTGGTTGTGGGAGTTTCACAAATTCTTATGATCCTCCATGGCGCCACAGAATGCTATGTTAAATATCCAGGCTGCACGGTGTCATAACTCATGGTTTCACGCACCTGCAGTTCTCAATACCTCGTGCTGGGTTACGAGCAGTTGTGACAAACCTCCTCCCACTCACCCCCTGCAGGCAATCGGAGGTAACATCATCACAGCAAGCCCCATATCGGACCTGAATCCTGTGCTCATGGCTGCTGGTGCACAGCTGTCCCTCGTCTCGCCCGGTGAGAGATCCACCCTATCCATCGCGCAGCACGAACCAGAAGATTATACAAATTGGTGAAGTGTCCGTTCCCGTGCCCACTCTCCAGCAGCAAATTATTCGGGATGACGGGAGCATTACCCGCACATGAGGATGATCACCGCTGTCTGATTTAAGAGTCAGGAAACCTATCCGCCGTGATGTCCGGTGCTGCACGACGCTGGTTCATGTGGTTCACTTCAACAAAATGTTTCTGCATTTTTTATTATTATTCTGCTTGCTTACCCAGGAAAGCCTCACTAAGTCCCACAACTCATTTTCAGGAGGGTTCTGTCAAGAGTTCACAGTAGGGAGCGATGATTGCTAAGTATAGTCCAATTGAGTAATATGTTTGTAATTTTATTAACTTGGGAAATTAGATTTTTTTTAGTTAAAGCTTTCGTGACTGCAGGGATTCATATTCTTGGTTCTTTCGGTAAAGTCACGTAGAAGGGAAATAATAAAATAATAAAAATAAACCAGTTCAATTATCATGACGTTTCGATTGCAACACAAGCAATCATCATCAGGTGTGAAAACCACAGCAAGAAAATTTTGAAAAAAGTGGCAGTTTTTTCTTAACGTCAGCACCACGGACAGCGACGAGCGGTTGTTGAGACGGACGAGTTCATCTATGCTCGGAACGGAGGAGGGGGGAGAGAAGGAGCATGGAATGCGGTCTTAAAGTCACCGTAAGCGTGAACACAATCAATCAAGACCCGAAATGGTTTATCACATCCTTCCAATGATTGCTAAGCCAGAATCCATCTTCTCGGTTGAAATTGCCTCTGTGTTTGTAAATGTGGATAGCCTCATGAACGAAACGCCACTTTTTCAAAATGTTCTTGCTGTGGTTTTCACACCTGATGATTATTGCTTGTGTTGCAATCGAAACGTCGTGAGAATTTGATTGTTTTGCTTTTATTATTTTATTATTTCCCTTCTACGTTACTTTACCGAAAGAACCAAGAATTTGGGAAATTTGGACCATGATGCTGGCACACTATGGCCTAGTCTTGCGAAATACATCACAGGATCTTGAAAGTCCACTGGGAAGCAGACGTTGCGTAGAATTGTTTATGGTTTACACGCCACCTGCAGTATTCAATCAGAGCGGACGCTGGATGCAAGCCATGAACCTTTTGAACGAGCAGCGAAGGCCCTAAGTATGCTTTCATACATTTGTACCCTAACTACAGCATCTGCAATTTCAATGAAGTATAGGAGAGCCTTGTATTTTATTTGCTACACAAAGTTTCTGTAAGTAGTCACTTTTCCTATCAGCTTCCCATCTGCTGCATCCATACCATCTTGTCCACGTTGTTTGAAGGATAGAGACATTGCTGTGTTTAGGTCGTACAGAAGGTACCAGGAGGCGAGACAACGAAGCTCCTGTGCAGCATCGTGTTACCCGCGTGCTGCGTGGCCCACCGTCTCGTCCATCCTCGCCTGCGCCCCCACCCCACGCATCTCCTCGCACCCCCTGCGACGCCTGCCGTCCGTGTTGCCCACCAAAGACAAAGACTCCCTATGTGGCTTTAACAGACTGTTGGGGAAAGTGCTGTTAGCGAGCACCTATCAAGGCTGGCAAGGCACACGATGGGGTGATGTGGCCAGCACCATGCCTGGCCACCTTTGTCTCACCGGTGGCAATTTTTACTCACGACTCCAGGTACTCAATTGAAGACTGAGTTGACCTACGGGAAGCCGAGAATTGCTTCAGACATCCGTCACTGATGTTGGCTCTGCATTGTCGCCCACCTCCCCCCTCTGACTCCCCCCCCCCCTTCCCCAGCCGGAAAACGGGTAGTCCCGATGGACGGCTCCTTCTTTACGGGATACAGGCAGACACTGCTGCGCAGTGACGAGCTGCTGCTGGCTGTGTTCGTGCCTTACTCCCGCCCGGTGCGTGACGCTCGCTCCGCGCCATGCGTTATCCACCGGTGCCCGGCTTCTCTCGCCAGTGTCGCTGTCTGTCTGTGCAATTCTGCGTTTTATTTCTGTGCGGCATTCTCTCTGCACTGATCCTTCTCGGGGGGATCTGTTTGGCTCTTCATCTTGTCTCTTTGGGAATTTTTGGGATTTCTGCGTGTTGTATTTGGCCATTGGCTTGGCTTCGTGCTGATGCCACAAGCCACGTGCGTGGTTGCCAGGACTTGATGAGAGATTTTAATAATGTTGAGATTTAAATGTATCTGTCTTTGTGACGAGTCACTGAAATTTTCACATCTTATGAAAGTGCGAAGATAAAGAGGTGACAATCGTAGTTGAGAATTTCCATGTGTTTGATGTTTAATCTGAAATTTGAAGTAATTTTTTCACTTCCGATTTTACACTCCGCATGTTCCACATTCAGAGCTTTACTTTCCTCATTTACGTTCGTGACATTCCAGAGAGAATACGTGATGGCCTTCAAGCAGGCGCAGCGACACGAGGACGACATCGCCATCGTGAACGCCGGCATGCGTGTGCGCCTGCACACCGCCTCACTGCGCGTCGCCGAGCTCAGCCTGGCCTACGGGGGCATGGCGCCCACCACGAGGGCCATTTCACAGGCGGCCACCAATACCTTCATCGATAGGCAAGCCGCGTCGGTAGTCTTGGCTTGGGGGAAATGCTGATACGCGCAATTCCAATGGAGTAATTGGCAGGTTAATTTGCAGCATACCAGTTACATTATATTTTTCTTTATCTATGGGAAGAAACCGGAGAACCCAAAACAGGGGAGAACATACAAACTACACGCAAATAGGCGCCCAAGTTGGGAATCGAAGCCAGACTCTTCTTGCTGTGAGGCACCAGTGTTAGCACCACGCACCCTACTGTCAGCTTGACGTTATGTGTGTATGATGTGTGCCGTCGGCTGCAGGCTGTGGGACGAGTCTCTGCTCACTGACGTTTGTGCCGTGCTGGTGAAGGAACTGCCGCTCTCTGCTACAGCTCCAGGAGGCATGGTGGCTTTTCGACAAACTCTTGTTCCCAGCTTCTTCTTCAAGTTTTACTGGACCGTGCTAAGAAAGCTGCGTGAACAGGTGCGTAGATAAATGGAGTGACTTCTAAAGATGTTTTTATTTCTTGGAAAATTGGGCATCAAGGTAGTGGCGTATTGGTAACCCTGTGCCTCATGGCAAGAAGGGCCTTGGTTTGATTCCCGACTCGGAGGCCTATCTGCGTGGAGTTTTTATGTTTTCCCCTTTGTTTTGCATGGGATTGCTCCGGGTTCACCAGTTTTCTCCCATGGCAAGACAAAGCTCCCACTGCGTGGGGCAGCTGCTCATATTTTCTCTCTCCATGAACTTCAATTTCTCTCCAGTCTAATCCACCGCCCTCACATCTCACTCTACCAATTCATCCTGCCATCTCCCCCTTGGTCTTTTCGTGCTCGTTCTGCCCTGCACCGGCTCGTAGGGGCACGAATGAAACTCGTAGTAATCAACGCTCTTGAGAAGAAGTACAAATCTGCATGGTGAGAGCTCCAAAACACAACAGAGAATGTGAGTTTGTGTGATTCATCCCCGCAAGTTTGTGAATTGCCATGGCTTAGGGACACAATTTAGTTGAACAATAGATTATTTTGTAACTTGTTTTTACCGTCATTTTTTTCGTACGGTTGTGTACCATGAGTTCAAATGCAACATTAGCATATAAATTGCATACATAGCAAATAATCAGTTTTCATGCCCAATATAAAAATACGTGTATTGTGAGCTTATGCATTTATTTTAATCAATGAATCAATTCAGTGGCATGTGCCTAATAGTGTGTATGTTTCCTGATACTTGTAGGATGAGGACATCTCAGAGATTCCACCAGAGCACATAAGTGCCACTCAGCCCTACCAGCAGAAGCTGATACAGAGCATGCAACTCTACCAGGTATGTGCACACTCCTACTTACAAGAACACGCGTGTCATATATTAAGCGACAACGTGGCACAGTGGCAACATTCGTTCTTCACACCAAGAAGTTCCTGGGTTTGATTCCTGAGTCGGGCGCCTTTCTGCGTGGAGTTTGTGTTCTCCCCCCCCCATCCCTTGGAGTTCCCGGTTTTCACCCATAGCTAGAAGAATACACAATGTAACTGATCATGGCCAAACATCCCAATGCAGTTACGTATCTGCAAATTACTCAATTGGGATTATGCATAGCAGCATCACACCCTACTGTTAAAACGTGGCAGGACCCTCCTGAAAAAGTATTGAGACTCACTGAGACTTTCCTGGGTAAACGAGCGCAGCAATAACGATTAGTACCGAGCGCGGCGCAAACATCACCACCAGGTAGACAAGGGCGGCTGACCACCCACGCCTCGTGCGTCGTGCCAGCCTTGTTGCTAACGGTGCTTTCCCCTGCGGCCTGTAACGGTGCCACAGCGTCGGCTGACGCGAAGTTTGTTTTCTCCGCAGGAGGTGCCGCTCGGCCAGCGAGCGGAGGACGCCGTGGGCCGCCCGGTGCCGCATGTGGCCGCGGCGTTGCACACGAGCGGGGAGGCAGGGTACTGCGACGACTTGCCGCGCCTGGAGAACGAGCTCTACATGGCCCTAGTCACCAGCTCGCGGCCGCACGCCGCCATCACGTAGGCCCCCTCAGCGAGCGCCGGCTTATTAGGGTGGCGCAGTCGTGACGTTCAGTAACGCTTGTGCTCGCAGTAAGAAGGCCCTGGGGTTCGATTCCCACCTCAGGCGGCCTGTTCTGGATGGGTTTCCTCAGGTTCTCCGGTTTCCTTCCAAAGCTAAAATCATGCTATGTAATTGCTGAACAGTCACCTGCAAGTTACTCAATTTGGATTACGGGAACGACATTTCCCTTTGCAGGATCCTCCTAAAAAAGAGTTTGAGACTCAGTGAGACTTTCTTGGTTAAATATGGTACGTGTAGTAATAGTAAATAATAAAAGAATTAGCACATTTAGTATTTGCACCATTCTTATAGTGCAACGTTATCAGGAAGGAAGACGCTTTGTTTTACAGACATAATTTCCAATAGTTTTGCATGATTGGGCGATGTGTTTTTGTCACGCACTGCAAAGTTTAATTACATTAAGAGGTGCCCAAGCCCTGTGGCTCTATATTAGGATGTTTGGCCAACTCCACGAATAAGTGTTTATACATTTGGGAGGAAACCTACACGTTTCAGGGGCTAACACTCGTTCCCCGTACAGATAGAATATGGATTGAAACGTACCCACTTGCTGTACTGCCATCATACCCTGGCGAGCCATGAGATGACGACCTTGCAGCCCGTCGGTTTTGGGAGTTTGATGAAAGCGGACAATTCACCAATCCTCGCTGTCTGCCCGGAGCGGGTTCGCCGCACACTTTCTGTCACTTCACGAGCGGCGAGCTCCACGCTCCGTGTCCACCTCCATTTGCTGCCGATGGCCCCTTGCGTGCAGGGCGATCGACACGAAGGAGGCGCTCGGCCTCCCAGGGGTCGAGGCGTTTATCGGCGCTCGCGACGTGCCTGGGATGAACCACAGTGGCATCTTCCACGACGAGACGGTCTTCGCAGACGGCAAGGTGAGTCTGCAGCTGCACGCGCATGTCTCCTCATTGGCCCGTCCATGCATCTCCTCCCCGAACAGAGAGGGAAATAATCCACAGGGCACATCTAGAATTCTTGCTTAATGAAAATAAGCTGCCATCCTTGTCCTATATCTTCAACTGGCAAGTGACATCATGTTGAATTGCGTTGGATAGCCTTGTGTTCAGCATTAACGTGGGCTTTTTGTTAAACTGTAATTTTATTTACCATCAAAATACGCGACGTCTGCTTCACAGCAGACGTTAAAGGTCCCGCAACGACCTTGAAACCGAGGAGGAGGCCCCTGTGCAGGCGTCAGGGTCCACATTTTACAAATTCTAAGATTATACCACTAAATCGAATTTCTCGATTTGGATTAGATATAGCAATCATAGGCGACTCCCTTCTGTGAGATGAAACAGTGATAAGTGGCGCAGTAAACGCTCCTACAAGTGGACAGTTAACTTGTTTGGCTGGATCGGGGGGGGGGCGGTGGAGGGTTCTTGACAATACAAACCTGTTTGTGCGTGGAATATGCTTCACTTTCCAGTCTGTAGTACGAAGCGAAGACATTGTGACATGTCGCATCAATATTGACTTGGTGTTGCGGGTGCTGTGCATCAGGTCACGTGCATCGGTCATGTGATCGGGGCTGTGGTGGCCGATACACAGATGCACGCCCAGCGTGCTGCTAAAGCCGTGAAGGTCACTTACGAAGACCTGCAGCCCGTCATAATCACCATGCAGGTGAGACACTCGCTGGGCGTGCTGGTGACAGTGCACACTGTGGAGCTGGCTATTGTGAGCCCACAAGTGGAGGGTCACACCTCTTGTCTCTCTTCTGTTGTGGCGCTCGGCCACTGTCCAGCTGTAAGAGTGGGACGACGTTTTGTTACTCTGCGTATGTTGGAGGCGGTTAAACTGAGACGGTACAGGCGTGTCGTGTGTCACTGTGTTTAGATCTCCTCACAGTGGCGACACACGCTACCGCGCTCGCGAGCGAATTGTAACGGTTGCTCTCCTTGCAGGACGCCATTGCCCAGGATTCGTTCTATGAGCAGCAGAGACAGATCTTGAAGGGTAACTTGGAGTCCGGCTTTGCTGAGGCAGACCACATTGTGGAAGGTTGGTCCCTCACCAGACACGCTTTGTGGAGACTCTGCATGGCGCCGCGATAACACATGTGCCTGACAGCAAAAAGCCCGAGGTTTGATTCCCACCTCAGGTGGCTTTCTGTGTGGAGTTTGACGTGCGGTGTTGGTGCCGTGGTGAATGTTGACGTGCGGTGTTGGTGCCGTGGTGAATGTTGACGTGCGATGTTGGTGCCGTGGTGAATGTTGACGTGCGAATTTGGTGCCGTGGTGAATGTTGACGTGCGGTGTTGGTGCCGTGGTGAATGTTGACGTGCGATGTTGGTGCCGTGGTGAATGTTGACGTGCGATGTTGGTGCCGTGGTGAATATTGACGTGCGGTGTTGGTGCCGTGGTGAATGTTGACGTGCAGTGTTGTTGCCGTGGTGAATGTTGACGTGCGGTGTTGGTGCCGTGGTGACTACTGACGTGCGATGTTGGTGCCGTGGTGAATGTTGACGTGCGGTGTTGGTGCCGTGGTGAATGTTGACGTGCGGTGTTGGTGCCGTGGTGACTACTGACGTGCGATGTTGGTGCCGTGGTGAATGTTGACGTGCGGTGTTGGTGCCGTGGTGAATGTTGACGTGCGGTGTTGGTGCCGTGGTGAATGTTGACGTGCGGTGTTGGTGCCGTGGTGAATATTGACGTGCGGTGTTGGTGCCGTGGTGAATGTTGACGTGCAGTGTTGGTGCCGTGGTGAATGTTGACGTGCGATGTTGGTGCCGTGGTGAATGTTGACGTGCGGTGTTGGTGCCGTGGTGAATGTTGACGTGCGATGTTGGTGCCGTGGTGAATGTTGACGTGCGGTGTTGGTGCCGTGGTGAATGTTGACGTGCAGTGTTGGTGCCGTGGTGAATGTTGACGTGCGGTGTTGGTGCCGTGGTGAATATTGACGTGCGGTGTTGGTGCCGTGGTGAATGTTGACGTGCGATGTTGGTGCCGTGGTGAATGTTGACGTGCAATGTTGGTGCCGTGGTGAATGTTGACGTGCGGTGTTGGTGCCGTGGTGAATGTTGACGTGCGGTGTTGGTGCCGTGGTGAATGTTGACGTGCGGTGTTGGTGCCGTGGTGAATGTTGACGTGCGGTGTTGGTGCCGTGGTGAATATTGACGTGCGGTGTTGGTGCCGTGGTGACTACTGACGTGCAGTGTTGGTGCCGTGGTGAATGTTGACGTGCGATGTTGGTGCTGTGGTGAATGTTGACGTGCGGTGTTGGTGCCGTGGTGACTACTGACGTGCGATGTTGGTGCCGTGGTGAATACCGATGGACAGTGTTCTCGTGTGGCGTGTGGATCGGAACGAGTATCGTATTTAATTCTGGAGTAATAAAGCTCACTGTAATAATTTTAATATAATTGAGTGTATTGCATGAAATTCTAAACAATGTGGAGGTTTTGCAATGTAGCCACATCCGTGCAAGTATCTGCCCCGAGGAGCCGAGCTGTGGACATGGTTGGTCTGACGTACTGGCTTCCCCTCGCAGGAGAGATACACATCGGGGGGCAGGAGCATTTCTACCTGGAAACGCAGTGCTCGCTCGTCATTCCCAAGGGCGAGAATGGGGAGATCGAGATCTTTTCTTCTTCTCAATCGCCCACCAACACACAGGTGTGTCCTGCCCGCGTGTGCACGTACACATTTACATATTCACACAGGAGAGATTGCCTGCACAGCCCCACCGAGTTTCAAGACTCATTTTCAAGACTCATTCACAGTACGGGTCGATGTTTCTACGTGTAATTTACTTGCTACAAGGCACGAGTGTTACCACTGCGCCTCGATTTGATTCCCAAATCGCGTTGGCCAAACATCCCAATGCTAACAAATTACTTGCAGACTATTCAGTTGACATATCATACCGTGACATGCTACTGCGAAAGCCTGGCTTCCCTGGGTAAACAAGTGGACTCACAACAACAACAACAACCGTGATATTAAACAATCGTGCTGGCTGGGGGGGTGGGGTGTGCAGCTGGAGGCGGCGGAGGTGCTGGGCGTGCCGGCGAACCGCGTCTTGTGCCGCGTGCGCCGCATGGGCGGTGGCTTCGGCGGCAAGGAGAGCCGCGCCTGCATGCTCTCCAACGCCGTGGCGGTGGCAGCGGTGCGGTGAGTGGTGCCGCGCACGCAGCGCACGCAGCGTCGTATCGAACGTCTTAACGTCAACTTGTAACTCGCCGCTGCACGGCATCCGCTCGCTCTCGAAGAGAGAGAGAGAGGACAGCTCAGAGGCGCGAGGAGGAGGATCCACAGACAAGCAGGAAAGCAGCAGCAGCCGGGCGATGAGGAGCCGGTGGCAAGTATTGCCAAAGCTCTGCGGGCCTCTATATGAAACTATATGGAGCAAACCAGAGTACCCAGAGGGGGCGACGCTCTCTCCCAAACGGACAGAACAGGTGGAGTCCACATTTCTCCTCTCCCGCCTTCTCCTGGCGAGCTAAGATACAGCTCCTCCTCAAAGCCCAGGGGAAGGAAGTTTGACAAAATGTCAATGATTCACCAATCCTCACTTCCTCCACAGTGCTGGATAACAGGCATGTGCACAAAGTATTACATTTAGAATTACACCCGGCACACACGAGGAAATCCACTTGAGCACAAGGGTTATCTCTCGCATGCAACAGCTGTGGTTCATCATATGTGGTGGAAATGGAGATTATAGTTCCTCCCAGCGTCACGTGAGACACTGACGCCAAGATACAGCAGCTCAAGCTCGCGATCTCACATCCAGGCCGCATGGGGACTCCTCCAGATAGTGGGTATCAGCAACGTCGCCACACATCTCTTGTGTCATGCCTTCGCTTTTGCTTGTTCTGCGTGTTTGACTGAACACTCGGCTTTTGCGATTAGAGTTTACGACACGCAAAGTTGTGGAGCCCGCATTCATTTTTCCATTGGGAAAGGTTTCCTCGTCACATGCGGATTTAAATCTCTCAGCTCTTCAGCGGCGGTCTTTTTAAAAGCTGGGATTTGGCGTGCCCACGTGACGTTGCGTCTCCACGGGGAAGGCTCAAACTCTCCCCGGCACCACGACGCCCACGGTGAGACGCGGGCGAGCACGAGCCGCGAGCCCACGGTGCTGTGTGCTGCTGTGCGTGGCGCAGGCTGGGCCGGCCCGTGCGCTGCATGCTGGACCGCGACGAGGACATGCTCATCACCGGGGGCCGGCACCCATTCCTGGGCAAGTATAAGGTACTGTCGTGCAGATCCTCCGCTGCTTTGCTACATTGTATCTCAGGATAGTTACTGCACAGATCCAAAGTGGAAAAAGGACAGAGTATATTTGTCATGGCTGTGTTGCAGGTGGGGTTCATGAACGATGGTCGAGTGATCGCACTGGATGTGGTTATGTACAGCAATGGCGGCAACAGCCTGGATCTGTCAGCTTCCGTACGTATCCCAACTCTACATGGTGCCATCTTCACACCACCTTTGGTTTATATAAAGCAAGGAACTGCATTCTCGAGTTCCTGCCCTTTTCACGGCTGGGAATTATTCCATCACCTCTAGTGCTGCCAAATGTAACTCCCACTGCTCCGATTAACATGGTTGGCTATGTACGGTGCGAAAGAAGTTCAATATATAGTGTACATATATGGTTTTCTCAAACCTCGCACTTAAAAAATCTAAATAATCCAAAATAGAATTGAGAGACCATCCATAAATGCAACGGAATTTTTTTTTATCTTGAATATTTTCACTGGCTCTAAATCTAACAGTAGATGGCAGTTTAGACGGCTTGAGTCTTAACCGGTCCCTGCCCGGTCCCTCTGCGCACCTTTCCAGAATTCAAGGTAGCATATCAACATCCCCAGTCATCCTGGGCGGCAGGGTGGCATCGTGGTAACACTTTTTCCTCGTGGCAATGCATTCACCTTCCTGTGGCGTTTGTTCTCCGTCTGTTCTGCAGAGTGTGTGGGTGAGAGTGTTCGTGTGTGTGTATGTGGAGTTTAGTGGCTTCTAAAATAATATTTCCTTGGAATATTGGCCACCAGGGTGTGGGACATTGGTAACCCTTGTGGATCAATACAAAAGGGGCTTGCATACATACAATGGCATTGGTATTGGCCAAATACCCCAATGTCAAATAAATATCTGCAAATTGGGATTACACACAGCAGCGACATCGCCTGCTGCTATGAAAACTTGGCAGGACCCTCATGAAAAAGAGTCTTGACACTCAGTGAGGTTTTTCTGGGTATGCAAGCGGAATATTTTTCAAAACATCACTTTGGGTCCTTCCCCTCCCGGAATTATTTATTATTGTGCGTCATGTCTACTGCTGTATATTGCTGCGACTTGGCTACACGATGGTCAATGCACCACTGACACTGCTGCTTGTTACTCTCCCCTTGCCACTCTCCTCATTCATATATTATAAAAGTGTCAGAGTTGCTGCACCAATTCAGACGAGACAATATGCCCACAATGCAAGCTGTGTCCTGGCTCTGCTGAGCGGTGCGAGTGCTCTGCGTGGCAGGTGATGGAACGCGCTCTGTTTCAAATGGACAACGTTTACCGCATCCCAAACATCCGTGGCAGAGGCATCGTTTGTCGTACGAACCTCCCGTCCAACACGGCCTTCCGTGGCTTCGGGGCCCCGCAGGGAATGTTGATCGCGGAGAACTGGATCACGGACGTGGCCATGACCCTCAATCTGCCACCCCATGAGGTCAGTGGAGAAGCTGAAATTCTGGATTTTAATCATTGTGTAAAGCTTCAACATGACTTTACGATTGAGCACGTTTGGTGCCCCTATACTCGTACTCATAGGGAAACTGGCGCGTGGAATCCCGCAATGCCATCAGAAATGGCTGTCTTTTTTACGCTACTTAAAGGAGAGTCCCACCCAATGCTAAGCCCCTAGTAGCAAAACAACTTAACAAGGCATTTCATTGCCATTTGAGCATCTTTAAGGGAGTTATTGAGTATCCACTACAGTCACAGATAAACAAAGTTGATGTGTTATTTAATTCCACCCTAGATGGGAGGTGTTAACAACACACAGGTGGTAATTGGAATAGATATCCTGCAGATCGTTAGAGGACTCGTGTACTGGTCCGGGCAAAAGGATAAGGGGCCACTAATACGAGGATTTACACTTAGGGCCGGCGCTAGGAGGTACTGGGGTGGGCCCTGCATCACCAAATGTCTCTTGGCACGACCCAAGATCTCTCCCTTCCATAGCCGTGAATCGCTGCTATGGTGGTCCTCCACACAATGGCTCTAGTAGCCCCCCATCCGATAAAAGCTGGGCCCGGGCCTGGTTCGAGTGTCAAGTCATGAATACGAATGTTGGCTCGTGATCACCCTTGATCCCATCAAAACATCCTGGCAATTGGCTTCTAGGTGCGGCAAGTGAACATGTACAAAGATGGGGACTTGACGCACTTTAATCAGCCCTTGACGGACTTCACGCTGGACCGCTGCTGGAATGAGTGCCTGCAGCAAGCGAACTACACGCAGCGCTGTGTGGACGTAGAAGACTTTAACAGGTACCCCCCGTCTGGCGCTCAAGCCACAGCCACGTGTTACTCTCGTGATGCACGGCGCACCACATGCACGCCAAGAAACTCGCGATCCCAAATTAACACCAGCTATTACAGATGGCCACGCCATTTTAACATTGAGCATTTGTCTGATTTATTCATGACCATTTTTTTAAGCAGCAAGGATGACTTTTCAATCCAAACAAAATGTAGAAATGGCGAATCTGAGAGTGTTTGCCGTTGCTGCTGTGTGGTAGGCATAGCACGGCAGGCTGCCACGCAGCTTCAGCAGCAGCAGCAGCAGCAACGCCACTGATGAGCAAAGCACAGCAGTGCGTTTGTTGGTGTCACGAGGTTACCATGGGATGGCAGGATAGCGCAGTGGGGAAATGTGCCTGGGTTCGATACCTGACTCAGGCACCTTTGTGTGGGGAGTTTTTTTATTTTCTCTTCTGAATGGGCTTCCTCTGGGTTCTTCCGTTTCTTCCGGTATTGCCCAAACATCCCAATGCTGGAAATTCACTGCAATTTGATTACACATGGCACATTTCCCCCTGCCTGCAAAAACCTGGCAGGACCCTCCAAGACTCCTGGGTAAACAAGAATCATAATAATAACAAATGATCCCGACTCCATTTCTTTTTTCCCATGTCTGCCTTGCTAAAGAGATCATGCATCTCAGCCAGCACATACTTGGTTAGAAAGTAACAATGAAATGAAGCTTGAAAACATAATTGCATCTTGAGAGTATTTCGTCAATGTTGTAATAGAGTGCAATCATTCCTGTAATTATTGTAAAGAATTTGACAGTATCAGGATGACAGACGTCGTGTTTGGCAGGCAGAACCGGTGGAGGAAGCGTGGCATCGCAGTCATACCGACCAAGTTCGGCATCAGTTTTACCGCCAAGTTCTTGAACCAGGTGTGTATCACGTGGCACTGGCAGCATTCATGGCGAGCGCGTGGTAAAGGGTCGTGGTTGAACGTGCACACGAAGCACCATGGATGTATAGCGCACACGATAAGGTGGCCCCGTCACAGTGCTCGACTCCGTCACAACGGTGCACTGCTGTCTTCTCACAGTGCCTCTGTGCGCTCCGTGCAGGCCGGCGCGCTGGTCCACGTGTACAAAGACGGATCGGTGCTGGTGGCACACGGAGGCACAGAGATGGGACAGGGCCTGCACACCAAGATGATTCAGGTGTGTGGCCTACCACTGCTCCTCCTTGGCAGGAGCTGTACGTTCGACCAAGGGGAGCGACGATTGAGTGTGGAGGGGTTATTGTCTGTACAATCGTTCGCCCGGGAACTGTGACGCTCTCACAGATGAGATGTTGAGCCAAATGACGTGGCAACGCTGTGAGACTTGCGCCTCACTTCTGGTTTGACCCTTGCGTCATCACGACTGGTCCGCAGTCGTTGTCACTCGTAAAAGTAGCCAAGGGCAGCGTGGAGACCCAACGAGGATCAGTCCGCCGTGGGAACGGCACCGCCCAGCATAGCGCCAGCATGGCTGCCACTGTCGGTGGAAATGACGCAGAAATTTGCAAGGAGCAAAATAACAAGAGGGCTGTCTCTGTTCATAATTTACCTATTCCACTTTGTTGCAATACATTGCTATGCTAATAGCTGCGATCGCAATGTAGTTGTGATCGCACTGTAAAGTTACCTATATCATTGTTGTGTGCATTTATGCGTGCGTGTGTGTACATGTATCACAGGTAGCCAGCCGCTGCCTGGGTATCCCGATTTCTGATATTCATATCAGCGAGACGAGCACAAACACCGTTCCCAACACATCCCCTACGGCAGCCTCTGTCAGCTCGGATCTCAATGGGATGGCTGTGAAGGTATGGCACGTAATAATCCACGATTGTATGGCTGTTGTAGCTTTGAATGCATGCAAACTAGTGGTCATTAAGTAGACCCAAGTCACAGTGGGGTGTTGTGAGAATGGCCCATCAACACGGCTTATCGCTAAAACCAACGCTTCAAGAGGCAGGCTGCCCTGTGGCATTGGAGCCTCCCGGACCTCTCCACGACCCCTTCTCTTCATGGCCAGAGGGAAGATTGTAAAGAAAGAAAATCACGTTTAAGGCATGGCTTCTGTCACGCTTTCCATCCTTCATTTGTCCTCGGAAGTATGTATTTTACGTTTAAAGCCACATAACGAGACGATGTCACGGAGCTCATGAAGCGTGACGGTGCGAGATAATGTAGTGATGTCACTGGGAGGAGAGGGAAGATGGAGGGGAGCCCTGAACGCCGCAGCCATTATAGAGCCAACACTGAGGCGAATGCTTCTAGCGCTGCTTTTTGCGTCCAGGCCTTGGGCGATCCTTTGATCATCAAAGTGGCTATTGTCTCTAGGGAAAGTCCCTCATAGCAATACAACTTAAAACTCAAGTTTTTTTCATTGAGTTATGTACTCCCCTCATTGTAGATTTGAGGCTTTCGTGACTGCAAGGAATATTTTAGACAAACAAAATATTTTTAGACAAACAGATGGGCAGGCTTAATAAGGTTAATGTTTTGAACCTTAAATCTTGACTGCAGGTTTTGAACCTTATTTGGAAAATAATAAAAATGTATATTTAGGCTCCCCGAAGATAAAACTCTTTACCAGGTTATTTTTGTTTTTTCAAAAACGTGGCCCTGGAATCGGCCTAAGCAGCAGGTCACTGTGCAGCTCCCTCCGTCCAGGTGGCCACACATTCGGCCCCGGTGGTGAGACTGGAGTGGGAATCCAGACCGAGCCCCTTGCTCGGTCCGTGAGCGGGGCCGGCTCGGTGGGCAGTGGCCGTGGAGTCGTGGCGCCCAGTGATGATTTACTGCAGAGGGTGTTCTACAGCACGGCTTGCTCTTTCTACTGCTTGGACAACTGCTCAGTAAAATAAAAATGTTGTGATTAATCCAGGTCTCGTAATGCATATTTCTTTTTTGGTTGTACAACCAACTTGTCCTCTCTGTTGACAAGTGAAATATCAAGAATTAAGACGCAGCAAACTGCAATTCTGGACGTTGTTGCCCATGCCCGGTAACTGTGTGCAGCTGCTGTAGAATCTGAGTGGCTCTGTCTCCTGTGCAGATTGCCTGCTCAACCCTCCTCGAGCGCTTGGCCGTATTCAAAGAAGAGAACCCTTCAGGCTCCTGGCGCGACTGGGTCTGAGTTCCTTACCCTAACACTGCCACAATCGAGTTGCTCAATCCACTGATAGTCAACTATTTGTCAGTAACAGTGCTGTGCAACACCAATGTTGATCACAAAACCATTCATCGACACATCATTAAAGTAATGTAATTTACGTGAAATATTTAACAAAAAAACCTAACGTGGAGCATGCGTCTTTTAACAAACTGCCACACAAACCCTTGGCTGTTAGTATTCATCTTTGACCATGATGTGGTCGGTTTTAAGTGATTATTGTAATGAAAATGTTGACTGTGAATTATTATTTGTGTACCTTATAAGTCATACTGTACCCCAATTGGCATTCTACTGAATTATTAAATGTGGTTGGCTTGTGCTCACAGGTGAATAAGGCTTACATGAACCGCATAAGCCTGTCCACAACTGGTTTCTACAGGTATGAAGTCTTGCATCCTCAAGTCAGATACCTTAAGTTACTGCGTTACTTCCTGATATTGTTACAATGGGAGTTCTGTTTGAAAGAAAAACATTGCAGTCGCGCACACAGTGTATTCACACAAAATAGAATGTCCACCGTGGAGATTGAGTGATAAGATCGGCCCATGTTGCAGGAGCACGACAGATGTCGTCGGACCATGTGGGATGCCAACTCTCATCCAGACGTGGAGAGAACGAGGCTGATGACAATGCGCACTGCGTGTGTTGCATTCACAGGACTCCAGACATTTATTATGACTGGGAGAAGAACGAAGGCAAGCCATTCAACTACTTCACAATCGGCGTGGCCTGCTCGGAGGTGGAAGTGGACTGCCTCACCGGAGCCTCCCAGGTGAGGTTCGAAAACACAGTTTGAAACAGTTTTGTCTCTTTCTCCAACTGTGCCCTGATCATGCTATCGGGATCATTAGGCAAATATTTTTTAAGAATCTCCCAAAGCACCAGCAACCCTTCCTGTTAGAGAACAGCAGGAGAAATATTTATCCTGCCTCAGCAGTTCGCCTGCTGTATTTTTTCACCTGAAGACGATTACTTGTGTTGCAATCAAAACGTCGTGATTTTTAAAATTATTTTCTTTATTATTTTTCTATCTCCGTGACTTTACCAAAAGACCAAAAGAGTATGAATTCCTGCAGTCACGAAAGCTTTAAATCAAGATTTGATCACAGAACGACTTCTAGTAATCAGTTCTGAGGTTTACCGGTTATCGTGTAACAAGCCCAAACAAGCCGAGTCCAGGGTGTGAGCACTTTAAGGTTTTGTGGACTCACCATGGGACCAGACGCACGGCAATATAGTTCAATGCCCATGGGCACCTCGTCTTCTCCGTGGGGAAGAAGCAAAGTACAGGCTGCTATCACAAGGACACAACGGCGCTGCCCCGTGCCTGCTTCAATGTGTGAGGTCACTGTGTAGCATTGTGTAATAAAAGGACTCAGACACTTCTCTCTGACTTCGTGTCCTTTATTGGGTTCTTGTCTTCTCCCACACGGCACTCTGTTATAACACTGTATTTGTAGCCCCCGGCTGTTATCGCTATTATAGCTTCCTTTCTCTCCCCGCAGACTCTCTGCTTCGTCTACTGTAACCTCCGTTCTCTCCCTGCAGACTCGCTGCCGACTCCCTATGCAGACCCCCGCTGCTAACCCTATATGCAGACCCTCTTGGCTGCTACTCTGTATGCAGACCCGCTGCTAACTCTGTATGCAGCCCCGCTGCTGACTGCAGCCTCCTCGCTGCTTCGGGTCGGTCACCGCTGGCCAACGGTGCCGATCCTCGCTCCCCTGTGTTCGTGGCGATCTCGCCACCCTCCGCTTCGCCCTTCGTGGCCTCTCTCGTTCCTGGTCCCCCGTCACTCCTCATCCTCTTCCGGTTCCCCTCCTTCTATAGCTTAACCCCTCTCCCCCCACGTGACCTAACTCCTCCCCTCATGACGTCACCTCCGGAGGGCCGTTTACGCCCGCATTATAATTGTACTCTGTGTGCTGCAGTCACTCATGCTCGTGTCTCTCTCTCTGCAGACTCTCCGCACCGACATCGTCATGGATGTTGGCAACAGCTTGAATCCAGCCATCGATGTCGGCCAGGTTTGCGTCCATCCTGCATCAGTTCTGATTTTATATTTCATCAGAGCACTACGCGCAGTCTGATCTACTGATGCATACGACATTGTACATCCCGGTCGCATCGCTCGCAGGACACAAATCAGCATTCTGCACCGGCACTGCACGCACGGCGCCGGAATCTCATGCATAACTTCTTCATTACCGGAGCACCTCCTGAATTGCTCAGAAGTTGCTTCTGGGGGGAGCAAAGGGCAACATAGCATGGAGTAGTTTTGATGAAACGCTTCTTGGACATTACCTACCGCGTGAGAGCCAGTTCCCTATGCATGCGCGTGGATGCAGATCGAGGGCGGCTTCATGCAGGGCCTGGGCCTCTTTGTGCTGGAGGAGCTGCGCTACTCTCCTGAGGGGTCGCTGCTCACACGGGGGCCCGGCTCCTACAAGATCCCTGCCTTCGGGGACGCCCCCGAGCACTTGCACGTGTCGCTCCTGCGGAGTGCGCCCAACAAACGCGCCGTGTACTCGTCCAAGGTACGGCGGAGATGCACGGCCCGCACGCGCTGCCGGCACTAAACACGAGAGGAGCTGAGTGCAGTGTGTCAACACGTTAAGAGCCACTTCACGTGGGCGAGATAAACAAGATAGGGTCCAGAATTCTAAGAGTTGTACTCTGACGGAACCCTGTCACTTCAGCACGACAGACGTCCCATGAAACACTTCCTGAGAGATGCGTGATATTCCCATACGACACGTCATACGTAGAGCACACACTACACGCGACATAGTACACAACACAAGACATAGAGATCTCTTACACCGTGCATGCAACCTTACATACATACATTACGCAGCAAATGCCAATCTGGCATATCCGCGAGTAGTTGCCCTGCCTGGGCATTGATGCATTTCATAGCAAGAAGGCTCATTCCGTGCCCGTTCCGCGAGCGCGTTGCTGGACGTGCCGTGTCCCGTGTGCGGCACGCAGGCCGTGGGCGAGCCGCCCCTGTTCCTCGCCGCCTCCGTGTTCTACGCCATCAAGGACGCGGTCCGCGCGGCCCGAGCTGACGCAGGCCTGGCGGGGCCCTTCTGCCTGGACAGCCCGGCCAGCCCCGAGCGTGTTCGGATGGCCTGCCCCGACCGCTTCACCAAAATGGTGCCTTCACACACACATTGGTTCAGTATGGATTTTGGGTTATGCCATTAAGCGATCTCGACAAATTTTGTCAAGACCCTCCACCCCACGGAGATAAATTGTCATGCGTACGATAATTTAATGCTTCAATTGCTGTTGTCAGCTCACTCACTGGTGAGTTGGAGAACAATTCTCACAGCCAAATTTCGCAATTGGATACGATATCTCACTTCAAACTACGTCAAGCATATTTCAAACAATAAATAACTTATTAAACAATGCACGTGACAATTTAATTTGTTTGCTTGTTTCAGGTGGTGGAGAGTTTCGTGATGAAAATCTGGCCAGGTCACTTCGTGGTCGAACCCAAAAGAACCGTTATGAAGCAATGTAGTTTGTGTTAACCAAACATCTCCACACATAGAACTCTGCTGAAAATTAGGGTTTGAACACGGTGTGGCTTTTTTGGGTAAATTATCCTGTTCACTGCCAGATTTAACTTCAAATGCGAAAACTACGTATATTTTCATACTCAAAAGCCATTTTAGCAATTTGTCATCGATTTTGTCCTGAAGTAGAGTGTGACGCCATCTTCACCAAATCAGATAGCCAGTCATAATTTAGGGGAGAGGCTTATCACGTGACCTCAAAGTGCAGCTCGTTGGCACGCGCACCGTGGTGATGCCCTCTGTTGGACGTCTTTATTTTGCAGGTTCCTCAGGAGGAAGAAGCTGGCGCTGTGCCCTGGGCCGTGCGAGCCTGACAAGCGGCAGGCGGCACCCTTGCTCGCCTGCTTGGGGAAGCACGGGCGGCAATGCCGGCTTGTGTTTAGAACAGCGACGTCGATACCAACACGCTTTCCAATCCGCAGCTGTTCTTTGGTGTGCAGGATAATTTCGTAACTTTAACACTATCAAAAGCCATTTTCACGGCAGGGTGATGTAGTGGTAATGCTCATGATTCGCAGCAAGAAGAGCCTGGGTTCAATTCCTTATTCGGGCACCTTTCTGTGTGGAGTTTGTACATTCTCTTCATGTCCTGCATGGGTTTCCGGTTTCCTTCCATCGCGAAAAATCCATAGCGTAATTATTGTTGACCAAACATCCAATTGGGATTACACAGAGCAATATCGCCCCCTACTACAAAACCTGAAAGTCGTGAGACTAAGTGAGGCTTTTCTGGGTAAATACACATAATAACAATTACCGTCATAGGTTTTAATTTTTCAAAGTGTCCTGCGTATGGATTTTTGTGTTTTTGCAATAGACAAAAATTCAAATGTGGGTTTTTAAATATTTGGAAAATTCTGAAAATGATTTACCGTAATTTTTATTTTACCTCATATTATGGAAGTGTAGTAACATTGTTTGGCAACATCTTCCAGACATTGTCGATGTATTGATATGCATGCAGCTGGTCTGATAGCCGTGTTTGGAAATGTTGACAAGTATTGGATTGTTTCAATGATGTGATCACTCTTTTAAAGTGTAAAAAACCATTCCTAAAACCATTTCAGCCAACAACCATTTTAATTACGTGCCAAAATCTGAATTCTAGAAAAATGTACAATTACAAAGGTATGAGACTTGCTTGTCAGTGAATGTTTATTTATAACATTTTGTCTGCTGAAATACTTAATAAGTGCAACACATTCACACGACAAAATCCATTAGTAGGAAAGAACTTGTGTCGAGTGAAATACGATAAGTATTTACCAGTAATAAAGTATCACTGCCTCAAACGTTTTGATAACAAAAAACAAGGTGACCGTGTGGTCCAGGCCTGAAACATTCTACAATTCTCTTTAAAATGTATCACTAAAGAGGAAGAAAATAAGATGTAAAATACTGTCATTTTTGGGCTGTAGGTTGCATGTAATTGTAGGTGTTGCCATACGACGATTCACATGTGTTTGTCATGGTGTCTTAAACTGGAATGCATTTTTCTAATTATTTTAAAATTCAGCTTTAATATAAAATGATTACAAGACAAATTAAATGTTCTACAACATGACTTATAATACAATTCACAACACATCTTTCAATAGTTCTGTGGCAACTCTTCCTTATTACCTGAAACTTCATTTTTGTTTTTATTCCTCCAGCATATCCCCTCAGCTTTTTCACAATCTCACCTGGCCAGGGTGAAGCAGTCTCCACGAGCATCACCAGCGAACTCTGTCCTGCGCCACACTAAGTGCATGCTGGGATTACGTCTCTCTCTCACCCTTTCACTGCTTCCCCGTAGATCTCAATAATTCTGCCAACCATTACAGTTCTTCTCCTTTCAAAGCAGGCCAACTCTCCTACGTTCTAAGAGGATGGGACACGCAGAAGAGTTTGGTTTCGCATATTCCTTTCAATTTTTAACTCCACTCCATGGAAGTCTGCTTCGGAATACCTGTGCTTTACATTTGAACTTTAAGATTTTCAATTAAAACATTGCTAAGCATGTGCTAATCTTCTTTGATTTAATAAAGCATCACAAGCAACACGTGTTACTGGGTGATGGTTTACATGTCTAAACATCAATGCAATGTTAAGGGGCCGTCCATAAATGACGTCACGCAACTGGGGGGGGGGAGGGGGGTCAGACATGTGACGGGGGGGGGGGGGTTTGAGAAATGTGACGTCACATCAAAATGCGCAACTTTAAATAAATATAGACAACACGTTCTACTTAATTAAATAGACTTTTTAATGTTTTCTCCTACAACATCAGAGTGCAGCGCCACATTAAATACGCACTACAATGACAATAGTTTAAAGCGATTTTAAGCACGTTTTATTTTCAAAATGGAAATATGGTTGGGGGGGGGGCAGAGCTTTGTGACGTCATATTTGAGGGGGGTCTGACTTTTTGTGACGCCGTGTGACGAGGCGGGGGGGGGTGAAAAATCGTCCAAAATCTCGTGACGTCATTTATGGACGGCCCCTAATGTAATAAATGATCTAACAATGGTAGATACGTGCCGGGGGGAAATGAGTCTCGACAGATGGCATACCGAAGTAAACAAACCAATGGACTCTCAAACCTTCAACACCAAGTGGGGGGGGGGGGGGGGGAGGATGTGGATGGCGACCGGAGTCGCTTCGTGGCTGATGCTTCAGCTGCAAGGAGCGGTGGCTGATGCTTCAGCTGCAAGGAGCGGTGGCTGATGCGTCTGTGCAAAATTGCTCGTTTAGATGTCACAAAAAACACGACAACACCCTGAAATACGGCAACGTTCCTGAGAAAAATCTTACTTGGCATCAACTCGGTTGTAAGTTCAATTTCAAGATCCTGTGTATCCAGGTAAGACGAAGTCACTCTTGCAAATGAGACTTTCATTGCCCCTTGAGTTCTCACCTCGTCAAAACATTAATATACTCAAACCAGAAGGCATGCGAGTTTCTATGAGGGGATAAGATAATCGAGGGCAAGTCGGTTGAATGAGAAACAAATCCTGTGCGTTCATTAGTCGTAGAATCTATTATGATCGCCAGCCATGGCTGCTGGATGAAGGACTCCCCAAGTCGCCACCACCTCTCACGATCCTGCAATGTAAGAATCAGCATACCACCTGCACAAACTCTTTACTCCCATCTCCTCGATGGACATGCTCTTAGACACATTTCATTGGTTGCAACCCCATTGTTATTCTTGACCATGAGCCATCATCCGTTCTCGCACAGTGTTCTGGCCAAACCCACCTCCACTCACTTTTATTTACGGTGTCAATGTATGTTGAACTTCTTTTGCACTGTTAGTAGCCAATCGTGCTAACCGATGTCATTAACCTGTGTTTTCCAATCCACGCGTTCCACCTTTGTCCCTCAATGTAATTGTCACCTTGCATCTCTCCTGGCCTATTGGGGGACTTTTCAGTTTTCGTTAAATTTTGTCATTAATGTGTTTCTGATCCGTACGTCATCGCAGGCAGCACGCACTCATTAAAATCGTTCATCTTTCCAAAAGTACCTGCTCTCATCCACCGCTTTGTTTCACGTTTTCAATGCCGGTCCATTAAGCAGAACATCTCTTGTTATTAATCAGGGTTTAAAGGGAAGGAAAACTGTATGAATTGTCTACACATTGGGCACTGCCTGAAATATTGCACACAGTGATCGCACAAGCACGTGTGCCGACAAGGTAGGAGCACCCGGTTCACTTTGGCATTCTGGCAAACCACGCAGTCTCGACATGCGCCGCCCTGTCCATCACCGTCCTCCTCCTCCTGGGCAGCGACTTGCCCCTCCGCCCTGACCTCGGGCAACACCTGTGAGGTCACGCCCTCATCGCTTTGCGAATCCTCGGGCGCATCTGTTGACATGTACAGCCTCTGTAAATGGAATAACAAAAAGGTTACGTCTTGACATTTTAGAATATAAAATCACGATAATGAAAATGAGGAAAATGAAAAATGGATGAAAACGCAAACAATTCAAAATAAAACAGACCTTTGTAAAATAAATCACGAAACAATGAGAACACCCATCAGGGAACACACAAAAGATTGATTAAGAGGTCACAATATAGGTGCATGGCAGTAGTTCATTAGGTTATCTTAGTAAATGACAAATAATAGCTTTGGAGGGGAAAGTTAGAACCATGAAGCCTGTTTGCGACAGAATTGTAACGAAACTTGCAGAGAGATTGTATACAGAGACTCTACAGCAGAGACATGAATATACCTCAGTAATACTTTGGAGGAAATTCGACACGGTGGCAACATTGAATGGACATGGCTTCATGATGGCATATTCTCTATGTGTTTTGTGTGTAATCAGCATAGAATACGTTTTAAAATAATCATGAAAATAGCAATATAGATTTGAAGCTTTCGTGACTGCAGGAATCCCTACTCTTTGGTTATTTCGGTAAAGAACCAAAAAGTAGCAATATGGATAACCAGACAATTTATCCTTCATATATGTCTACACATCATTATTTTGTATTGTGTATGATTTTGTATTGAACTTGTAAACATTTCTTAAAGAGGGTCCTTGCTGTAACATCTGGTAGTTCAAAAGCATTGATTATTGCAAGCCTGACTGGTCCAGAGTATGCTTTTGCTGAATTAATTAAGAAGCCCATGAATCTGATGGGTCGTGGAAGAAATACTTTCATTTTTATGTGAAGATAGATATATGCAGGATACATGGTCTGCTGCTCATCTATTTTACTACTTACTTTCAGATCATACGAGAGCCCAGAGTGTGTGAGCAACAGCTGGTGCAGCACCCGGCAGGACACGCTATGTACAGGGTCTGGCAGGTGCACGCACGTCAGCAAGGCCACCTGTAACGCAGTGGCACCGTTAAAGCCACGCAAAGGACACCGAATGTCTATGCACAGTTTCCTCACACTGTGCACACCCGTCACATCGATGTCTTACAACACTGCCCGAGGACCACCGCCTTACGCTCTCGGTATTGCGAAGAGGCTCTGTGCTGTGTTCGGACCTGGTTCAGGTTGCCGGCCTCGATCTAGCGGTAGACTTGATTTATTAATGTGTTGTCTTTCATTCTCCAAATCTGTTTTCATACATGCGACAGTGGGATACCATACTCCCTGGTTCTGATTCATCCACAAGAGAAATATGCAACTTTGCTTGCTTATGTGGTTTGGAATTCGCCTTTGCATAATACTGCATTTCACCTGCAAGTTACTCAAACAGATTCAACAACACAGAGGTGTACAGAACTGTATGTACAATTATCCAGACCACCAGCTCAAAAGAACTGAATGTGTGACCTTGTTCTCATTTTGACTACCAACTAACTCAAAGAGCTGAGAAAATATGGTCATCCCAACAAGTAGTAGTGAAGACAAATGTAGACCGGTTTTGTCCTGATTAGGATTCCTCAGCACAGTCATCATTGTTCACTGCTGAAAAATGCCTCTTGGAGTCCCATATATAGAGAGGACTTGTACTTTTACATTATGGGAACCCCTATTAGCACTTGCTACAGAAATAATAATTACAATCTGTAAATGACGAGAAAATCCAGCACAGCCATCTGCATGTCTCTATTGTGATGGACATTGTCGTCATTTACAGATTCAAATTAACTGACTCCAGGCAAATGACTGCAAGTACGCTGTGTGCGAGGTGTCTGGAATTTGCCATCTCCATTACCATGTCCGGAGCCCGCGGTTGTGGCCGGTGCTCGGCGTGGGTGAGCAGCACGACGAGCGGGTAGCGGAGTCTGGGCACGCCGCCCAGGTCTCCCCCCCGCAGAGCGTCAGGCAGCTCCACTCTCTGCAGCACCTTCTCATCTTTTGATATTCTGACATAAGGCATTAAGGAGACTTGCAAAACACTGTTATTTGTCTTTATCAGTTAAAACACGCCTATTAATTCAATCTCTGGTAATATTTGTGCCTCACAACAACAACAAGGGCCCAGGTTCGATTCCCAACTTGGCTGCCTTTGTGGAGTTGTATGTTCTCCCCCTGTTCTGCATTGGTGTCCTCCATGCGTTCCTCCCATCACAAACAAAAAAAAACATAGATTGTAACTGGTATTTGCCAAAGATCTCCATTATTAAAAATAACCTATCATACTAGCTTTACTACCCGGCTTCGCCCGGGACTTGGATCCACCACGCCCGGCCGCCTTTGTCTCCCCAGTGGCGATGTTCACACACCACAGCAGTTACTCGTTTGAGGCTGAGTCGACTTAGGGGAGGCCCAGGACCGGTTCAAATAATCGTCACCGGTGGTGGCCGTGAGCAGGAATCGAACTCGGGTCGCCGGGTTCGTAGCGCAGCGCGCTAACCACTACATTACAATGCGTTACACTTCCACATGCGCGTGTCACATGACAGATTTGAGGTCACAGCTCACTTGCCGTGCAAAAAATATATGCATTATTGAGTTCCACCCCCCCCCCCCCCCCCCAAAAAGTGTATTTTTATAATTTTTGCATGGTGTACAGTCTGGAAAGTACCCACATGGCAAATTTCCAGTTTTGTGCATGTCGGGAAGTACGCTAAACATTTTGAACAGACAGATATATTCACAAATTTGCCTTTTATATATATACCATATGTAAATAATGTGAAATGAGTCATCAGCAAGCAACTCATGGCATTTTGTAGCAATACGCATCAGATTGGCCATCAACACAGGATAAATGTATTTGTTGTGTAAAAACCCAAGACATTTTGTGACGTGTAGGAAAGATCAAGCTGTAAAAATCTAAAATCAATGTACAAACAACATTGTATATAACAGCGGGAGGAACTGTGAAATGAGCAACGTGACCAGGGGAGACTGAATCTCGCTGAAGGATACGCAAATTGCTCCCTGTGGAGGTAATCACCTCCCAGCGCCGTCTCCATCTGCTGCGGGGAGCGGAGCGTTGGGAGGCGGCGCGCGTGGCCCTGCAGCACGGCGTGCACGGCGCCCAGCGCGCAGCCCCAGTAGCAGGTGAGGACGCACGGCTCCAGGCAGTGCACGGCCAGCGTCACGCCACCTGCACCAAGCCAAACACGATGGGGGTTGTTGTGTCCATTCATCTCTTACGTGCCACAGACTATCAACGTGACTTACGAGGACATGGGAAACACAACAGATCAGGTAAACAACAAGAGATGACATAGGACATGATTGATGTTGTGGGGCATAACAGCGCAACCTACGCTGTGCCCTTCACGCAGACCCATTTTACCACTGACAGTAGCCAGCCCAGTGGCTGCCCAAACAATGCAACTGCGTTCTCTCCCAACAAACCACTCCATGCCGTGCCTCTCCGCTTGCTGTACTCATGCACCTCCCATGCAATCTGCTTCTCTCACTCCAAATATCCCTTGTGCCATGTCAGTTCCACATATATCCATGCGGAACCCATCTCCACTTCTCTCTATGCCATGTCTTTGCTTCGTCCAATCCACACATCTCTCGCTCTGGCCATCTCTGCCTCCCTTTCTCTATGCATCACCTACATGCTTGACAATGTATGCATTTTATACTGCTCACTTGACACATTCCCAGACTGCACTTGTCTACACTGGTTCTCTACATGGCATGGTACAAGACATGTCACAGTGACCATGTAAGTCTGCGGTGAGAGGCGGAGACAGCACAGCGTGGGAGAGGCACCGATCGAGAGAAGCACAGCACAGAGAAGCCACGATGCAGCGTTAGCAACCATCACCCTACGTGGAAGGAGGCAGAAGATGGATACAGATCGGAGATGTGTGCAGAGCCGGGAGAGGTGGAGAGAACAGTGGAGATGTGTGACGCGAGAGTAGCAGCAACACCGCACGGAGATCTATTGTGCGACAGACGTGGCGTGTTACTATTCATTGACCCATGACTGACGCGCCATTCATGCCACAATGTTTGAGCAGATAGAAGTTTTTAAAAACTCACAAAATTTGAGATGTATTGTAAAATATTGTGCATATATGCTTTAGCAAAACATGTATACATTGTCTTCGAGGATACAAGCACGTTGGAACTCACCGGCGAGGGAGGCCGTATTTGAATCCGCTATGTCCAGGGCAAACACGCTGGAGACCCGCTGCATGCTGGTCTCGGGTACAATGGGCCAAGCGCCAAGATCTCCGGAATGATGGTCGAGAATGACAGGCAGACCCCAGTGCCACCCCAGCCTGACGGGTACATACGCGGCACGTTAGAGTGCTCCACTCATCCTTCAATATCTTGGAGCTCTAAACGTGAAGAACCCAGGGCATCTTAGAGATGGGCGCAAGTCAACTTTTAAATGTTTACGTTTAAATTGGGATATTATTAATAATAAAGGGTTTCTGCCATCATCAGCCTCTACTTCAGCTTATGCTGGCTGACTTTGCACCAGGTTGGCCCTGGAATTCATACAGGGCAATGTCCACAACTAGCGGACTGAGTTCTACTGCATCTCACTTTGCAAATTGGTGCAAAGTGGGTGGGGCAAGGCCACAGCGAAGATAATATGCCAGGCTATTCTGAAGTAGCTCTGGCGGCGCATGTGGTGCTATTGGAGGCATTCCAGTGTCTATCCCACCGCAACGCGAAGGGAATTGATACAAAACGGCGTCCACTGCCACCCCCTCCTGAAAAATGGGCTGCCACATTAAGAGGATGCCATCACTGGTGGGACTATCCTGCCTATGGTGGGACTATCCCACACAGCCTACAAACACACGTGCATACACACACACGTTCATGATACAAGATATAGCTTCCTACAGGCACACAGGAACAAAGCACCAAATGTGTTTATATATTGTGTTGCAAGGCACTTTGGGATGCGATGGCATTCAAATACTATTACACACACCAACAACAGCTGCCATTTGGCACGAAGCAGCGTCACCACTGGCACAAGTCCTTGTGTCAGGCTAGGTGCACTTTGGAGCCACATGAAGTGCCGAAGATTTGCTGACAGGTCACGGGGCAGACCCAGGTGTTATAGGTTGACTGTCTGAGTGTCTGGCAAAATGCACCACCTGTGCTCCTTACTGTGCCAACTTTCTGAATTTTAGCCACCCGGCGTTCCGCTCGTTGTTGTGAGCGTCGCTCCTCTGCCCTCCGTTGTTGTTGGAGGGCGACCGCCTCCAACTGCCCAAGTAGCGTCCGTCACGAGCCTCCTCCTTAAATGCAGATCTCGACACCGCTGGTACAATCGGCAAGTCCACTCAGCTCCACATCTTCTGTACCAGATCAGTCCATCTCTTCTCTAGCCCGTGCCGCACCATTTAGTCCCCTCTATCCGACCAAACAGCCGCTCCTTGGGTATGCGGTGGCTGGGCATGCGGTGGCTGGGCATGCGGTGGCTGGGCATGGGGTGGCTGGGGCATGAGGTGGCTGGGCATGCGGTGGCTGGGCATGCGGTGGCTGGGCATGGGGTGGCTGGGGCATGAGGTGGCTGGGCATGCGGTGGCTGGGCATGCGGTGGCTGGGCATGCGGTGGCTGGGCATGGGGTGGCTGGGGCATGAGGTGGCTGGGCATGTGGTGGCTGGGCATGCGGTGGCTGGGCATGCGGTGGCTGGGCATGGGGTGGCTGGGGCATGAGGTGGCTGGGCATGTGGTGGCTGGGCATGCGGTGGCTGGGCATGCGGTGGCTGGGCATGGGGTGGCTGGGGCATGAGGTGGCTGGGCATGCGGTGGCTGGGCATGCGGTGGCTGGGCATGCGGTGGCTGGGCATGCGGTGGCTGGGCATGAGGTGGCTGGGCATGCGGTGGCTGGGCATGCGGTGGCTGGGCATGCGGTGGCTGGGCATGGGGTGGCTGGGGCATGAGGTGGCTGGGCATGCGGTGGCTGGGCATGCGGTGGCTGGGCATGGGGTGGCTGGGCATGGGGTGGCTGGGCATGCGGTGGCTGGGCATGCGGTGGCTGGGCATGCGGTGGCTGGGCATGCGGTGGCTGGGCATGCGGGCTACGTGACCCAACCAACAAAGCCTCGCCTGCTGGAGGAGCTCAATGATGGGACTGATCAGACCCTTTAAGGATCTGTGAGCTCACACAATCAAGTCCGGTTAAACCCAGGATGGATCGTAGGCAGGCCTGCCTGAATGTTGCAAACCGGTGCCAATGTTCCTTCAGAAGGGTTCACGTTTCGCAAGCATAGAGAAGGGAGGGCATAACTGAGTCGATTGGAGCGACAGGCCAGGCAGCTTCCACGTAGCGTGAGGCAGCTTCCACGTAGCGTGAGGCAGCCGATGCAAACATAACGCCGCTCCACTGATTCGGAGACCACTGCTGCCAACCCGGAACTAAATCATCCTCCACTCCCCACGCAACTGCCCCATCAATCGCAAACACACACACCGCTCCCAAACTAAGTGGCGGCAATGTCACCAGGGCGCCTGTGCCTGGCTAGGTGCACTTGGACGCGAGGTGAAGCGTGGGAGGATCGCCGCCGACACGTCAGACTCCGGTCCCAGGGGTTGACCGCCCGAGATGACTGGCACACGCACCACCCCACCGCGGACACTCAACACACTCGCGGCGCCCGGCATCGCCGGCACGCGCGTTGCGCACGCACAGAGGTCGGGGCCTGTCCTCACCGCGCCATCGCCCTGGCAGCCAGAGCCGCCAGGGCGACCACGAGCAGCGCGGCGCCCACGGGAAGCCACAGCGGAGCCGCCGCCTCCTCCTCGCCCTCCATGGCGACCGCGCAGCCGCCTCATGCCCGTGACGTCATCTACCAAACACGCTACATGACGTCACGCACGCGCGCGTTACCGCGAGAGGGGGCTGCCCTTGTGACGTCACTCGCAGCGGGCACCGGGAATGATTGTCCCCTGGTGAATGGGAACACTGCAACAAGTTAGGCAGATCTGAGCTCAGCTGTGAAAGAGGACCGCGGCACGGTCATTGCACAGCGCCGCTGTAGTTGTATTAATATCGAGTCGCATAGGCTGGCAGCAATGCAGCCGTCGTGGCAGTGGATCGATGTCCTGGCGCTTGGCTCGCAGCTGTCGCCGAGCGCGATGCCGCCCCCGCGCTGGGCGCTGCGCGTGGTGGCCGCGCTGGCTCTGTGCCTGGGCTTCTGGTGGCTTCACAGGGGGCAGCGCGGCTTCCCGCCTGGCCCCAGAGGGCTGCCGCTGGTGGGAAACCTCTTGCAGTTGGACCTCAAGGCCATGCCCGCGTCCTTAGCCAAGGTGCGTGTTCATTGTTTGTCCTTTCTCGCACGGTTGGCTACGTACGGTGCGAAAAAAGTCTAAACGACATACACACATTGAGCTCCCCGGCACTCGCCGAGGTCAGCACTGCGAGTGGATGTACGTTCCATGTCTCTTGACATACTTTGGTAACTTAATGGTATACAAACACATTTTTCCCTACAAATTTAAATGTGTATTTGTATCCATTCCATCTCGTTCAATTTGTCATTATCGGGCACGTATGAGAGTGTAAATGTTTGAGAGAAATTCATCTTCGTTGCACATTTCTGATTTCCGTTCCTTAGTAATAAAAATTTCACCTTAAATAAAGACCCTTGAATATCGCAGGTTTATCGTTCGCGGTTTCGACCTAAAGAGGGCGACCTCTTTGTGCCAATTTAGCTGTCGCGGGGGTTCGGTTTGGCCTTTCGCGGGGGGACATTGTCCCCGCAAGTGCGGTGTCAGTGGCTGCGGATGCCGTGGTGCGAGGGGATGGCGAGGGGATGGCGAGGGGTGCGAGGGGATGGCGAGGGGTGCGGGGGATGCGAGGGGATGGCGAGGGGTGCGAGGGGATGGCGAGGGGTGCGGGGGATGGCGAGGGGATGGCGAGGGGATGGCGAGGGGTGCGAGGGGATGGCGAGGGGTGCGGGGGATGCGAGGGGATGGCGAGGGGATGGCGAGGGGTGCGGGGGATGCGAGGGGATGGCGAGGGGATGGCGAGGGGTGCGAGGGGATGGCGAGGGGTGCGGGGGATGCGAGGGGATGGCGAGGGGATGGCGAGGGGTGCGGGGGATGCGAGGGGATGGCGAGGGGATGGCGAGGGGTGCGAGGGGATGGCGAGGGGTGCGGGGGATGCGAGGGGATGGCGAGGGGATGGCGAGGGGTGCGGGGGATGCGAGGGGATGGCGAGGGGATGGCGAGGGGTGCGAGGGGATGGCGAGGGGTGCGGGGGATGCGAGGGGATGGCGAGGGGTGCGAGGCAGTCAGTGGCACCTCACAAGCTTCTCGCGATCCCCGTAGCCCTGCCGCTCCCCACTCGCGGACAAACACCCGCTTTGGATCGTCATCAGTAAGTGCAATATTTATTCAGTATGTATTCTGCTATTTATTGTATAGTAATGTTTTTGTAAAGGGCTTTTACTTTATTTCAATTATCTTTGTTTATTTGGCGTACAATACAATACTTATTTCAATTGTGAAGTGTCTGTTTTTGGTTGCCGTGTTCCTAATCCCATGATTGAGGTACGGCTTCAGTATTGAATATTGCGGTTTAGCTTTCGCGGCACTTTCCACGAATGTAACTCTCCGCAATATTCAAGGGTCTCCTGTACAGCGTATTTAAGCTTGTTTGAGGTCAAATACGTATTTATCATCATTCAAACCCCTCCAAATGTTGCATCGACTTTATTAAATTTTGTTATTTTTTTGTCTTCAGATGCTCTCTCCGGCTTCTTTTAAAATGTTTTTAACCTTCGACAATTCTTGGAACGCTTCCAAAAACGTCGTTTCAGGATGTTTTTCGGCACAACAGTTACAAATGTTAACATTTTAGCTTGCTGGTTAAGTCCTAATTTGTGGAGGGACAAAGTAAAATAGAGTTTTCCGACTTGAAAATATTTGCCATATTTCAATGAGCAACCTTCGAATGCTCCCGATACAAACTTTTGTAGGCGTCGGTTGAGAAAAAATGTGTATCTCGAGTGGCTTGGCGGCCCAGCAGTCAAAGTGCTGGGCTCGCACTGCTGCGATTCTGGGATCAAATCAGGCTAACGACCCCCACGCTTCACCCGGGTTCTCAAGAGCAGTTCGTTGATAGCCTCGCTCTCATCACAAATACTTGCACACAAACATCAGATATGGTCTGTACATTTGCTATTATTCAAACAAGACGAGGGGTTCACTGTGGGTAGCTTAGGTTATCGTTATTGAGGCTACATTTCACTCAGTCGACCCCACTGCATAAACCGATCTCCTTGGCCCGAAAGCCAGGAGCGTAAAGGGCAATGAAGCTCCATACTTAAACTATGTAATTTCATGGCCTGGAAAGCAATACTGCTGTACATTTGTAAACCCCATGACCCACCTACCTCACCAATTTAAATCATATTTCCAATTTCGTTTTTCTAATTTTGCCAATTTTTTTTACAACTCCCATCACTTAGTCACCAGCCTAGCTGAGTTGCTATAAATGTATGTATGTTTAAATTTTCACACCGTATCTAGCCAATCGTGCTAATCGGAGGTGCGAATCAATGAGGTATGTCCACATACCAGTTCACGTACCATCTGGAAATCGCGATGTTTAAACTTTTGATGTTTATTATTTTATGTTCAATAATCGTTTTCTGACAAAAACAAGTCTAATGCTTCCTTTGGTCTCATTGTGCCGTCCCTCCCATTGGCTCTCAGCTCTCAGAGACTCATGGTCCAATTTTCAGTGTATCTTTAGGACAGACGCAAGTTGTGATTTTAGCCGGCAATGACATCATCAAGGAAGCTCTCGTTACCCAAGCTGAGATGTTTATTGACCGCCCCGAAATACCCATCTTCAAAAAGTCTTTGGGAAATTACGAAGGTAAGAAGGCATTCTTTGTACCTCATTAAATTCGTAGCGCGTAGAGCGCTGGATTGCGATTGGCTCAGAGCAAATGGGCACTACGTTTGGGACCGCCCCTTACACCAGACACGTGACCTGGATGAAGATCACGGCCTGAGGAAGGATACGCAAAGGGCACGGGCCACCCTGTGACGCGCACACGGCCACCCTGTGACGCACACACGTGACGCACACACGTAACGCACGCACGGCCACCCTGTGACGCACGCACGGCCATCCTGTGACGCACGCACGGCCACCCTGTGACGCACACACGTGAAGCACACACGTGACGCACACACGGCCACCCTGTGACGCACACACGTGACGCACACACGGCCACCCTGTGACGCACGCACGGCCATCCTGTGACGCACGCACGGCCACCCTGTGACGCACACACGTGACGCACACACGTGACGCACGCACGGCCACCCTGTGACGCACACACGTGACGCACACACGTGACGCACGCACGGCCACCCTGTGACGCACACACGTGACGCACACACGTGACGCACGCACGGCCACCCTGTGACGTGCACACGGCCACCCTGTGACGCACGCACGGGTCAGCAACGTGGCCATTAACAAACAACATGCAACAAAAACTGACAAAGTGTGCAAAGGTGCATGCCTAGATTTATATTGAAAGACAGAAACATGGATAAGAGTACATTTATAGGTTGATTTTAGGTAGTGCATTGTCTGCTAAATGCATCTTCATCATACATGATTATCTTGTGTAATAGTCGTAACTAAGATTCATGTCAATCACACATCATAGGAAGACGACGATAATCTGAAACACTCATAGGATGGGCTCTGCATATACAATGATCATACGAATACCAAGGCTAAGGGTTGTAATAACGCGATCGTGATTCTCTCAACACGCTCCTCTCACCGGCGCCAGGCCTGCTGCTGAGTCATGGGTGGCAGTGGAGAGCGAGGAGGCGCTTCACCCACATGATGCTGAGGAACCTTGGGATGGGCACGAAGAGCATTGAAGAGAAGATCGCTGAGGAGGCCGAGTTTCTAGTGCGAGCTCTAGAAAACAAAGAAGGTATCCAATGCACGACCGCAATAAAGGAATGTTGTACCTGTGCAAAACCTTCATGGGCGAATGTCAGCATTAATATCGAGTGTATTTCAGTGGTCGTTGCTTTGTTTCTGACAGCATTCTAATCGTGCTGAGGTGCGTGTTCGTAAATTAGAGGTGGTGACGTGGTCCAGTCGTAGCGCGCGTTCGCCACGTGTTGCCCATCTCGGCAATTGTCCCCCCCCCCCCCACCCTGCACGCGTCCCACCCAGCGTGACAGTCGACGCCGAATCACGTCCACAGCCGTCGCCTGCCCTCTTCTCCTCGGGACTCTGCGTCGCTTGTCCTGCACCGTCACGGAATTCCCAGCGTCCGTGTCGGACTCCGGCGCTCGAACGCCGACAACTTATTTTCGAGCCGCTGAGCGTCCTGCTCCTCTCTGATCCCCACAGTGACAGGGATAGAGCACCCGTGCCTCCATTACCACACTCGGACTCATCTCTCTTCTCTGACGTGGTGGTTTCCGTAGCCCATCAAACGCCTGCTTGCTAAAGAAATGCACCTCTTGGCCTCCTCACAGCACCCTGCATTGTGGACCTCACTGCATCACTTAACAAAGTCCTCTAACCTCATCAACGTTGGGAGAATGTGGTGTTGTGGTGTTTGCATGGAAAAGCATTCATCTAGTAGTTGAGAAGATGTTTATTATGGTAATGATGTCTATATATTATTTTGACCGTACTACTTCTCCCAACTTCTTCCCATGCACTAGAAAAACCTTTTGATGCACATTCCGAAATCATCAACTCAACGGCAAATGTAATCTGCTCCATCATATTTGGAGACCGCTACGACTGGAATAATAAAACATTTGTGAAGCTCGTGAACATTATCAATGAGAATATAGAACTGTCTGGTAATGATTGGTCCCAGGTGAGTAGTGTTATTGCAATCACGAATCCATGTTTAAAATCCTTGCATCTATATATGTTTCTGTGTGGACAAATATGCTCTATATAAGAATAGGTTTTACCCTTTCTGGCAATAAAACAGGTGTTGAGATTTCGATGTAAAGCTTTCGTGGACTGCATGGATTCATATTCTTGGTTCTTTCGGTAAAGTCACGTAGAAGGGAAATAATAAAATAATAAAGATAAAACATAATAAGATGCAATTCTCACGACGTTTCGGCCACAACGACAGCGTCCTAATAAACTAGGACGCTGTCTTTCCGACCGCCCTGTTCTTCACTTGAGGACGGCTGCTTGTGTTGTGGCCGAAACGTCGTGAGGATTACATCTTATTATGTTTTATTTTTATTACTTTATTATTTCCCTTCTACGTGACTTTACCGAAAGAACCAAGAATATAGGTGTTGAGATGTTAAACCACCAAACTGAAACCTCTTGCAAGGAATCATGTCTGCATTAATCACATATACTTGTGGTGAACATGCAAACAAAAAACATGCTCTGGTAGTATATGCATTGCCCTATTATTTGGTTTGTAAACAAGATGGGGGTTATGACTGGATCCTGGAAGTTTTTCTCAGGACTGTTTTTACCACCACAGCACTAAATACAGAATCGCTTCACTGTGATAGGAGACGGTCAAGTGTGTGCAATTTGAACTCGGTCTTTTGATTTCAATTAGTTTTGAGGAGTGACATCCGGAAATGAGAGGGTGGAGCTTTTCCTCTGACACTCTTCAACTATGGCAACAAAGCTACATTTCTGGACCAGTGACATCAAATTCTGGAGACCAGGAGACAGGGCCTCAGGCCACTTTGCGACTCAAAGTTAGTTTAAGTGATGTCACGAGAACTTTGAGCGAAACAGCCAATGTCCCTGCAGTATCCGGAGACATGGCACGATGATGTGTGCATGGATGAAGCGATCTGCTTGAGTGGCGAGCAGTCGCAAGTTTGAGGGCTTCATTCCGGGTCTGGGGATGACTCAGTCCCTCATTTTCTGAGGTTGATAAATTAAAGACCATTGTGTGAGGATTCTTGCAACCTTTTATTCCTAATCACACTCTCGGATGCTCTCAGGGAATTTACAGTAATAACTAAGGCTACCAAATAAAAAATATAAATTCAACCACACTGCCAATGTTATGTCTTTTGTTGCTCGTCTTGGCTATATCGGCAAGGCTGCAGTGGGTATGGCCTGGTTCATTGTTCTGTCTGCCACAGTGGAGGTATTTACACACCTCGGTCTCATTTCCACAGCTATTTGTATTTGAAGTAGTGTGATGGCAACATGGACATTATACAGAATTTCTATTCCATGTTACAAGCCTTGACAAGAACAGTTAAACAGAATGAAGAAGTGATGCCATATAACCTGCATGTTCTGCATGAAAATGGAGAAAACTTGATGGTGGGAAGTTTAGAATAAGTTTGTTTAACACGAAAAGTGGAAAATATGTATTTATGTATTTGCAGTGATTTTATCGAAAGAATCAAGAATATGTATTCCCGCAGTCACGAAAGTTTTAAGTCTAAAAATGAATTACTCCAAAACTTCAATCTTATTTGTGCAGTACGCATTTTCTGTGGCCCTGAGTCAGTGGTGGACATTCCACCTTCCTGAGTAAATATGATTACTACCTCACACCAAGTGGGTGCTCATTTTAGCAGTGTTGGTGGGACGATGAGTCAATTTTATTGAGGTTTAAATGGCGATGTTACAGATCTTAATATTCGTTTTTAATAATTATTATCTGCGTTTTATTTTCTTTCCACAGATTTTCAATTCGTTTCCTCTGCTGAAGTATTTCCCAGGACCCCACCAACGAATAAACAAGAATAAAGTTGTCTTGAATGCGTTTATTCAAGCCAGGATTGAAGAACATGACGGGGCACGCATTCAAGGAGACCCCCGCGATTATTTGGACGCCTTCATTGACAAGAGGATTGAGGTTTTTTTCGATATATTGAAACAATCCATATCAAACATGCAGCACTAAAAATTATCTACGTTGGGCATTGCTCCCTGCAAAATGCAACTTTCGACAAAATCACTTAAGTCGAAACATAGTTTTACCATTGATGTATTGCTATACATTTAGGTTACGTTCCTGGCAGTAATTCTTCGGTAAAATTTTGCTGAAAAAATGTTAAGTAAGTACTAAAAAGGTTAACGCAAGATACTCAAAAAAATATATAACAAGTTTAGATAAATAATAAAAGTGAAAACGGACTTTGTGTACCTCACGAGAGGGTGGTACCGAGTCCAGTATGGCGATGTTGTAGACACTGAGGCTTGGGAGCCCCCTGGTGGACACGGTGGCGTCGTAGTGTGTCATCACGCACGCTGCCCAAACTACTGCATTCTTTTCTTTAAATTAGAAACAAGGTAGCGAATCACCGCTTTTTACATACTATTAATTTGTTGGCGACGTTATCGTGAAACGTAAATAGGAGGAACGTAAATAGAGGACTTGCTGGTGCTTTACTAGACACTTTAAAACTGTCTTTTAGCAGCATGCGCATGGGATGAGATTATGATCTCATTGATTGCATTGCTGGTGTAAAATGTAACGGTAAACTGGTAGTGGCTGTCTGAAAAACACAGACTGTACGACATCGCTCAAGGAGTTGTGTGCAGCAAAGCAGAGCCGAGGAAAAATAATTGGCGTTTCTTGATAACCTTTTCTGGATTTTGATAAAACATTCCACATTTATAGTCTGATTTTCAGTAGGATTCTTTCCTTAATGTCAGTTTAAAACCAGTCTGGAATAGTTGTGAAAGATATATACATCGTAACTCATATCTAATAAAATGTTGACATCAAATATGTTTTCGGTGACCATTAAAGATCCAGTAGAATATCACACATCGGAATCTTGCACCATCTGCTTGTATGGTTTTAGCCTCATTACATTTCATTTTACATTTGGGTGTTTCCTCGATCTTGTGTCAAAGATCACCTCTTCTCACAATTTTGAATGGAAATATAGCAATAACCAAACCTTACAGGATTAAATCCCAAAACACAGACAGCGTATGCATATTCCTCTTGTCAAGGTGTTTGATTTGTTTAATAACTCTCTTCCATTGCTCTTGTAGGATTCACTGAATCCAGACACAGCCTTCTCTGACATCGCCCTCATTAACACGATGGCGAACCTGTTTGTGGCTGGGTCGGAGACCACCTCCGCCACACTTAAATGGGGTATCCTGCTCATGATGACACATCCCAAAGTACAAGGTGAGTACATGTCACATGAGTCCATGAAATCGTGTCAAGCATACAGTTAATTACTGTATGCTTTACACGGTAGGTTTTCGCACCCAATGTTGTTCATGAGTGTTGTGTTCGGCCACTTAATGATCTCGTTAAATTAAAGACCATCCACCACCCGACAGCCAAACACAACACGGTCACGTTTACAAGTGTTTAGCACGCCATTCATTTAGATCACCGGTAATTTGAACAACAATCCTCACAACCAAGTTTGGGTTCCGTCCTGAACATGCTTGCTGTAACATCGTATCTCGTTGCTAAATTGGTTGTTAGCATTCTTCAATCTACCGGTGAGTGAGCTGAAACAGTAACAGTTGGCATGTTAAATGCTTGTACATGTGACGGTCAAATTTGTTTGGCTGTGTCAGATGGTAGAGGAACCTTATGATAGGAATTAGCCAGGTCAGTAAGTCACTTAACCCAAAAAACAGTTATGAATCATATACAGTAAACCCTCTCTATCCGCAAGGGTTACGTTTTTGAAAACGCTCACAAATGCAGAATTTGCGAATGCAGTAAACTTGTTCTAAAAAAAAATGGGGTTACGTTTCTGGTACAAGTTAACATAGGGGGGGAAATGGTAAAATAATATTTAATTACTACAACAAATAAATAATGAATCATAAAGAACAATGAATTTTTTAACCTTTGATGATGATGATCTGATAACGATGCAGGTGGTGGTGAGGAACTCGCTTCCCCTGATTGCAGTCACGTGATTTTGAATGGACCTCACAGTCGCTTGGTTTATACCTAAATATATAAACGAGTTGACTGTAAATACGTATAATGTAAAAATGTACAATAGCGAGTTCAGAGCAGGATTACTGCGAGAGTTGAGTAACTCCCGAATATGCGAAACTCGCGAATTCAGAGCTAATGCATAGCGATGATTTACTGTACTGTGTACATGTCATCCTGACTGAACTGTCATTGGTGGTGGTCCAGTAGTGACTGTAGAGAATGTTCATATCACTATAGAAACCTTCACTCAATGCAAAGCAGCTGCAGTGTATGGCAATGTTCTGACCTGTCAATCTACATGACAACAGAGTCAAAGATGCCGCAGTGCGCCACATGTAGCAACAAGGCGTGCGTATGCACTGCCAGTGGAGGAATCCTCTAACACGTTTCCTGGAGCCCATTGCCGTTCCGTGTCAGAGTTGAGCAGCAATATGTGGAACATGCTTCCCCCAGCAGAAGGATCTCCCAGTTACAAAACTTCACTTGGGAAGGTATTCGTGCTGTCTTTTTAATGCATTCAAAACTGCTCCAAAATCAGTTAAGAAAAATGACGCTGCATGCAATCTGGCTGATGAAACTACCGGCTCGATTGATTCATGTTCGAGGATGAATTCTTCGTAGCAGAGACATGTTTTATAAAGTGCAGCAGTCATATTTCATGAACCTTATCTCCATTCACGTAGCACGAGTTTATGTAACAACCATCGTTTAGTTTGTATTAGTATGTGTACACGCGGTATTCGCTGGCGATGTTTCCCTTTTCTGTACCTACAGAACAAGTTCAGGAAGAAATAGATCGCGTCGTTGGATCCAATCGCCGGCCGGCTTGTGCCGATCGAGCATCCATGCCCTACACCAACGCCACAGTTCATGAAATTCAGCGCTACGCCAACATCCTGCCGATGGCATTTCCACACGCTACCACCGCCGACACAAAACTGCGCGGTTATTTCTTGCCCAAGGTGTGTCCACGTAACGTGAACCATCACAAACGATGATTGGCTAACATATTCTATATATAAACAAACATCGGAGTGATTTCCTGCTCAAGTGAACAATGAGGTGGTGAAAATCTGTTTACAGTCCTGAACCAGTGGTATAAATGCCACATTCATATGGCAGGGGTTAGTTGGTAAGAAAGTCACCGCTGACTTCTCCACAAAATGGTACTTGTTTCATTGAACCCAGGATAATTTTGTATTATGTTGAACTTCTTTCACACCGTACGTAGCCAACCGTTATTGGATGAGTCAACCCTCAAACAGGATTTGAACTGACAAACGCCCCAGTGCGAGCCACTGGCTATACCACTGATCCACCTGGCCGAACGCATTGTCAGAAGGTTCAGAGTACGGTATTGCAGATGCACGAGTAAACTGAAAAGTGGAAAAACATCATTCATGTATTTTTAACCCAGTTGCCCATTCAACAACAATGGTACAGAGTCTAAAAAAGAGAGTTGTTCTGATCTGCATGAGATAAACGTTCTGAGGCCATATACTACACGTGACTGATACAGAATCAGCAAATTGTTTTTAAGTGTCATTGACCTGCCAGTAGAGCCGCAAAGTTGGACCCCAAAAGTTCGGAAATAGCAAATTTTGAAGAAAGTAAAAATGCAAGCATTTAGTCAATTAATCCAATGCAAAAATGGCACAGTCAGGTTACAACAGTGCAGTTATGTAGCACATTACTAAGCAAGGTCAATGGGTAAACATGGGTCATCTATTATGCGTTTGGTGACCAGAGGGAACTCAAAAGTCGATGACATCTGGGGGTATTGGTGAGGCCAGAAGAGTGGCCATTGCCTGTAGGTGTACTGGTTCTACTAGAATAGTTAATTGGGGTGAAATGTCCTTCAATTATCTTTCTTTCTCATCTGATTCTGTGTTGAAAAATAATGTTAATTGCTCTACTGCCGCACACATGAAGACTTCCACTTCCAATCATCATACATTTTTTTTATATTAATTTCTGCAACATCCAGGGTGTTACCAGTAATACCACATTCATTCATCATCACCTTGAAACAACTCAACCCTGTTCCGAGCAGAAATTCCGATCTCAACCATCATCTGACCTCGCACACGTGATGTTCCCAGCCGGCAGCCTTGTTTACTCTTTCTCGTTCGACGGTGGAGTTTGTGTATTCACCAGAGTTAGCGTCTCTGTTTTTTCCCCATAATCAAATATTGCAAGTCCCCTCCATATATTCATATGTGCAAAGTGTGCCGTAATCTAAATTGTCTCGATACAATCTGTGACTTGCAGGGCACACAAGTGGTTGCTCTCATCCACTCGGCGCTCAGAGAAAAGTCGGTGTGGGAAACACCCGAGCAGTTCAACCCAGGCCATTTCCTGGACATCGATGGAAACTTCTATAACCGAAATGATTTTATGGCGTTCTCTGCAGGTAATGTTTTTTTATTTATTTAATCAAGCTGTCTGGATACGGCTTTCATCAGTCACAGTAGAATGATGATGGATATTTGAAGTTCACACAGTGAGGTTGATACACCATTGGTCAAATTGTAAAATAAAACAATCGCAATAAAATCTACAGCTTCCAAAACATGAAAATACTCCTTTTAAAATAAATTCAAGGTCTTGTCATCAATGTACCCAAATAAAAGCGCAGTTATATATAATTTGCAAATGAGACATGTGAAAATAAGTACAATTCAGGTTTTGACCCAATGACCTCTTACAAATAATACCGCGTGTTTGTGTGTTTATGTCACTAGGGCCCCGACTTTGTCTCGGGAAGAACCTGGCCAGGATGGAGGTCTTTCTCTTCCTCACAGCTCTGCTACAACGTTTCTCATTTCAGGGACAGTCAGGACACCCCATGCCTGACCTTACCCCAAAGTCAGGCATAGTTTGGAATCCCCATCGCTACGAGGTTTGTGCCATAAGGCGGTGATAGCATTCCAGATAATAGAGCTTGCAGGTCACTCAAAGTTCGAGTCAAGAATCACTGACTATGAACGAATCTCACTTGATTTGAAGCTTTCGTGACTGCAGCAATCCATACTCTTTGGTTCTTTCGGTAAAGTCACGTGGGTAGAAATAATAATAGATCACGACGTTTCGATCGCAATGCAAGCAATCGTCATCAGGTGAGACAACCACAGCAAGAAAACTGCTGAAGTAGGCGAGAGAGCTGCCGTGACACGAGGTTATATAAGTATCGGCGGTATTTTCTATCTACGTGACTTTACCGAAAGAACCAAGAATACCAATGAAAATATGATCTAATATTCTTATAGGAAATGGAATAAATTAATTCAGGAAAACGTAGAAAGCATATACATGACGCTTTCTGCGATTTGTTTCTATAATGCTCACTGCCTCTGACAGCACATTCGATTCGCACGGTTGGCTACGTATGGTGCGAAAGAAGTTCAACATACATAATGACAGGATCCCCACATTGTAATGAACGCCTTAAAATACAGCAACAGGTTGGAATGGAAATTACAGAAATGGAGGGGAACGGAGTGGCTTTCAGAAGCTCGCGAGACGCGGTGGGATGGCAACATTGCTGACGGGACGAGGGGGGCAGCTGACGGGACGAGCCAGGCGCTGATCCCGGTTCGTCAGCGCCCCCTTGAGGCGCGTGCTTGAGGGTGATTAGTTCAAGTGCAAGTTTTAGGTGGAGCCCTGTGAGCCATTCGGCTCTTGAATCGGGTGCAACTGCAACAAACAAAAAACAAAAACATGAACAAGAAAACATCTCAGAGTCATCTTACTCTTTGGGTCTTTCGTGACTGCAGGAATCCAAACTCTTTGGTTCTTTCGGTAAAGTCACGTGGGTAGAAAATAAAATAAATCACGACGTTTCGATCGCAACACAAGCAATCGTCATCCGATATAACCTCTTACCACACCGATATAACCTCTTACCACACCGATATAACCTCTTACCACACCGATATAACCTCTTACCACACCGATATAACCTCTTACCACACCGATATAACCTCTTACCACACCTGTATAACATCTTACCACGGCATCTCTCTCCCACTTCAGCAACAACAAAAACATGTTTCTTGATGTGGTTTCCCACCTGATGATGATTGCTTGTGTTGCGATCGAAACGTCGTGATTTATTTTATTTTATACCTACGTGACTTTATCGAAAGAACCAAAGAGTTTAGAGTCATCTTCTTTGGGTCTTTCGGTAAAGTCGCGTAGAAAGGTTTAAAGAAAATAACAAAAAAACTACGACGTTTCGATCGCAACACAAGCGGCCGTCATCAGGAAAAAGTCGTCGTTTTTTGTTATTTTCTTAGAACCTATCTACGTGACTTTACCGAAAGACCCAAATAATATGAATTCCTGCAGTCACGAAAGCTTTAAGTCAAGATTTGATTAGAGTCACTTGAAGAGATTTAAAGAATTCCGTGATTGGTGTCGTGAGTCAGTTCACGAGTCGATTGTTTTAAATGTTTCTTGTTATTTGCCGCGTGTCTCGCGGCTCGTACACTGTGCTACGAATTTGGCACGCGGTTAATCGCAATACAGACAATCCAGAGTTAACCGTGCACGATTTTCATCTGATTATATGAAGCTGTTAGAAATTATTTTAGATGAACGTGTAATCAATCCTGTATAATCATTTAGTAGGTCACAAATTAGCAAAACCTGTCCGGATTTTCGCCTTGACATCTTCTTCTTGAAATAAAATGAAATGCTATTATGACGCATTTGATTTTTAAATTCTCAAACATTCATCCCACATCACCATCCCACATCATCCCACATCACCATCCCACACCATTCATCCCACGCCATTCATCCCACATCACCATCCCACATCATCCCACATCATCATCCCACATCATCATCCCACATCACCATCCCACATCATCATCCCACACCATTCATCCCACACCATTCATCCCACACCATTCATCCCACATCATCATCATCCCACATCATCATCCCACACCATTCATCCCACACAATTCATCCCACACCATTCATCCCACATCATCATCCCACACCATTCATCCCACTCCATCATCCCAAACCAATCATCCCACATCATCCCACATCATCCCACATCATCATCCCACATCATGCCACATCACCATCCCACACCATTCATCCCACACCATTCATCCCACACCATTCATCCCACATCACCATCCCACATCATCCCACATCATCCCACATCATCCCACATCATCATCCCACACCATTCATCCCACATCACCATCCCACACCATCCATCCCACAACGACCGGCACGGACGACGGTTGGAGAGTCAGACGGGAGCAGCGGAGCCGCCGAGCCCCTCGTGGCTCCCTGCGGACCGTCGCGAGAGTGCGGCCGTCGTTGTGACGCGCAGTGACGTCACTCACAGCCGCCATGTTGCGTGAGGAATCGCCGCTGGCGCGCGCCCCCACCCATCATGGCGGTGTCACGTGTGGGATGACGTCACGCGCGCGGGGCCGTGTCCCGCCCTAAGATGTCCGCCGCCGAGCTCCGCCCTTCGCCTGCCGGTTGCGCCGAGCGTCGTCTCTCGCCTCTCGCCTCGCTTCTGCTTCTGCCCGCAGCAGCAGCAGCAGCCCGAGCTGCCCGTTGAGCCGCGATGGTGAACGTGCTGAAGGGCGTGATCGTGGCGTGGTGAGAGAGGCACTGGGCAGGGGGCAGGGGGTGGGGTGGCGTCAGGGGCGCAGCGCCCCGCGGCCTCCATCGCGAGTCGAGCGGCGGGGCCTGGAGCCCGAGTAGCCTCACGGGGTAACCTCATTGAGTAATCTCACTGAGTAGCCTCACGGGGTAACCTCACGATGTAATCTCACTCAGTAACCTCACGGGGTAATCTCAGTAACCTCACGGGGTAATCTCACTCAGTAACCTCACGGGGTAACCTCACTGAGTAATCTCACTGAGTAACTTCACGGGGTAACCTCACGGGGTAATCCCACTGGGTCATCTCACTGAGTAATCTCACGGGGTAATTTCACTGAGTAGCCTCACGGGGTAATCTCACGGGGTAACCTCACGATGTAATCTCACTGAGTAACCTCACGGGGTAATCTCAGTAACCTCACGGGGTAATCCCACGGGGTACTCCCACGGGGTAATCACACTGGGTAATCTCACTGAATAACCTCACGGGGTAATCTCACGGGGTAACAATGCCACTGCACAATCCTACTTGGGTGTCTGCAGCAGCAGCAGCTGCGTGTTGCCTGAGAAGTCTCCACCAGTTTACTGGAACTCGCCACGCGGGCGACGTGTTGGCGACATCGCGCGGGGTGCAGAAGGTCGTGGGCACGGACGCCTGCTGTTGTATATTTGGAGTTTGCAGGTTCTCCCCGTAGTCGCGTGTATTCAATTGTATATTTAGTTTAGATAGTTTAGTGTATCGAGGGGTCCATAATGTTTGGGCTATTTTATCGGGGGACATATCCAGAGCAACGTGGAATTTCTACCAATGGAGATATGAGCACCGCCAAATGCTCATTTGTGTTTTGGGTCAATGACATTCTGCCGTAACTCCGGTGTAGATTAGGTTCCTTTGGCACTCTGCGCTGCAGTAGATTCACCTGTGTTTTGTTATTTTTCAGTGATCCTCCCATGAAGCAGTTCCTGCTCTTTTTGGATGAAACCAATGCTCTGGGGAAGAAGTTTGTGATCCACGATCTGGACGAGACGCATCTGTTCATCGCGTCTGAGGTGGTGCCCATTCTGCAGGAGCGAGTGGGCGAGCTCATGGACCAGAACTCATTCCCCATCACCCAGAAATAAAGCGTGCGCTCCTCCTCCACACGCGGGGACGGCCAACCGAGGAAGATGTCTCCTGAAGATTATTTGTGCGTTTTCAAATCCAAGCATTTCACTGGCTAGTGTAAAATAAAAACATTTGGCTCGGCATGTGGAGTGTTTTGGCAGCGGAATAAAAAGCTTTTGAAATGATGGCTTCATAGACCGATGATATTGAGTGCTTTGACCCGTGCAGCGATTTGTAAACGTGTTAAATATGCCCAGGTTATGTGTTGTCTTCCTCACGTTAATATAGTCACCAGGAAACGCGTGGCGCTGAAACCATGGATTGTGGTTCATTTTAAATTACAGCTTTTTGGCTAAATGTGAAAGTAACTGCTCACTTGCTACAAAATGTAAAGTTGGGTGTAAAATATCTGAAACGTCAACTGAAACATTTACATAAAACTTGATGGAGGATACAATACGTTTGAGCATTTTGTTTTTTTATAGGTTGAACTGCACGTTTATATCAGTTGAGTGTTGTGCTGTCATGAGTTTGGCACTGCTGCATATGGCAGAAATATACATCACAAACCAATAATGCTGCAATAAACAAGTAATACAGTATACAACTGAATGGTGCTGCCAATGTTCATCATGGTTGTAATTGACAACTTGCGTAGGTATTGAAAATACCATCGTGTGGAAGCCTGCATTTTGCACGATTTTATCCTTGCATGTGTATTCTCAAATTGATGAATTTAACCCACTACTGTACCATGAAGAAACGTAAGAATTCTAGTACAATGGCTAACCTAACTTTTAATGCTGAAGTGACTACTATTTCAGTCTGTTTTACCACACTTGGGCACTCTTGATTTTTGCTTGGAAATTTTGTTCATGCCATTTGGGCAAAATGTAGCAAAACCGTTGCATTTGAACTGCTTTGTACAGTCACACGGGAGAGTGGGAGAAATATGAACCACTGCTGTACAGTTTATACGTCATTCTTCTACAAAGTGTTGAATGCTTCAGCGGGGATTGTAAAAGTTAATGTTCCTTAATGCGGAGTGTTTTGATGAAACAGTATTGCAAATTTTCACTTCACAACATTACACAGTTTCCCAGGTATTTAGTGTTTCTGCCTGTCATTTATTTTTGGAATATTTTGGATCTGGACAATTTTTCCAACGACAGAAAACAAATAACAACTTAACCAATGTGTTAATAACGTTGGGAACACCTAACCACAGTCCTTGAGTTACATCAACAACAGCAGTACACATTATTCGAGTGAGGGATTCATTTTGATGTCTGTTTAGTGTTCTGGTTAGTATAAGTTGCTAGTCGTGGAGCGATTGGCTCTCATCCGTAAGGTTGCGAGGTTTAATCTCGGTTTGGGGTTGATTCCGCCTCGGGTTGATAAAATTGGTATCACGAGAGACGTGCTGTAAACGGATGATCACCGTCGTAATGGTAATTTGAACAGTAAATTACATGTTTTGAGCTGCTTGTTTTGTGCGTTTTTTTTAGCGACAGAGTCGTGTTCAGCTCTATGCAGAATTGCCACGTGAAAATTTGACTCGTGTTATGCAATTCGGAAGGTTTTGATGTGTGTGTGATTGCATATAAGCGCTTTCAATGAACTATCCATGAAAGTGTGTAAATAAATTTGAAGTAATATTCTTTATTTTTTTTTATCTACAATGTAGCATCGGTTGTAAAGAAAGTCCATCGTTTTGCTGGCTCGGCATGCTTTGCAACATGCAACAAATTCGTAAAATTACTGGAAAAATAACCATGCTATATATGGGAGTCTGCAAATGGATGTGTTGACAGTAAAGTCTGCCAATGGATGATATTGAACCAGATTCGATTTTATTTGGCTACATAACTGTTCAAAGTGTTTTGCCACATTTCATACATGTGTTCAGTAGCTTTCAGCCATAATCTCCACAAAGACTCGATTCTGCACCTCCATTCTCATGGATTGTTTTTCTCCGTTGTGAATAATGTATATTCACTACCTATCGGCAGTATTATTTACCGCAAAAAGCGTATTTTATCTGCACCTTCAAGTGAGTGAAGTGAGTGAAGTGAGTATAGGCAGCCTGCAGGTTGCCAGAGATGGTCCGAATGTGCGCATGATGCGGAATGTGTCGATGTGATGATGAGTGGGTCACGCCGCGCTGCCGCCTGGGGGGCCTGAGAAGAGGAGGAATGCGGGGTGAGTGGGGGGCTCCGTGGGCCTCACGGGGGCTCCCCCTATTCTCGTGTTGAACCCTACACACGAGGGTCCCCACGCGTGATGAACCTCACTCGCAATGAGCCTCACAGACCCCCACTCTTGGTGATGACCCCCACTCTTAGTGATGACCCCCACTCTTAGTGATGACCCCCACTCTTAGTGATGACCCCCACTCTTGGTGATGACCCCCACTCTTGGTGATGACCCCCACTCTTAGTGATGACCCCCACTCTTGGTGATGACCCCCACTCTTGGTGATGACCCCCACTCTTGGTGATGACCCCCACTCTTGGTGATGACCCCCACTCTTAGTGATGACCCCCACTCTTAGTGATGACCCCCACTCTTGGTGATGACCCCCACTCTTAGTGATGACCCCCACTCTTGGTGATGACGCCCACTCTTGGTGATGACCCCCACTCTTAGTGATGACCCCCACTCTTGGTGATGCCCCCCACTCAGTGATCAGCAATCTTGTGATGACCCCACACGTGCACATGCACGAGCAAGCTGCGACGCTGTGGGTGCCGCGGGCAGGATACGTGGGTGGGACAGGCGAGGCAGAGTGGGGTTGGTGGAATGGCGAGGGAGGGTGGGGAAGGTGAGTCGAGTGGGGAAGGTAGGGACAGTGGCGTGAGGGTGTGGCAGCTGAAGAGAGGGTGTGAGGCAGCTGAAGAGGGGTGGGAGGCAGCTGAAGAGAGGGTGGGACCAGGTGAGGCGTGAGGGAGGCAGGTGAAGAGAGGGTGGGACCAGGTGAGGCGTGAGGGAGGCAGGTGAAGAGAGGGTGGGACCAGGTGAGGCGTGAGGGAGGCAGGTGAAGAGGGTGGGACCAGGTGAGGCGTGAGGGAGGCAGGTGCGCAGAGCGCGCGTGTGGGAGCAGTGGGGCCATGCGCGCCTGGCCGCGCTGCCCTCGCCGCTGCCCCCGTCGTGAATCCGGGCCCCGTCGTGAATCCGGGCCCCGTCGTGAACCCGGGCCCCGTCGTGAATCCGGGCCCCGTCAGCTCGACTGAGTCACCGTGGCGATGGAGGCCGAGCGGGCGCGCCTGGCGGCCAGGATCCAGCGATGGAACGAGTCTTGCCTCGACCTCTTTGGGATGAGCGGCCCCGATGAGGTGAGACCGCTCCGCGGCACGGGCTCCCGGGGTCTCGACAAACAGAATCGCACGAATTGTAACGAGGAGGAGGAGGAGGCGGTGGTGGTGGCACCTGGGGTTCATTACTGACCGGCGCCTTCTGTGTGGAGTCTGTATGTTCTACTCTCGTTCTGCGTGAGGGGTTTCTCGGGGTTGTCAGATTTCCACTCACATCCAACCATAAGATGTAACTTGTAATAGGATATCTGGCCAATATCAGCTACGTTGTATGTAACTGATGAAACTACACGAACTCGTGAAGCTCTCTCGTCGTGGCGAGCGGACAGGCATCTCGCGCCTGAACCACAAAGTGCTATCAGTGAGCAAGAATACAATTGTATGTTTACGTGTTTTGTTGAGCCTCTGTATGTACAGTACTGTATGGCTCTCATAATAGATCTGTCCTGGGATACACACGGGTTGTACAGCCTAGAAAAGGGTTTTAAACGACGGCGAGAGCCTCCCCCGTGTGAGTTTAAATGCCTCTGGCGGGGGCAGGGAGCGGGGAGGGCGCGCCCCGGGCCCGCGGCCACGTCCAGGTGGCCGTCATCTCACCCGGGAGCTGCCGCGTCACCCGGGGCAGTGGCCGCCCTCGTGACGGTGTGAGCCACACAAACAGCATCGCGCCTCCTGGCTTTAACCTTCTTCGTCAAAGCCAACCGCGTAACCATCGTCCGCTTCAGAACATCAACAAGCCGACGCGTAAGCCAGTCGTGCGATCGTGGCCATGCGACCCAAACGATGGGCCATATCGTAAACGAAAGAGACTCCGAGACAGAGGCCCATATCGATACATAGAGGCACATATCGATACATAGACGATAAGCCACAGAGGCGATCGTGGCCATGCGACCCAAACGATGGACTCCTCCACAGTAAACCACTGCAGTCTGCGCTCCTGCAACGGCGGAGAGACGTCAAGACGACACCAACTCTCTCTCTCCTGATGCGCCCTTGTCGTGGCTAGCAGACTGACGTTGCCATTTAGCTCCTGAACACATGAACCTGAAGGCGGTGCCCCAGGGTCCCATAGTACCCCGGCTCTCGCACGATGTCCGCGATGCAGTCATTTTTAGTCTGTTGATGGTCGGCGATGGGGCAATCGACTCATCTGGACGAGCTGTACTCACGATGCACTATGACTACGCTGCGTGCCGCGAGCGTTCAGGGTTTCAGCGCAATCGTCCTCGCTGCGTTTCAACATCGCGGAGTGGCACCGATTTCGGATTGATTGGTACCCCAGTCGCGGAGTTGTGTTACACCCCTGGGAAAAAATAGTGTCCCAGAAATAAAATATTTAATTGTCTCGGCTAGTTTGTATTATTTTGTACCCCGGGGTACCGCCATAAGAATCATATTGCTGTACACAATAATATAATACAATTAAACCAGCATGAGTCATGATTGTTAGTATTATGTTTTTTTAATCCAAGAAAGCCTTAGGGAATCTCAACTCTTTTCCAAGAGGGGCCTGCCACGTCTTATCAGGAGGGGGCGATGTTGCTATGTGTAAGCACCATTGACTAATTTTCAGGTAACAATTTCAGCATTGGGGGTTTTGGCCAATACCAATTCTATGCTTTTTTATAGCGATAATATGGAACGGGAGTACCCAGAGGAAACTCGTGCAGGACAGGGGGAGACATTACAAACTCCACGCAAAAAGATGCGCGAGTCAGGAATCTAACATCGGGGCCGTCCATAAATGATGTCACGCGATTTTGGACGATTTTTGACCCCCCCCCACTCTCGTCACACGGCGTCACAAAAAGTCAGACCCCCCCTCAAATATGCTTCAAATCGCTTTAAACTATTGCCATTGTAGTGCGCATTTAATGTGGCGCTGCACTCTGATGTTGTAGGAGTGTTGTTATAACAATTCTATATTTATATAAAGTTGCGCATTTTGATGTGACGTCACATTTCTCAAACCCCCCCCCCTCGTCACACATCGTCAGAAATGTCTGACCCCCCCCCCCAGGTGCGTGACGTCATTTATGGACGGCCCCATCCTCGCTAATTGCTACGAGGCTCACGCGTTCCCACCGAGCCACTCATTTCAAATGTCAATGTTTATTATCATGCAGAGTGACATTCTGGCTCGAAGAGACTATGTAGGCATGAGATACATATAGAGATGGGGTATTGACACTTTAAGGTTCATGGTGTACATTCTTTATGAATTAAAATGGAGATAAAAAAAAAGTATTTGTGTCCAAGAAAAGCAGAGGTCTATTGTCTTCAAGAGTCAATCGTTGCCGAGACAATCATTGCGGCTGTCCACAATGGAGTTGCTCTGCATCTCACCACGAAAAATGTCACCGCTGGAGAAACTTCACCTTCACAACGTGTGAAGAAAGGTCTGGTTGCACAGCCCGTGTTTGCTGCCCGGCGAAGCTGCGCATGTTGACAGCGCTCACCTCCTCAAGTGACACCACCAAATGTGCCTCGTGTGTGTGCAGGCTCTGGAGTTCCATGCGGTGGTGCGGTTTCAAGTGCAGGCCGAGGGGGCCGTGGGCAGGGTGCACAGCACGTGCGTGCGCGTCACGAGCTCCAGCAGCGCCGTCGATGTCCTGCGTGCCCTGGAAGAGAAGCTGCAGACTCCTCTCGACTCCTACGGCATTTTTGAATTGCTCCCTGGCAAAGGTGGGCTAATTCCCGCTTCAGAGACGAGCTGCAAATTAGTGTTGTTAAGTTATGTTTTAACATTTATAATTAAGATTTAAAAAGTATACAACACATTCTTACAAATGCACACGTTTGATATTACAGAAATGTTTCAAATGTGGTGAATTGCAGTTTGATTACGTTGATTTTATATAAAACCTGAAAATGTGCAGATTACTAACGTTCTCATACAGATACTCACTTTTCGTCAGCAGATTATTTCGTTACACATATTTTGTTTTCAACTTCATATTCCACGTTCACGTTTCATCAGTACAGTGCAAACTTGCGCAATGCAGCTCCTGACAGCATGCAGCGCCTCTGGCAGGGCGAGTGGAATTCATTTCGCCGCGTTGCTCGGAGCAGCTAAAAGCGAGTCGGCCCAGTTTAGCTGCCGGGCAAGTAGCGTGACTACACAGCAGCCTCACCAGGATTACCGGTCACATGGCGGCTGCCTTACACACAGATTTGGCAGAACGGCGTTAATTGGCCTTTGAATGGTGTCAGATAGTGTAAGTGTGCCTGATGGGTGTGTCTACGCAGTGTGTGGCACGGACATTGCTTCTCGTGCCTTGCTGTTCTTGCTTGGCTGTTGTAGAGACCAGAACCTCCGGGATTGCAGAAGCATACATTTCCATCTCTGGCCAATTTTGTGGATTATTTTCTAAATAAGAATGCACTTTAGCTCTTAGTCATAACACGATTATTCCATGAAGCTTTAATCCACAGATTTTAGCCATAACAATTTAAAAATATTTAAACTATGTTTTATTGTGATGATTGCGACTTTTTAGTTCTTGTGCGATGGGAGCTGCAGGTTGACGTGACGATGCCTCGTGTTAGGGGAAAGCAGCGCAGTGATGGCAGGTTAATGGAACTCGCGCGCTTGTGCACCGCAGGTGAGCGGCGCTTGGGACATGGTGAGAGACCGCTCTTGTTGCAGCTGGCCTGGAACCCCAAAGGTCACCATGGGAGCTTCATTCTCAAACCAACTTCCTCGTTACCTGCCAAGGTACTTTGATTCTTATTCAGTGAGGAAAGCCTCACTGATTCTCAAGATTATTTTTCAGGAGGGCCCTGTCAAGTTTGCACAGTAGGGGATGATGTTGCTATGATGTGTAATCCCAATTGAGTAATTTGCAGAGGTGATTGTTCAGCATTTGGATGTTTTGGCCAATACCAGTTACACTGTGTGGTGTTTTAGTTATGGGAGGAAGCCGGAGAACCCAGAGGAAACCCATGCAGAAAAGGGGGAGGAAATATAAACTCCACACAGAAAGGCACCCGAGTCATGAATCATTGCCACCCACTCTACAAGAAGGAGTCGTACCGAATACTCAGTGAATTGCCACACTCTGAGAAGGATTCAAAATGACCGTGGTTGGGACAGGAAAAAGCTGATATGTTAAAAGTGAAAATAGAAGACGAAATGGGGAGCTGTTTAAGCTGTAGGAGCAGTAGATAACGTCTTGTTATACTGGGGATGGCCACAAGGAATAGCAGCAGAGGAAGCAGGCTGAGTTGGCAGAGCCAAGGCAAGGGATGAGCAAAAGACAGAAGCAGGCAAAATAAGAATTCGTGTTTAGGTAGTTTGACCAGTTTTTTTTATCGGATATAAACCGCATGATTGAGCAAGCTCATTGAGAAACTGGAGTCAGGAGAGGGAAAGTAATTTGCAAAGCTAAGCAAATTGAATGTGGAGCGAAAAGTAACCTGAGAAACGGTTTAGACGAAGTTAAACAGTGGAATCTGCGTCGGGGAATCTGAGTTTGTGCTATTATTGCCAATCTATGGACATAATATATATGTGTAATACTGAACTCTATTATACATTTTATTTTGGGTAGTTTTTAAGTTACGATAATTGTTGTAAAGTTTTTAATTTACATCGGGTGATATATGAAAGTGGTGAATGTGTGAGGGAGGAGGGTTGTGAGGAGGCTGGCTGTGACAGTGTTTGTCTGGACATCTTTGACAAAGAGCTTTATAGCTCATCGGATTCCTCCAGTATGAATACATATTCTAATTCTCATGATATTCTGATTCTGATTGTCGAGACGGGAAGCGAGGGAGTGGGTGGAGGTTTCTTATTGGCTCGGTTTTGATTGCACAGATCGGGCAATGCCCATTGCATCACGGGAAGTGTCGCCAAAAGAGTTAAAAGCGGCTCCAGTGATGCGAAGTTTTTTTGTCGGTCCCTTGTGAAGTCCTCAGTGCCTTGCCAACAGCCTTAGCAATCTACCAAGTCAAGTTGCTCAACAGTGTAATATGGATATGTCTTAAATGTCCCATGAGACTTTGCTGACTAATTCCCTCCTGATGGAATTGACATCGGTGTGCTGTTGTGATGCAGCCTCGACTGATGTTTTACGTTGGCAGGGTAAACAACTCTGTGCCCATTTAAACACTTGTGATGAGAATGGCCTTGAGATTACCTCTGAAACACAGGGACACACAGGGGGTGCAGCAGCAGAAACCACCCTCCCTTGAGCTCACAGCACACGCCATACCGGCCCGACGAGTTCTGGAAACACTTGCGGCCAATGTTTGTATCAACCCATCACCTGCGTGCTACCTTGAATGATGTCAATTCATTTCAAGATCATGTTCATTTTGTACTGATGCATCTAAATCATTTACCCCCCCAGTTGAATGTAGGTTTTGTTGTTAACTTTCCTCGTCATTGTTGACTTCCTAGAGTCTTAGTAGCAGCACAACAGATTTCTCGATGTGCGCAAGTGGAATGCCGCAGGGTATTTCCACTTGCGTGAGACTGTGTGTGTGAATTAGTGTGTGGGAGTGTATGTGTGTGAGTGTATGTGAGACTGTGTGTGAGTGAATTAGTGTGTGGGAGTGCAAGTGTGTGAGTGTATGTGAGACTGGTGTGAGTGAATTAGTGTGTGGGAGTGCAAGTGTGTGAGTGTATGTGAGACTGTGTGTGAGTGAATTAGTGTGTGGGAGTGCAAGTGTGTGAGTGTGAGACTGTGTGAGTGAATTAGTGTGTGGGAGTGCAAGTGTGTGAGTGTATGTGAGACTGTGTGTGAGTGAATTAGTGTGTGGGAGTGCAAGTGTGTGAGTGTATGTGAGACTGTGTGAGTGAATTAGTGTGTGGGAGTGCAAGTGTGTGAGTGTATGTGAGACTGTGTGTGACGTGAATTAGTGTGTGGGAGTGCAAGTGTGTGAGTGTATGTGAGACTGTGTGAGTGAATTAATGTGTGGGAGTGCAAGTGTGTGAGCGTGAGACTGTGTGAGTGAATTAGTGTGTGGGAGTGCAAGTGTGTGAGTGTATGTGAGACTGTGTGAGTGAATTAGTGTGTGGGAGTGCAAGTGTGTGAGTGTATGTGAGACTGTGTGTGAGTGAATTAGTGTGTGGGAGTGCAAGTGTGTGAGTGTATGTGAGACTGTGTGTGAGTGAATTAGTGTGTGGGAGTGCAAGTGTGTGAGTGTATGTGAGACTGTGTGTGAGTGAATTAGTGTGTGGGAGTGCAAGTGTGTGAGTGTATGTGAGACTGTGTGAGTGGCGCACTTGCCCTCACCGTCTAGTGAGGCTATAAGGGGGATGTTTTTATTTCTGAGTGGCTATTTTCTGAATTGGTCCCGAGCCTCCCGTAGGTAAACTCGGCCTTTACAAGGTGGTACCTGGTGTGCAGTGTAAAACATTGCCACTCGGGAGACAAAGGCGGTTGGGCGTGGTGCTGGCCACCTCGTGTGCTGTGCCAGCCCTCATAGGTGTGCACCTCACAGCACTTGCCCTAACAGTCTGTGAAAGCTGAACAGGGGATCTTTGTCTTTTGTGCATGCATGGGTGTGTGAGTGAATGTCGAGGTGTATAGGGGGAGTGATATCGTAATGGTGAGCGCACTATGGCCGATTGTTATGTGAACGTCTCTTAGCATAGCCGGCCCAGGTGAGCAGCTGGTGAGAGGCGTCAGCACCGGCCACGGCGCCGTGCGTGACCCTCGCGTGACCCTCCAGACGCAGTCCTCCATGAGCACTGCCCATGGCAGCCGAAACAGTGACACGACGAGAGGGGAGACGTGCTGTGTGTGTGTGAGTGAGACGTGCTGTGTGTGTGTGTGAGTGAGACGTGCTGTGTGTGTGTGTGAGACGTGCTGTGTGTGTGTGAGTGAGACGTGCTGTGTGTGTGTGTGTGTGACGTGCTGTGTGTGTGTGAGTGAGACGTGCTGTGTGTGTGTGAGAGACGTGCTGTGTGTGTGTGTGTGAGACGTGCTGTGTGTGTGTGAGTGAGACGTGCTGTGTGTGTGTGAGTGAGACGTGCTGTGTGTGTGAGACGTGCTGTGTGTGTGTGTGAGACGTGCTGTGTGTGTGTGTGAGTGAGACGTGCTGTGTGTGTGTGAGTGAGACGTGCTGTGTGGTGTGTGAGACGTGCTGTGTGTGTGTGTGTGAGTGAGACGTGCTGTGTGTGTGTGTGTGAGTGAAACGTGCTGTGTGTGTGTGTGAGACGTGCTGTGTGTGTGTGTGAGTGAGACGTGCTGTGTGTGTGTGTGAGTGAGACGTGCTGTGTGTGTGAGACGTGCTGTGTGTGTGTGAGGACGTGCTGTGTGTGTGTGTGAGACGTGCTGTGTGTGTGTGAGACGTGCTGTGTGTGTGTGTGTGAGACGTGCTGTGTGTGTGTGTGTGAGACGTGCTGTGTGTGTGTGAGACGTGCTGTGTGTGTGTGTGTGACGTGCTGTGTGTGTGTGAGACGTGCTGTGGTGTGTGTGTGAGACGTGCTGTGTGTGTGTGTGTGAGACGTGCTGTGTGTGTGTGTGAGACGTGCTGTGTGTGTGTGTGTGAGACGTGCTGTGTGTGTGTGTGAGTGAGACGTGCTGTGTGTGTGTGTGAGTGAGACGTGCTGTGTGTGGGTAGCGCAGGGTGTCTGTGGAGGTGCAGGTAAGTGCGTGTGTAAGTGTGTGCTTGTGTATGCTTCTCAAAGCGAGTCTCTAGAATCTGCTTCTTTATTGCTTGCAAACATGATTTGGTAACCAAGGCCTGGTAAACTGATGTCACGATAATGGCCATATTGTGAAAAATGATGCAGCAACTGTAGTAAGCACACACATTATCTGGCTTGTCAAGTTTAAATTGTCTTGCCTGCTCTTGTGCAGAAGGTGTGTATTTAGCTGTGTCGTTAAATGCAAAAAGATGTTCAATGTTGTTGTAGTTGATGGTTGTATTCACTCAAAGAGAAAATATCTATTCTGCCAGGTGGACGGTTGTGAAAGCCCGAGTGACCAGGTCAGAGACAATGACCAGGATTCCTTGCAGAGCCTCAAGAATTCCTCCGGTACAACCGCACACTCTCTGTGCACACAGTTCACCCTCGCTCCTTGCACATTAAACACTCACGCAGAGTGGCACATACCGCACGTGTACACACCGCACGTGTACTCACCGCACGTGTACACACCACGCTGCATGGCCATGGTGAAGCTCAGCAGCAATCGCTCTGTGAACTCTGAGAGCAGCAGCTGAGCCTGGTGACTATGGAGTGGGTCCAGCACCCTCGCTAACCACATACACCAGGGCTGACGACCAGCTCCCCCCCCACCCTCCCTCCCACCGTCACTCAATGTGGCGCTTTGATGAACTGGCTTCTGGGTTTGCCTGGAGCTGCTGCTGCTGATGCCAAAAGATTTTATTTGGTTCAAGTTGAAACAGGTTGACAATGGTTGCAGCTGCTGCCAGGAATTATAATTCACAAATGCCGCCATATCTACGTAATTATAAATTTGACATCTCCGGTGTAGGCACCTAAATTCATTGTTTACACATTTAAAGTACCGTTCATGGCTGAAATAGGTTTATTAGAGTTAAACATTTGAAGCCAGTTAATTAGGATGAATTAATTATCTGATAAATATAAAGTCTTGATCTCTGGGTGTAAGTCATCAATTACGAAGCCTTAGCTCCCTTACTGCAAATTGGAGACGCTGTGTGTGGAGAAACCAGTAAGGACACGTTTGGATTTATTGGTTTTCATTTATTTAATGGAGTAATTGCACTGTTATTATATTTGATTACTATGCCATGTGGAGGTAGCGTACATTACACAGTGGCATAGTCACAACTAAATATTTGGTGATGCTGCTGCATTGGCAGTGGTGCACAAATAACAAAAAAGCACAACTCAACACAATCGTAAATACCACTGCCTTAACAAGATAAAGTATATAGCAATGATCCTTCTTAACAGCACGTAGAGAGACCAGAGAGGTAGCGTGGTTAGTCATAGCAGGGTTTATATAGTGATAGAAACGTATTAACCAGGGTTGTCTGTCGGATTTGAACCACAAACCTCTGCAACACGCGGAAGGTATGCTACCCCTGGGTCCAATTGTTGCTGATGACCTGCTTCCCCATCTACGTAATATTCTATTCCTACAAGCGTCCTGATGTTATGCATTAGTGGCAAAAGTCCTCAGCGACTGCCTCAAAAAGCGATAAATAGGTTTTCATCACTTTATTTAACTCACTCCCAAAGTATAGCTAGCCCCTGTTAATATATCTAGTGGCTGATCTGTCTCCTTCCTGTATCTCTGCTCTGAGTTTAAACTGGCCTTCAAGTGCCTTCACGGCTGTGTTCAGCCCATTGAGCGACTCTCTGGGTCTCACTCATCACCCTCCAACCCAATGAGCTCCAACCCCACTCTGTAACTCCCACTTTTGCCACGACAGCTTCTACAGGTCACCCCAGGTGAGAGGTCACACTCACTATAGACGTCACACTGCGGGTGGTTCCTAGTGGATATGTAGACGTCACACTGCGGGTGGTTCCTAGTGGATATGGAGACGTCACACTGCGGCTGGTTCCTAGTGGATATGTAGACGTCACACTGCGGCTGGTTCCTAGTGGATATGTAGACGTCACACTGCGGGTGGTTCCTAGTGGATATGTAGACGTCACACTGCGGCTGGTTCCTAGTGGATATGTAGACGTCACACTGCGGGTGGTTCCTAGTGGATATGGAGACGTCACACTGCGGCTGGTTCCTAGTGGATATGTAGACGTCAACACTGCGGGTGGTTCCTAGTGGATATGGAGACGTCACACTGCGGCTGGTTCCTAGTGGATATGTAGACGTCACACTGCGGCTGGTTCCTAGTGGATATGGAGACGTCACACTGCGGCTGGTTCTAGTGGATATGTAGACGTCACACTGCGGCTGGTTCCTAGTGGATATGTAGACGTCACACTGCGGGTGGTTCCTAGTGGATATGTAGATGTCACACTGCGGGTGCTTCCTAGTGGATATGGAGACGTCACACTGCGGGTGGTTCCTACTGGATATGTAGACGTCACACTGCGGGTGCTTCCTACTGGATATGTAGACGTCACACTGCGGGTGGTTCCTACTGGATATGTAGACGTCACACTGAGGGTGCTTCCTACTGGATATGTAGACGTCACACTGTGGCTGGTTCCTAGTGGATATGTAGACGTCACACTGCGGCTGGTTCCTAGTGGATATGTAGACGTCACACTGCGGGTGGTTCCTAGTGGATATGTAGACGTCACACTGCGGCTGGTTCCTAGTGGATATGTAGACGTCACACTGCGGGTGGTTCCTAGTGGATATGTAGACGTCACACTGCGGCTGGTTCCTAGTGGATATGTAGACGTCACACTGCGGGTGGTTCCTAGTGGATATGGAGACGTCACACTGCGGCTGGTTCCTAGTGGATATGTAGACGTCACACTGCGGCTGGTTCCTAGTGGATATGTAGACGTCACACTGCGGCTGGTTCCTAGTGGATATGTAGACGTCACACTGCGGGTGGTTCCTAGTGGATATGTAGACGTCACACTGCGGGTGGTTCCTAGTGGATATGTAGACGTCACACTGCGGCTGGTTCCTAGTGGATATGTAGACGTCACACTGCGGGTGCTTCCTACTGGATATGGAGACGTCACACTGCGGGTGGTTCCTAGTGGATATGTAGACGTCACACTGCGGGTGCTTCCTAGTGGATATGTAGACGTCACACTGCGGGTGCTTCCTACTGGATATGGAGACGTCACACTGCGGCTGGTTCCTAGTGGATATGTAGACGTCACACTGCGGGTGGTTCCTACTGGATATGTAGACGTCACACTGCGGCTGGTTCCTAGTGGATATGTAGACGTCACACTGCGGGTGGTTCCTACTGGATATGTAGACGTCACACTGCGGCTGGTTCCTAGTGGATATGGAGACGTCACACTGCGGCTGGTTCCTAGTGGATATGGAGACGTCACACTGCGGGTGCTTCCTACTGGATATGTAGACGTCACACTGCGGATGCTTCCTACTGGATATGGACGCATCCATGTGGCCCGGTGTGGTTACCATCTGGGTGCATTTGGTTAGTTCCGCAAATTAGGTGGCCTCAATCAAAATTTCAAATCATCCGAATAATACTTTAATGGGGGTCATTTTGATGGTAGTTGTAGTGATAGTTTGGAGAGTGTGGCATGACATATACCAATGGTTTGACATGGCACAAAGCTGAATCCACCATCACCATCCCAGCGTGGCTGAATAAGTGACTCTGAGTATGTCCGAAACACTACATTTCACAAGTGTTTTCACCTTGTCAAGAAGCCTGCACAAATTATTATTTTTACCTGCATTCTTACCCTAATGGGATGACACACGATGCCCAAGTGAAAATCCACTTCCAGGTTATACTAATTATTACCCCATATTTAAACTCTCTGAAATGCATGCACGACATCGTGGCGCTGCCCATCCATGTGCATCTCTTTCCTTTTACCCCACCAGGCTACCTTGAGCTTGGTCCAGCAGTTAGCACAATTGGCCATCAACACACAAAGTAATCTCTAACAACCGCTAACTCTGTTTCTCAAGGGTTCACACATATGCTCACTCTCCGTGTGGCTTTGCGGTGCGTACAGTATTCATAACAATTATGATAACCGCTGTCGTAAATTATTAACCTGACAATGGCGCGGGTGACCTCGCGACCGACCGAGTGCAGGCAAGGCCATTCTGCAGCTGAGGAGGAGCCTCTCGGGGGGCAGCCAGAGGGAGAGGCGAAGGTCTTGGGGAGAGAAGGTGACGCCCCCCGTCATGCGACAGAGCTCGTATGGGCCGACGAGCACGCAGCAGCAACAGCAACAACAGCAACAACAACAGCAGCAGCAACAGCAACAACAGCAACAACAACAGCAGCAGCAACAGCAGCAACAGCAGCAGCAACAGCAGCAACAGCAGCAGCAGGGGGACTGCGAAGGCGGAGATGTGGAGGGCACCGAGCAGTGCTTGCCCTACCTCGTTGATGTAACTCCAGGTGAGTGCGGCCATGGCATAGACGCCGGTGGTGCTGCTGCCCGTGCCTTGTAATCCAGCACTGAAGGCAGTTCGGGTTGATGGATTACACCAAAAATGTTGTGAAACTCCCTTCTTGTGTGCGTTGCGGAAGTTCCATACTCTGGTGTTCCAGGACATGGTGGTACGGTAAAAAAGTGGACTTCATCTGCTCTTTCTGTATGGGATGGAGTGTTTATCCCCTGCATCAGTGGGTTTCTCTGGGTGCTCCGGGGTTCCTCACACAAGTAAGCACGAATTAATTGGCCGCTAACACCGTCGTATGTAGAGCACCGCAAAGTTTCTCTCTTTCAGAGCGAGTTGAAATCTGTGTGGTGGTGGCGGCGTGGTACAAGTTGACATTGTTAGTGTTGTTCGTAAGAGGGAAGCATAACGCAAAATGGAGAAAAAACGTAATTAGTGAAATAATTTTAATGCAGATTTCTATAAAAAAATATCTTTCCATATCCTTGGTGACAGTGGCCTTTAATCGATGTTCTCCATCTCTCGTCCCTCCAGCGATGAAATTGGCAAAGAAATTACCAACAACTTGAACTCATTAACAATGCAAGACAGAT